TGCTGCACAACCTGAAAGATTTAAAGGTGGAAGCCAACAAATTAGCAGATGAGGCAGAGGAGACTTTAGGTAAAAATAGAGTAAATGGAGGGGATGATGTTAACTTCCAGCTGCAATAAGCACCATTAACCGTCAAATGGGAAATATTCGAGGAAGTTATCTCTTTCTCTCACTTATGCGGCATATTTCCAACTACAGGTAAGCGGTACGGATGTGGATTTGAAATGTACGATCGATAGGGAAAGCAGAACAGGTGCTTATACTCTTAAATTAGGGTTGAGAATAACAGCACTGAGCACGAGGATGAATTTCCAACATCAATATGAAATTAGTGCTTCTCTATGGTTCGGAGACTTGACATGTGCGCCACCAACAGCCGATCGCAGACATTCCTCGACAGCTGCCTTCATTCTATACTTAACATAGCATAGCCAGCCACAAGGGATGAACAAGGAATAACTCTCACTGACACTGAGACAGCCAAAAAACCCTTGTTCTAACGACCTTTTCATCTACTGTTATTCCCTTGGGTCCCGAATGGAACAAAGAGCCTCAACAGAACATTTCCATTTCTTCCTGTTCTCTTCATCCTCTCACCAGGTCCCACGAATATCCATAATCCTTCATCTCCTCCATATTACCCTCGGACGCCCAAGCCATCTCTCCTTACTCAGGTCCCACTTGGGGGCCTAGCGTGAGATGATATTCTCTGGTCTCCTCGGAGTGTGTTCGATTCATCTCCATCTTCTTCGTAAGTTTAGTGAGCAGTAGGTTCTTGACTGGTTCGTTCCCAGAGTTTCCTGTTGCTAATTCCTTCTGGTTAGTCATTCGATCTCCAATATGAAGCCACTGCAGCCACTGAAAAAGGTCTGAAGCCTGTTGGAAATGCTCTTCGTGATACGCAATGCAAGTCTCTGAGCCATATGGAAGAAGGGACTAAATTAACATTAGTTTTCCAAACCGCAATCTTGTTCTTTGTTGTGCGGAGTGCAGAAGATTTCCAAACTGATTTCAGAGTGATGGAAGACCGCCGATTCTGGTTTCAATGTGGTCATCTACGCTGTCACCCGTAGTTGGAACAATCCTTCGTATATAAAAGAGGGAAGTGACCTCTTTCAAATTTATCCCACTGATGCTGAGTGGTTTAATATCTTCATCGCCTGTCTTCTCTCTGTTGACGTGAAGTCCGAGCTTCACTGACTACCTCTTCTGACTATTTTGTTAGTTTTCGCCCGTAAGTCTTCGAGTTTACCCGACATTAGGCATAACTTGTCCACGAAGTTCAGATCTTCTAGAGTCTTCTTATCGGTCCAGCGCATTCTTGCCTTCTCTCTCCCCATATACGGTATGCCACCTAATCCAGTCCATAATACTTAGGAATATCATTAGTGATGGTAGGCAGCCTTGTCTTCCTTTTGTCTTCACTTCAGAGGCCTCTCTGTGTCTTCCGTTGTGAACCATTTGACATGTTGAAGTTTAATAGTTTCGGCCATGCCACTTTGTTAGAGCAGTTTCCAAATTACTCCGCTGTCAACATTATCGAAGGCCCTTTCAAAGTGGATGAAATTTGATGATGACGCGTAGAGTTGCAAATAACTGGAGGCAAATGAAGATGTGTTAGAAACAAACTAAGGAAAAAATCTGAATGACATTACGTGTGCCAGACCCTAGAGTGGAGCTCGAATTAGAATCCATGGGCTGGCTGTTTGATTAGGATATAAAAACGATTGTTGGAAGATGGGATGAATGCTCACAGGCATTCATGAGGCAGGCTGAGAGTAGTGACGGGGGATAGTTTGCAACTACTATGTGACGCCTAAGCCCTACGTTCCACTTGGAACACAGCAAGGTCTAATAAATAGTAGTAGCACTAAACATCATTTGCAATATCTACAGAACTTTATTTGTTCCCGCCCTCCACGTCCATAATAAAATTATCTGGAAAGCTATACGAAACATCTAAAATATGTGAAAGAACGAAATACCTCAAGTAACATCGCCTTATTCATTCACCCATGCAATTAAAGGTTTCAATGGTCAGATCACGAAGAATAAATAGGGAAAATGATAACACTTTAACTTTCCTCCAGCCTACAGACCCACAATGTAATTGATCTCCTTTCGGAATCTTGAAACAATGTTCATTTCACTGCCAATAAAATAACTAAGGGAGTGCCAGAAACCTTTTAACAGTCAAACTTTTATTGTGAGGCTATTAAAAAAAGCTCTCATGACAAACAGTTCTAAGGCGTCCAGCAAAGCTTGAACAATTGAGGAGGTAAATATTCTGCACTGAGGTTCACTAAAGATCTAGAACTACTCCGAGGCAAGCATGGAGAAATCAATCTGCTTATATAAAATCTTAACTAGGATACTGAGTATTAAAAAGGAAGTTTTAGATTGATGAATCTAACTTTGTGAATATCGCGAGGCGCTTATGTCTTTAGGTAAGCCAGACACTACTTCATGTCTCTTTGCAGCCTTCCCTCAAAAGAGCGTTGTCAGAGGTATAACTCTCCGTCTGATAACCATATGCAAGAACACTAGGCACGACAGTTGTCTAAAAGACAAGCCATTCCTGTAATCGTTATCACACGAGACCTGCAAATAATCTCTCATCACTAAGTTGCATGTCTAATCGGATAAAATAACCTTTAGGCAGTTTATTTCTCACGTTGATAACCAGCTTACTGCCTCACTTACTTTCCATGAGACAGCTGTTTGCTATTCCTTGTTAATTCCTTGTTTCTCATTTATATTACTGTTGTTATCATCACTTTACTTCCTTCGATAACAGGCTGGTTGAGGTCCTGAGTTATTTACATCAGGGACTCAATTCTTAAAATAAAATTAAAATTTTACATACAGTATCCCAACTTATTGTTGTCATTAGGGGACTTTTAAGAAATACAACTGAAAGGTAGCTGCAGTGACTACACCGTAGTCCATGCGAGATGGGGAGCCAATCCTCACCATCAAGTATAAGGAGAAAATAGATATTGGCCATCTTGTGAAATGTGTATTCGACTGAGAATAAAACAGCTGCATTTAGCAACGCTCTTCGTAGGTATTCATTCTGCATAACATTTAGCTTAGTTAACCATCTGCTTCATGGTGTCCTGACACAAAATCCCGATGCGTGACTTTGATTCTGTCTCACTGTCCGACAAATACCACTAGCATGAAAGTGTTAAAGGAATAAAATCTTCCGCATCTTTTGACCTACAGCTCGAAAATGTACTTATTTGTAATTATTTATAATCACCTAATGTCTTGCCTACATCAACAGTTGGAGTGATGATATAAGAGAAGTGACTGGCAGCAATGCTCACTTTTGTAATTGAGGAAGCAGTACCTGTCCTATGATTCAGTGATCTGAAAAAGTTCTACCAACAGTAACAAAGAACTTTGGCTAGGCCACTTATGTGCGATTTCCAGATTTTAAGTAAAATGCAGTGCAACAGATACGAGCACACATATAGTGCTTGCTGGCTGGTGCATGACGTGTCGTAGGGACGTAGTGTGGTTGGGGCTACCTAATTCCACGTTGCCGCCCAATTAAAGAGGTCCAAACGAAAACAGGCAATACGAGGAAAAAAGTGCTGAGATAGAACAACTATATTTTAAAAAGAGAGTATCTACTACTACCAATGAGACGAGAGAAATCAGAAGTTGTGTTTGTTTGTCAGGTGTTATGTAAACACATTCTGGTTCCTGAAGCCGACTTATTGCTTCACTGGGTGAGGGCGGTGCATTCCACCGAGAATAAATGCAGAGTGTGGGGTTGCTTCCAGCTCAGCTACGCAAGTGTACATTTTGTTTAAAAAAGCATTAAGTCTTAACCAAAATAAGTGGATTCCACTCGGCTTACAGCACTTTGTTGAACAACCCCGGAGATGAGTCTAGTTAAGTCAGTTGGAGTTGGTGTGTTCAGCTTGACTCAGGATAAGGCGTTTGCGCCAGATCAATTTACTACCGCTTGAGTCTTTGTGATGCAAGCAGTTAGTCTGAATGCAACTGAAACTTTCATGGGTGTAAGCTACAAGTTGAATTCGCCCACACAATGCCAACAATTATGCGAATGTGCGAGTAAATGTTACTCTGAGGAGGTACTTCGTAAGATTGCGGTAAAAACTCAATCAAGTGGGACGACAGTGGAGTTTTAGATTGTGGAAAAGCTACCCCGAGGAGTTGCTTATGGCGTTATTCCTCTTGTCCAATCACTTTTTTAGTTCGTAAATATCATTTTGACATTTCCTCTTGCAAATTGCTTCTACCTGTCACGGCGCTGGACGACGACTGTAATGTTGCATGATGGTTGAATGTTAACTGACTTTCAGGCCTAACCATTTTAAAGAGACAAATGATATGACCACAGGACGTTAGTTGGTTGATTTAGGCGGATACTTGCTCCTTTACAGTTATTCTCCACTTTGAATCCAGCCTCGACTGGATGATTTGATTTGTGCGCCTTCTTTGCTTCTCTGGACAAAATCTGCAGCACCTAAGTCATTTGGGAGTAGGCTTTTTAGTATTGTTCATAAATGATGTAGCTATATCACCTTGAGGCCTTTCAGGACGATAAAAAACTTGCAGTCGAACTATCCAGCCGGAAACACAACCAGAAACATTTACCTGGTCGACAAGTCTCTACTAACTTAGAAGCTCTTTCCTTGAGGCAGTCCATAACTCAGAGTTGCCGAAATGCTTTCCAATAGATTTTTCTTTTCCGTTTACTATCCCGAGCTTAGAAGTAATTATTTATGTGTATTTCCTCACTCGCAAGTAATCTTTCATGGTTGATTTTTAGTAGAGTCTTCATACTGGCTGAAATGATATGTATTAGGAACCAACAGAATATATATATGCTTTGTTGTTATCTTTTCACAACTTATCGTTGGGTTTCCAAATATTTTGAAATCTGACTGAGCACAAGGCACACAAATTCGATTCCACCTTAGTTTTATTTCTATTGAATATTTTTTTGTTTGTTTGTTTAGAATAAAGTAAAACACTAACCAATTGTCTTGGAGCTAACGCTATTTTGACCAATCAGAACCATGGATCGTGGTGAGCATATGAATGATACGGAGTGTGGTTATGTTGAGTCAGAAGAAGAAGCTAGGATGACGGAGAAGGACTTAGCGGAGGACGCGCAGTGGAAAATATTTCAGAAAAATACATTCACACGATGGGCGAATGAGCATCTCAGGAAAGTTGATCTACACATCGAGGATTTGGAGACTGATCTGAGTGATGGCTTGCGACTAGTTGCACTTGTCGAAATATTGTCAGGTCACAAATTTCGTCATATCAATAAGCGGCCGACATTCAAAACTCAAAAACTTGAAAATGTTACTACTGTTCTGAAGTTCCTCGAGGAAAATGAAGGCCTGCGTCTCGTCAGCATAGGTATTTATAAATTAAGTTATTCTTATATTATTTTAGATAGCAGTCACATAGTGGATTGCAACTTAAAACTTATATTAGGTTTAATTTGGGCACTTATCCTGCATTACTCTATATCAGTGCCTCTCATTGAAGATGAAGAAAACGTACCACAAGTAAGTACGCATTCAGTATTGCATCATGTTTTGAATAATATTGCATGAAATGCTCCTTTAATGCATTTCGTGACCAATTATCATCGTGAAAAGTCGACACCTTTGGTATTTCGTCGCACTTTTGCCTTATTCAAGACAAACATTTACAGCTTTCGTCCATGAACTAATGCAACTAGAATATGATTTAATAGCTGACACCAACTTGTAAGATTTTACGTACTGAAATAGATTAGCTGATTGATAAATGTACCAGACTGAGGCCTAGTTATTACTCCATAAGCCATGGATTACTGACCGTTTAACAGACCAACGTTTAACTTTGCAAGAAATTCTACGAACCTAAGTTCTGTCCATGATTTCCTATACGCTCACTTTCGTATCATTCATAGACTAGTAGGGTATTGAGGCTTGAGGTGCTACTTCAGTATTTACTTCTGTTTCAGTGGGAGTTTACAATCAAAATAATGCTGTATTCACAGATAATGTCGAACTTAACATTAGGAAATAATTGTGACAAGTTATGATGTGGCTAGTACATATTGTTAGATGGGTGTAAGATGAATAACTTCATTAGGTAATCATAACTGCCCCATTCACAGTCTTCATTTTGTCAATGAAAATGGGAGATCTGTGTTTGGATGTTATTTGACATAATATTCGTCTGGGCCATACGGAAGTAGTCATTCTAACAGACCATACCCTCTTTTGTAGGAACCGCAATGAGACAATTGTTAGATTGCAGCTTAAAGTTATAGGAAAGCAGTGAACCTGCATAACATAATTGAGACTGTTGGATGCGAAGAGGTTAACTCCGGTGGGATTCTGGTATGCCTCATTGCAGGATGAATAAATTTCTTGATAACAACCATGACCACTGGTAGCTACACAAATTAGAAAGAAATCAACACTAGGTAGTACCCACATATTCTACAGACCTTAGAAAGACTATAGTTAGTTAATCTACAAGGGAGATAGTATTTTAAAATCTTGAAAATGACGGTGACGTAAGTCGAAACTTTAAAGAGCATGTCAGCTGACTTAAAGCTATATTTCAGTATTGCATGAATGTGGATGTTTATGCTCGAGTTTTGGCCAAATTTACGATGGCTCTGTAAAATTTAAAGGGAGTCAAAACAACAGTCGTCATCGAAATTGGTAGTGAAGAATCATTAACTATATTACCCAAGCTACTTATCAGTGTGTTAGAAAAATGCTTAGTTCCAACGAACTGGTGTAGATCAACGATAATAAAGCTTGTGATGACAGCAGATGGATATACTTGAGTGGGTACTCGTCTAAGAACCTTGTGTCATCAGTAAGACAAGGACTAAATGAAGCTCCGGAATATGAAATCTAATAAATATCAGGCTTGGGCTAAGGCTCATTAGTCGTATATTCACCCTGGTAGATATACATACGTGATATTTGTAATATAAAGGTGTCATTTAAGTTTTCTAATCAAAAAGCTTTGTGGCTATATTTAACTGTGATGTGCCATAGTAGCCGAAGCCCAATAGTCTAGATCACCCAGATATATAGAGTGACCAAAATAAACAGTACCCGACAGACATGCATGTGTCACCACTCTTCTTCAACCATTGCAAACATTCTAGTGGCAATAAGTTTGCTTATACTTGACATTGAACATGACGAACTGTTATCAGGAAAATAGTTGGTTGCCTTACAGCACTATGCAAATACGGTATTTGGGAATGAAGACCCTCATAACATGCAGAATTCTGAACTATCTGGCTTAAAATCTGCATACATTCCACATGTACTTCATTATTGTTGAATGTTTTCCATGGGACATCTCTCATGATGAACTACTTACTAATGAAGACCCATCATACATAGAAGTGTCTTTTGGTATTTTATAACTACTTCATCTTTGGTATCAACATTTTGTTTAGCTAACTGTCAAAAGGCAACGTAACACATCGCGAATCGCTTCCATTTTTACAGTTATGAAACGTTCATACTGAAAGTAGACAAAAAAGCTTACGGAGTTGTAAATTATAAGTATCTTCTTCTCAGTGTTGGTGTTAGTTCAACCACGTGATAATTAACGCTGGGATTAAGCCTATGGTGTTATATATGGAAAGCAAAGCAATTAATGACTGTACATGAAGTGAAGTGTCTGAAAGATGTATTTTGCACGCAAGCCACGGTTTTGCCTGATGGGCAATATTCGCTAAAGTATGATCAACTCTGACAAAAGTTATGGATATCAAAGCCAGAAAATGTTAGCAATCCATATGGTCTCTGACTTTTGGTTCAGTTTTTGTATGGAAGTGTAGGTTGCGTAGCTTAAGTTCTTGAGATGTTAATAATTGATGGTTCGAGACTTGTTTACATGACTCAAAGGGATTTATTCACTAGTAATCTTCGGCGTTTATAATAACGTTTCACTCTTCGATTTATGTGGTGAGTCGTTAGTATGGGAAACTCAGTTATATAAGTCACAGTCTGTGTTAGTGTCATGAGTGTGGTTAGTCGGTGACTTTCAATATTACATCCGTTTTACTAATCAGTGGTTACCGTCTCGTTGGTGTCTTGTATTCCTTTGTGATACGCTGAACTATAACAGGGTTTTCATGCTATGTACGCTTTATTTTAAGTGTAAGCGTCAATGCACCGACCTGTTTTATATTGCCCACTTAGTTCACAAACACCTATAGTAAGAAGACAAAATGTATAATTACTTCTTAAGTATTTTAAAGTGCTCCATTGACATCTATTTGCATTCAACTTCTATAACTTGCCATTGTAGTAATCCCCCTTGTTTCTAATGCTATGTTCCCTGAAATTTGTTTTCATTTTCAGCAGGATAAAAACCAAACCCAAGGTCCCAAACAGCGTTTGCTAGGTTGGGTGAAACAAAAAATGCCGGACATTCCAGTACGAAATTTCACAACAGATTGGAACGATGGTATCGCTATTGGAGCCCTCGTAGATGCTTGTGCTCCTGGTCTTTGTCCGGATTGGGTTAGCTGGGATCAAAAGAAACCTTTACGTAATGCTACAGAGGCAATGACAGCAGCAGAAAACTGGCTATCCGTTCCTCAGTTAATTCGACCAGAAGAAATGATTGATCCCAACGTTGATGAGAAGTCTATGATGACTTACATTAGTCAGTTTCCTAATGCTCGTTTGAAGGAGGGTGCACCACTGAAAGATAAACTCAATCCGTCGAAGGTGCGAGCATATGGTCCAGGTAATGCTTTCATTTTGTTTGAGAATCAAATCGTTTTCGGGACTTTACAAGTAGGGTAATTACCTATATATAGTTGATTCTATAATTTTCTTATCAGATTAACAATGGATAATGACATTGCGTATTATTTCTAATTACAATACCTAGTAAAAAGTGAAGATATTTATTTCGATTGTAAATCCAATAAACTTCACCTCACCTCATCAGTATACACCATAACCTATTGTGTTGAATTTTGCTTAAGAAATGTATATAAGTAGTATGTGGTATGACATCCAGAGACGCACGAAACAGTAGTCTGCCGGTGCAGACTTCGAACGTAAGGATTATATAGTATTAAAGGTATAAAAGGAGTATGAGAGGAATGAGATAGGGATACTTTGAATCAACAGAAAGACTCTAGATGATCTCGACTTTGCAGACGATTTGTGCCTGAAGTCAGTGTGGAAATCTGCTGCACTCGACATAATGATCAAGATTCGAACTTTCAACACTAATGTCAACTCAGTTCTCCTATGTGGTTCAGAGACTTGTCGCGTCATAAATATCATTTCCAACAGATTGCAGACTTTATCAGAAGCCACCTTCGCTCCGTACTGAAGATCAGATGGCCAGAAAGGTTAATCAACAAGGAATTCTACTAACGAAGCCGACAAGAACCTCTAGCCCAACAAATTTGCCAGAGAAAATGGAGATGAATCGGACGCACTCTCAGGAGACCGTTGACTGACATCAAACACTGGGCATATTGTCTAGTGAAACCTGATTGGAAAACGTCGAGTTGGGCGTCCGAGGGAGACATTGAAGTGATCGTATGAAGAGGAGATGGGCACTCATTAGCAATCTTGGAGCCAACTAAAAAGGACTACAGAGAACAGGCTGAAATGGAGATGTGCTATCGAAGTCCTCTGTTTCGTGTGGAACTAAAGGAAATAATTAAGGGATACGTGAAGGAATATTAGAATACGGAATATAGAATTTGTTTAGCAAATTATTACTTATTAGTCATTATAAATGTTATCTTAATTCTACTTCTAACTCCTGCATATGCAAAATAGTCTATTGTTTCTTCATGCTCAAAACTTTTTAGGTTTGGAGATGAATGAAAATAGAATTAGTGAACCGGCTAAATTCTATGTGGAAACAGCTGGAGCTGGAAAGGGTCAATTAGATATTCTTGTTATCAATTCGAGAGGTGTCAGAGAATCAGTATGTTAATTTATTATATATATTTTCATTTATATTTCCGCTTATTGTTTCTTACTGTGACTAATTAAGTAGGCCAAAGATTAAAAAAAGCACAACACCAACAACCAACATAGAGTTAAGCGTCTGTATCATACATATTATGTTCTCTCTTTACACTCACACTTACAGTCCATTAGACAAGTCATACACTGGTATGTGTTTTGTTTGTGAAATCTGTATCTTGTTTCTGTTTTAAGGCAGAGATTAGAAACAAAATTATCATACTTAACATATTCATAGGTGATTCATATTGCAAGTGATTACGATTTATTTTTCTTACCATATGTGTTGTACATTTTTGGCAGACATAACTGACTAATTAATAAATTTGTAGTTTAATAATGAAATAGAAATAATCACTGTGCAGATTAGCCAGAAGGTTGACTGTACATTTCTTTGTATAATTAACTCAGTTGATTACCATGCCAAAACAAAATTAACGATTACAAAATGTAACTAGAATAGTAAGTCACTATTAGAGAGTCCCTGTTGTAAATAAATTTGTTTGTTTTATACCCTGATATCCGAAGTTATCTCTATTTTACTGGATATATAAAGAGGCATAAAGTCTTTCAGGACTAATTATGGTAGGTGCTCACCCTCCGCTGAATAATGTTAAGAGCAGTAGTAAAGAAAATACTAGAAGTATTATAAGCGTATGGGACCTATGGTAATTATTTCGATATTGAACATGAGAAGTTTAGTTGAATAGGAAGAGAGAACTTGAACTAACCTGAACGGTTATATAATTTCCTATTGATACTTCAAAGTAGAATACATTCGTATCTAACAGAGCTTTAGATATTTATTAGTGATCTCTCAATTAGAACGAATATATCTGCAGGATAATACTTGATCGTTTTATTTCATGGATTCTCTTCAACTGAGTACATCCTAAACAAAATCAGTTATAAGTTATAAAATTTCTGAACATATTTTTTACAGTGACTTCGAGTAATAGTCGTAGTAGACGAATTATTCAGTGTGAAAAGAGTAACTATTTATATAATAATTAGACAAGGGAGGTGGAGTTTAGATTTCGTTAGGAAATAAGGATGGACTAGGGACAAAATACAAAATAGAACAACAGAGTGAATTTTTACATATCATAATGGAGAGTTCAGGAGGGCAGGGGTGATTAGTAAAGTAAACTTATAAGATAGATCAAATAATTTAGTAGATTTTAAGCCTTTAATAGTGAGTTCAACTCAGTGAGTGAAAATCAAAGTCAAAATTAAGTGGAATGTTATGCAACAGGACAAAATACTAAAGTGCACGAACAAAACAATTATGGCTACCAAGGTAGTAAGAGATTAGTCAGAGGTTGGGTCGAAGTCTTACGATAGAAATGGCTTCTGCGAACCAAAGTAACCGTGGTTTTCATTGTGTAGTGATTGTTTTGAAAGCCTGACTAATTTCCATTGTATGTTCCGTGTCAATTAGGTGTCTAGCAATTGCACTTGAGACCGCTTTGATGCCTTCCAAATGGAGACTCTCCTCTCAATCCTTCCTATGTACTTGCTCCTGCAAGTGCACGTGAATTGATAAATGAAGTTGGAGTTTATATGAGCACGATGTTCATCTACTTTTGACTGCGTGAACCAACGTATTGTGTTGTAAAGTAGAATGAGTCTGGCGGAGGGAAGTGTTCTTTTCAATGCACCTTTAATTCTTTTTTCGTTCTTGGGGATACTTCTTCCCTTTCGAACGCTAGACAGATAAAAACTGGTTTCTTTTCAACTTTTTTGGTTTGGGGTTTTCTTTCCGTATTTTGATATGAAATTCTGAGGGTATCCATTGTTGATAATGTTCTTTTCGATAACTGCGAGTTACTCTTCGATCTTATTTTCTGGACACAACGTCCAGCTCTGCTGAAGAGCGTTCTTATCAGACTCCGTTTGTAGCTTATTGGACAAAAGCTGTGATGATTTAAGTATTGACCAGTCCAAGTTTCTTTCCTATAGATGTGTTTTTCAATCGTTCCATGATTGCTTCTTTTTATGCTGAGATCTTGGAGGTAGGACTGATTGTCACTTTTTTGATCCATTGTAAATTATATGTGAGGGTGAGTCGCATTTGGTGTTCAAAACATCGTATATGCGTTATCCATATCATTGAAAACCACAAACGTTTCTCCAAAGTACCTGCAGTAATAAGTGGTTCTCTCTGTTTCCGGCTTAATTTGAGTCTGTCCAAGATGAGCCATGAATATGTCCGCGAAAACAGGACCCAAAGGTGAACCCATACCATCCTGTCAATTTACTTGTACACCTTTTTGTTGAATTGGAACTGAATATTCTTCGCAGTCTTTTTCGCAGCTCTTTCAGGAAGAGGAAGTAGGTTGGATTTCTGGCATATGATTCTCAACGCTGCTTCAATGGGCATGCTGGTAAACAGTGAACGAACACCGTATGACACAAGAAGTTTCTCTGAAATATTCGGTTAAGCTAATTCCTGTGAGAATCGAAAGGAATCTGTGATACTATGGACTGATAACTTATTTTTCGAATTGGTTCCAACTTTTGCGCCAACCACCTAGTCAGTTTATGGCATGTTGATTTCACCATTGACATTATAGGTCCACTTCAGATTCGTGAACTTTGGGTTGACCATACATAGACTGTACGCGTTAACCCCTTGCTTTAGAATTATGGAGTAAACTTAGTCGTCATTCAATCAGAATTTTCATTGGATCGCCTAAATCAGATCCAAACACGGGTTAGTTTAATGAAAATAGTGAAATCTCATGTAGTCATAACAGGAGACTGTCAGTTTCTTATAGGTGGATCTGAAACATGACATCCTAGGTATTTCGCTTGTACAAAATCAAGCGTTAACTGAGTATTTTTAAGCAAGTTTCTTTTTAATTTAGGATATGAAAATATTACCGCGCTTGTAGAGTGTGAACAAACGATGAAGAATATTTTGTTTTTCTAATAGGGGGGTGAATATTATTTTATGCATGTGTCCTACTTACCTCTAATTACTGAGCTATGAATTACTCAACACCTTCATTACGTATTACTCTATGCAACGGTTAATAGTCGTACATCTTTACATACACTAACTTGTTGTTTAAAGCGGATACATTTCTATATTACTGACATTGTTAACAGTTATCTAATTCAACGACAGTCCCACTTAGAAGTATTAGAATAATTCACTGTCAAAGGTTTTTTAAAGAAAGAAGTGTTTAATAAGAATTTATTGAGGAAAGTTTAGATACTAAGCTTCTATCTATGACTGCCTTTTATCCAATAAAGATCCAAGTTGATCGACTACATTTTGCTCATCTAAGATTATCCTTTATCATTTTAATCAGTAACTTTTGTATTTTTGTTTTTAAATCTCTCTACCTTAGTGTGAAGTAATTTTTGATAATGAAAGAAGTCAAACGTATTCCTGTGTTTATGAACCACATGTAGAAGGTGAACATCGTGTCATTATTAAATATGGTGGTCAAGAGATACCAAATTCACCTTTTCGTGTCAATGTTAAAGGTGTATTTGTAGATCCCAGTAAAGTAACTGTTAACGGTCCAGGAGTACAAAAATCAGAACTGAATTGTGTTGGTCGACGTACCTATTTCAATGTACTTACTCAAAGTAAGTTTTATACAGTTACAGCTATTTTTATCAAAATTGTAATTTACACTCCTGTGTGTATGTGTAGATTAGTGTTTTACAGTTTGTTGTAATTTAGTATATAATAGATAATGAATGAGTTAATTTAAGAAGCTAATGTTTTTCGTTTACACAAATATGTGTGTACCACACATCTCAAAGGTCTGTTACTCTAATCGAAGTATTTCTTTTGAAATAAATTAATTAGACTAGTCATCTGGGTACATCCAAACATCAGATGATGAGAAATATATTTTAAGTATATCGGTCAAATTTGTTGTACCTAGTCAGAATTAATTTGTTATATAAATCTGTTCAAATGTACTGTTTATAAATTCGTTGAGCATGAGTCACATTGTCTGACTTAGAGGAAGGCAGTATCTAGGAGCTGAGTTGGTTTATGCAGTCTTTTCTTTAAAAAAAGTGAAGTCATAACACAGTGTGGTCAAAGATTATAAAGAAATGCAAAAAAGAACAGAGAGAGAGAAAAAAGGAACGCACTTGAGTTATTGAATTAATAAGTATGTGGTTACATACCTAGTAACTAAATACACTTCGATGTACTTGTCGATGAAGTGCATTTAGTTACTAAGTATATCACTTTATATTGATTTATAACGCATGAATATTCAACTGTATGATGCTCTTTATGAATCTATACTATCAACATAACTTGACTATTTTAGATTCTGGAAACGGAACTGTTGACTGTTATATAATTGATCCTCATGGGAAGAAAGATACTGTGAAACCGCGTATCACTTGTCCCGGTGGAGATGGTTGTTATGTTGTTGAATACACGCCTAAAGATGTTGGTATGCATCAAGTATTTGTAGAGTTTGCTGATAAGCAAATTCCGTATTCACCATTCCATGTGGAAATAGCGCCTAGTAAGTCTTATACATTTATTTCTTCAATGTATTTTTTGAGATGACGTGTTACTGTAAGCTAATTAATTATTATCGTCACACAATGCATAAATTCTGGTATTATTACATAAACAAAAATTATTTTATCCAGGAGAGTCTGGTAAAGGTAAGTAAGTAATACAAAAATAGCATGCTGGCTTATAATTCTGCTTTAAAATCATCCATAGTTTGTCAGTCATTCTTAAAATTTATAAGTGTTATGTTTACATCATAAATTACTGATGCTCCTCATACAACCTGTTACATTTTTTACATCTTTCACTTTCATCTAATCTTGTATGTATGCATACGGATTATTCTGTATCTATAATTTCATAGTCTTTTAACAATTTTATCACTGATACCATTACTGAATATGATATAAAGTATTTTTGCTAACATCAATTCATTGTGATTACAGTCCCATGATGATGATTGGCATACACGGTACTCATTCATTCCCTTGTCTGGTTACAGGATTTCATCATGAGCTGACATCGGTTAGAGAACCATTGGAAAACCTGCAGGGAGTACAGGACAGCCAGCTGTTTCGTCAGACTAGTTTGGGACTCTTCAGTAGCACTCACCCACCGGGGTTTAAACCCAGGTTACGAGGCGAGCTCGTAGACCATTAATCCACTGGGACCCATCCAATGGCCATCACATGAATTCCAACTTATGCTATAGCGGTTGAGCTATATCGTGAATTGGCAGAAGTTGGAATTTATGTGTTGGCCATTGGATCGGATCCCAGTGGATTAATGGTCTACGAGATCTCCTTGTAACCAGAAGGTTCTGTGTTCGAACCCCGGTGGTTGCGTACTTCTGAGGAGTCTCAAACTAGTCTGACGAAACAGCTGGCTGTCCGGTATTTCCAGGTTTTCCAATAGTTCTCTAACTGATGTCAGCTCACGATGAAATCCTGTAACCAATCAATCAAATCCCTACAAACCAATACTTGAACATCCCCTTATCCGTCGTCTATAGACTTTGATGTAAGCTGCTAACACGTGAAACCAGCTGATCACAAGCATCCTGTTGAGATGATGGGGTTAAGAGCTGTTGACATTGTTTCTTTTCTTTCTACTATAACACCATTTTGCTTTGTATAATTTATAGGTCAAAATAATGTGTATCTCATAATTTGAAAGATATTACAGAGTACGGTTACACTGTTATATCTTCTTTCTGTTAAAAGCTTGTTTTTATTTAACGCTATGCGATAGCTGATTCATTCTAATGGGAAATTATATCTGCAATTTAAACATCCTAAGCATGCAAAAATTTGGTTACATTTGTATAATGTTCAGTTAAAAAAAAGAAGTGATTTTCTCTAATTACTTTTGTTTTTCTATGATTTAAAATAGCCGCTGCAGTTGCAGCTCTTTCATCTGTAGTACAAGATGCAAAACTTGACCAATACTTATCTGATTCAAAGAATACTGTTAAGCAGAACGGCTTAAATGGGACGCTTGATGTTAATTCAGAAGGTAATAGTGTGAAGCTGAAAGATGAAAATCAGTTATGCGACGCTTCAGTTGCACATTCATGTGAAATTACTAATGGAGAAGATAATTCTTCTTCAGACAAGGCATTGAATGGCGAATCATGTGTGGAAGAAGTAATTGAAGGTGATCTACAAATTATCTACACCTGCATGCCTGAATTACTTATGCATCGTGTTTAAAGTTATCAGCTCTAAAAGTCTACTCTCTCTATATATATCGTGAAGATATTCAGCATGATGCATGGTATTTTTTGTCTAATTGTTACACTGTTTCATTCTTGCACATAGAAAATCCCTTACTATGTACTTGTTTCTCTGATTGCTTTTCAGAGGTTCATCCGGAGTTAGCTTATGCTACAGGACGTGGTGTTCAAGCACGCGGTGTGCGTGTACAGGATAAAGTACAATTTTCCGTTCATACTGAACGAGCTGGGGATCAAGCTCCACTTACAGTCACTATGAATCGAGCAGGTATACAATCTTGAATTTTTTTCTAAATTAGGTTATTTATGAAAACTGTTTAGTGCTCTACCACCTGGTATATTTGATTTTGAACGTTTTTCTCATTTTCTCAAGATTAGTGGTATCTTTAGCATTAAGACAAAAAAAAATATTACCAAAGAATGTCCGTCCTCTGTCTCAGCTAAAACTTTGTTATTTTATAGATTAGTTGTTGTGTTGTAAGGTTAACTTTTACACATACTTTGTGGCAAGTCCTTACTGTTATCTTAACTTATAAATTGCGAAGTAACTTTTTTCACTTGAGAAATGTTTGTATGTACTGAATATAAACTTCATTTTTGTACTTTTTCTTATATTGTTTACATTTTATTATAGCTTGTGGACTAAATTACCTTCCTTACTTTGGTATTTTGCATCTAACTGTAGCATTATACACTCAGTTGTGTCCCATCATCATCTACCAGTGGTGCTATGAGTAACATTATATCAGAGACCACTCAGATACACAACTTTGCTAAGTCATGCATTTCTGTAGATTTCAAATATTTTATTGATTTCCATCAGTTTGTCCTCTCTCAACTATCCTTCTCGTTTTAATTCTGTTTCTGTTCAATTTTGTTCTTTTCGTGTGTCTCAGTGTATGTGAAGACTTCTGCATTGATGTTTGCTTAATATTGAGAATATATAATACCACTGATTGATTGAGTTTCGGTATAGAACTTCAAGATGCTACACTCCATAGAGCAGACAAAAGTAGAGAAAAGGGATTCAAAAGAACTGAAACAAGTGTAAATGTGCTGGAGAAAGAATAGTTACACCGAAAAAGGGAATGCATCTGGTCAACTGAAAACGATTTTCAGCTAAATGACCAGTACTCCCCAGCCATTGATTCTTAGCGTCTCGACGACCCCCACTTAGCTCAAAATAACTCAAAGACTTCATGGACTGATGCCAGGCTTTAGTTTGACCATCCTTAGCTCTTTTCCAGTCTAATACAATGTCAAATGATGTTGTCCGTCGAGGAAGGCAATGACTAGGCGTGTGTAACACATATCCTAACCATTTGAATAGATGGGACCGAATAACGTCATCGAATAGCTTCTTTTCCTTGCCTAGCACTGTATGTTTAACCTCAATATTGCTCACTATATGTATATATAGCAACTAGCACGTATTTCTAGCCCTTTATTTCATTTAAATGTACAGTTGTTACCTGTAGAATTCCGCTCTTCCTATTCAATGCTCATTAAATACATTCGAATAGATGGTTTAAAATTTAACCGAGTACAAGCTGTTTATTTGTTGTTGTTTTTTAAAACGATTTTAATGTTTGCTTTATGTTTGTTTTTGTGTTTTTTATTTTTTTGAAATTTTCTCCAATTAAAAGATGGTCAAAGTGAAAGTGTGGAAGTTCGTCAAAGTGATAAATTCCTGTGGGATTGTTTCTATAGTCCACAACGACCTGGGAAGTATACGCTTGGTATTCGCTATGGTAATGGACATATTCAGCATAGTCCGTATACAGTAAGTATTGATAGTTGATAAATATACAAACTATGATTGATGGATTAGCACTAAGATTATTATTTTTTTTGTAATGTCTGAACTATCAGAGTGATGTTTTATTTATCCGATTGCCTTGGGTTTATTCAACATCCTTACAATGTGTCTTGTCTTGTATGCAACAGGCTTCCTACCCTTCTCTTGTCAGGAATAGAAATGGATGATTGGTTGTTACTACAGAGATAATGTTTCACACGCCTCTAAATCACCCATCATCTTCACTTGTTATAATAGATAAGGACGTTCTGGCATTTAAGTTACTATTTATTTTATAGGAGAGATATAAGCATACCTGTCTTCAGTCTTCTAGCATTATCAATTCAATACTCCAGTGGTAAATAAGTCACCAACATTATTTGCCTATGGCATTCATCACTAAGCATTAGGTGCGCTGACCTTCACTGTTTGAGTCGACTCGCTAGGCTGAAGGCTTGTGGTCGAGCATCAACCCCATTCGACACGCCGTCATGTTACATTCATTCGTTTGTTCGTACACTATCCTTAGCTAGTTAAGCAATTATCCTCACATTACAAGTTTGGTCACGAAATATATTTCGTATTTTTGACGATCAATTTGGTGTTTTGATTTGCCTCTTTGATCTACGCAGAACAAATACTGTAGGAGTGAGTTGTGGGTGGGTATAAGAACTTGCATTGGTATACGTCCTACTTTGTGTAAATATCAACACTCCCTCATCTCCTAAAATACTATTATTATTATTTTTGGTGAGATTGAGATAGTCTTGACTTGACACGTTATTTATTCATGCATTTACGCGACATCTAAGCATCATTGGTAATTTAAATGATTAGCGGATTTAACGTATGAAAATTCACTCTTTAAACGTTTGTATAGCACTGAAATCAATAAATTCTCCTGTGAAATACAAACCTTTTTGTTCAAAACCACTATTTTAATTTATTCAAAAATGATATTTACCCTTGTGTATTTATTGTATAAAGATAAAAACTGGACTGCAATCATCTTAAAAATACATGTATTCAAAAATCCTTAGTAGTACTAAAGACACAAAAATAAGTGTGAATCATAGCTTCCTGAGGTAAGTAGTAGTGTGGTGAGAGCTGGCTGCTAGCCAAAGTTGGTAGACAGTAATTCACGTCAATGTTTATGTCCCCAATATTGGTGGTGAGAAAATGAGAACAAAGGCTTTGCGTAGGCGGATACAGTTAGCATATGGATGATCCGACACAGCCACAAAGAGACGCAAGGTTAACTTTCTGTGAGAAACAACTAATCAAAAGACTTTTCTATAGTTTGGTTTGTAAGGGTTTGTTATGTTTTTACGAGTTGATCACGGACTGATATCAGTTAGAGAACCATTGAAAACCAGGGAGTACTGGACAGCTGCTGTTTCATCCTAGTTTGGGAATCATCGGCAGTACGCACCCACTGGGATTCGAACCCAGGACCTTCCAGTTACAAGGCAAGCTCGTATACCATTCAGCCACTGGGTTGGGGTCGCGCTAAATCACGAATTGGTAGAAGTTAGAATTCGTGAGCCATTGAATCGGGTTCTCTAACTGACATCAGTCCGTGATCAACTCGTAAAAATCAAAAGACTGTATTTTCTACTGACAATAATCTACAATAATGTACATTAAAATCTATAAATATGTGTTGATTTTCCTTAATAAACGATCTGTTGCCTGGCCCTTGTCTTCTGTTGTTACAGTAGTAGTAGCAGTCCTTCAACATCAGCCAGATTGAAGTGATCTAAACACCTGACGGCCGTTTCTCTCGTTTGGTTGGTGGTGGTAGGGCGGGAGACAGGCTGAGCTCATTAGCGGTGTACCCGATTTTCTCTCAGCTCAGTGAGAGTCGAATCAATTCAAACGACCCGAAAATGATTTATTTTTCATCCAGATAAGGATATTTATCAGTAGTGAAGAATAAAAATAATCTTAAAGTGTATCTCTGGGTGAATATTATGCATTATCGTGTATGCTCTACTGTTATTGTGTGTTTTTTGTTAGTGTCAAATACTTGACTGAGGTTGACAGGATGAAAATGAATTTATGTATCAATTTTTTTTTAATGTCGCCAAATTCTTACTCTATTTAATAAGTTCACATTATTCTCGAATTAATTAAGCTCGTACTAATTGATAGTAAAACCGAGAAAATGAATTCCAATATTGTTGTGTTATTTTTGGTCACCTACTTATTTGTTTATTTATATTAATTTTGAAAATTTTGTCTGCAGGTTTGTTTTTTTAACCGTCTTTCTGTGTGGTATTTTGTTTTTTCAACCTACACTGTATCAATAATTTAGCCGATGTCAAAAGTGATCAAATATTACTTAGATGTGTAGTTGTTTGTAACAGCAGCGAGTAGCATTCTATTAGGCTGTAATCGGTTAGTCCGTGGCATAGCGGTAGAATTTTCCCCAACGACGCATGTGGTTCGGGGTTCGATCCCCGGCGACGGACGCACTCCTTAACCTCACTAAGTTAGTAATAAGACTAATAAAGAGGGAAGGTTGGGCATGAGGCTAGCAACCCCATCCCGTAAAAGTGAATAAACACCACTCCTACCGAAACGTCAAAGCCCTAGTTATTTGTTCCACTGGGAACGAAAAGTATTAAAAAAAGCTATATTCGTATCAGATTTTACGTTTGGCGGCTGCTTTAGAGGTCAACTTCTTATTTTCCATGTCTGAGGTATCTGTTATGATGTTTGTTATGCTATGCACGAAAACACCTCGTGTTAGCTTTTATCCTCAACCTATGCTGAGAGGTTTTCTGCACATGCAGATAATTTTCGTCATGGGATTTTAAGTTGTTTGTTTTGAACAAACACGGTCAGTAAAAAGTGAAGACAAAGTAAGAAAAAAAGAATAGAATCAAGTATATAACAACAGAAACAAGGCACAACAAAATACAATATTTAAGATTAATGTACATTATTTTAGATTATTGTAGTAGAAATACAGTTTATTTCATTCAGATCATATTTTATATCTGCTGTTAAAAAGAGCTATTCCAAATCTGAGAAACACTTTGCAAGAAACTCAAAAAGCATTTCCCGCGTATTTACAGAAAGCTTTATTTAAAGTGAAGAATATATTTTCTAAGATGACACAAAACAAATATTCAGATATTGGTTTGTAGGGAAGTCGTGACCATTAGGGTGCAACAGGTTGGGTGTGAGGACAAATACTCGCCAAAGACACTGGCTAGTGGTCGCGCTTAGTTGTGAATTGGCAGAAGCTGGAATTTATGTGCTGGCCACTGGATTGGGTCCTAGTGACTTGATGGTCTACTAGCTCTCCTTGTAACCAGAAGGTCCTGGGTTCGAACCCAGGTTGCTGCGTACTTCTGAGGAGTCCCAGACTAGTCTAACGAAACAGCTGGCTGTCCGGTATTTCCAAGTTTTCCAATAGGTTTCTAACCGATGCCAGCTCATGATGAGATCCTGTAAACAAAACAAATATGTTCATAGGATAAGATGTACAGTGTGAGACTTGTTGTATGGGAGAAAATAGGTGGCAAGTGATGATCAGTAAAAGAACATAAGTTGTGCACAAAGCGTCCACCTTGCAATGCAGTGTGATGCACCAAGGGTGCGAAATAGGACGGTAGATAGAAAAAGAAGTGATTTTTACAATGCAGAAATTTTAAAAAGTACTTTTCAACTACATAAATAGATTTCAAATTTATAATAAAGGTTTTTTGTATTTCCCAATGAATGAAAAACAAAACGACATTGTTTTTACTGACGTTTCGCTATTTAATGCTAATAACTTTATCAAAGTATTATACAATAATACTACATAATATTATGATACTTTGATAAAGCTATTAGCATTAAATAGCGAAGCGTCAGTAAAAACAATATCGTTTTGTTTTTCATTCATTGGGAAATACAAAAACCTTCATTATAATGAATATCATATACCCGATGCCCAAATTTTTTTGAAACTGTTAATATTTCAAATTTGACCACGAATTGATTTCACGTAAAAGTCAATAGGCTCCGCTAATAGCCTAAAGGTCTTCAGTGTGTTCCTTGGAGGGTTATTGGGTTCGTACTGTTGAGGAATCCCAAACAGGGATGAAGCAGTACTCCCTGGTTCTCTGACTGATATCAGTTCGTGGTCAAACTTGAAATCAATCAAAGTTCAGCAAACCAATACTTTAAGACAAATGGAAGATCAGTTTCTGAAGTGTTGAGTGTTTTAATAACATCGAATGTGGTAAATAGGAGGTAAGGAATAAACTGATCACTCATACTGTAAATTCTAGTTCATTCTAAATCTTTTAATGATGATCACAGTTGATATTCATGAATAAACGTGTTCTCCAAACGATAAATAAAACGCCTACACATTTTTTGACTATTCCATCACGTGGGACAATAATGACTGGGCATATTTAAACAGTTTTAACACACAATATTCTCCTACAAAATGACCTTCATTATATTTTGTTTACTTAATTCGATAGATTTGTTTTGAAGGAACTGCAGCTTACTCAGCGAAATATTCAGATAGTTGAGACAATGAGTTTTGTGGCACAGATCCTGATGTTGATTTTCAGTATCTTGCTGAGTGTAGAGCTCACTACCATTGTTCCTCTAATTCATTTAGCCTACCTTCCAAAAGTACACACGTGAATTATCTATCCGCATCAATAAATCGATTGGTTTCATTAAATTCTTATTTTTCAGTGTTAGCTGATACAAAGTCATTAGTGCTGATTTGTCAAAACTCTCAAAATATAACACTTTTAGAAATGAATTATTCATAATTAATTAAATAGCGCTATTTGTTTGGGATAATTAAACATGGTTAATCTATATCTTCATATTTTTGTGGTTTGAAATTTTCTGTAGCGATTATAGATTGATTGATTATCTTGAGTGTAGTCGCTAGTCCTATAGTAACGAGTCTACATCCCACCTTTCCTCTTTTTCCGAGTTTAAGTCCGGCTAGTGAACTGATAAACAAGGCCCGACAGATATGCAGGAATAAATGAAGACGGATTAGATATACTCTGAGGAGATCATTGGGTGGCATCACGCGTAGTTGGAACGTGGTTGGGAGATGACAACCTCGGTTTCTGAGGTTGACATGAAGACGGTCGTGTGAAGAGGAAATGAACGCTTATAGACAATCTTGGAACTAGTTAACAAAGACTTCAGAGAATGTGAAGTAGAAACGTGCTACTGAAGGGCTGTTTCGCTAGGAAACCAAGGGGACAGTCATATGATGATAATCTGTATCTGCAAAATTATTTCATTTTTTATATGCTAATTAACTAAATTGTAAAATTCAAACTTATCCACATCAACCAACAATGCTCATTTATTTCTCTTGCTCTATATTGTCTACACTATTTCAGATTGTCGTTGGTCCATATAAAAAGTCTGCAGTACGTGCTTTTGGTCCAGGTTTGCTAGGTGGCATTGTTAATCATCCAAATTTATTCACGGTTGTATGTAATGGTGAAGGTGCTGGACTAGGTTAGTATTTGTTTACTGTTTTGATTGACTGTTAATATACTTCCACCTTTTGTATTAAAACTATAGATGCTAGTTCATCTTTCCTTTATTCCTTGCTTTCCAAGTAGGACATAGGGCTTCAGGCTCTTACTTTTCAGTAACGGTAGTATTATTCTTCACAGGGTGGGATTGCTAGCATCACATACGACCTTCCTTCTTTTCTCTCCTTACTACCGACTAGGTGGGACTAAGGAGTGCGTCGGACGTCGGAACATCCTACTGCTGAACTGCTGACGCGTATTCATCATGATCATCAACTATTATTTCCCAGCAAATACGACTAAAATGTCGTTTGAAAAATATTTGACCTCTACTATGCTTCATTCTTCGGTCTAAAGACTTCCCAGTTGTATACACTGTAATTGTTTTATTTAACTGGATTATAGCATTTTTATGTCAGTAGTGCCTTGATATGATGAGATGAACCAGTCGACACAGGCTCAGAACTGTTAGATGACTGAAGGCAATCTACAGGAAGTCCTAAACCTTGGTTTCGCGTTTGTTGACACTCGTCAGCAAGATGTATCTGCAATCTCAAGAGAACTCATGTCAGTTCTAAGATTCGAGTCCAGGTTATGCAGTGCTGTCGTCAGACACATTGCCTCCGACTGACATAATTTAGTCTGCACTATTGGATGATATTAGTTACTATCTAGTATCAAATCAAAGTACAGAGACAAAACGCTCATCAGTATGTTGATCTTCCATTTTCAAAATTTAAGAGTTATCAAACGTGATACGCAAACAGATACATATCAGTTACAGAACCATTGAAAACCAGCAGGGATTAGTGGACAACTGTTTCATCAACCTAGTTTGGGACTCATCGGCAGTACGCACCCACTGGGTTTCGAACCCAGGACCTTCCAGTTACAAGGCGATCTCGTATACCATTCAGCCACTGGGACCCGATCCAATGGCCAGCCCATGAATTAAAACTTCTACCAACTCGTGAAAATTAATCTGATGCTCGCTAGTGACTGGCTACAGGACGAAGTTTCCTGGAGTTCTAGTGAGAAGTTGTGACCGGTGGGGTCCATCCAGTTTGGAGTGAGGATGAATTTTCCGCCGATGACATCAGTTGGCGGTCACGCTAAAATCACGAATTGGTAGAAGTTAGAATTCATGGACTGACCATTGATTCTGGTCCAGTGACTGATTCGTTTACGGGCTTGCCTTGTAACCGGAAGGTCCTGGGCTCGGAATCCAGTGGGTATGTACTGCCGATGAGTCCCAAACTAGGCTGACGAAGCAGTTGTCCAGTACTCCCTGCTGGTTTTCAATGGTTCTCTAAGTGATATCAATCCGTGGTCACACTAGAGAAACAAATCAACTCTTGAAGCCACATATCATCTGGCTTTTTTCCATAACAGTCCAAGTTATCACATCTTAACTGTTTTGTTATTTTATTCGTCATTTTGAATAAATTTAACTTGAATTGAATCTCTACACTTCTGTCTAGTACATAGAGTAAATCACTAATCCACTAAATGGGGGCAACTGTCTCAACATCACAGGGCTTACTATATGCTTACTATTGGGAGTTTAAGCTGCAACTCCAAACACTTGTCATTCATTCTGTTTTCTATCATAGATTATCAAATTTTTTATTAACAAATCTATTCCGTGCATGTATGTGACTTTTCGTAGCTTTATTTTCACAGCCTACCATCATGTTGTTTTATTCAGATGGAAGTAATGAAATAGTGTAATTGCTTTGTATGAACATACATACTTTAATACACTGTGATATATATAGTGTAAAGAGATGACTTAAGTCAATTTGCCATATGATTACCTAATCGTTTTTATTACTTAAAAGTACAGACAACCTTCTTATTTGAATTTACGTAGACGGTTATTTGTCGGAATGTTTAGTTGACCTTTTAGAGATTATAATTACTTAGTTTATCATATTAAAGTTCCTTAATCCGTATAAAGGTGATTATCTATCAGTCATGAACATACTTCAAACTTTATAATATTATATTAACGTGTCATAATTTACTTCGAGTGATATTATCGTAAACTTAGAAAAAAAATAATGAAATTTTAATCCTCTTTTTTTGTTATTAATAATGTCAATCTTTTCTAGGTTTCTTGATTGAAGGTCCTAGTGAAGCCAAAGTTGTATGTCGAGATAATGGAGATGATTCAGCCCTTGTAACGTATTCAGTTTCACAGCCTGGTGAATATGCAGTCCATGTGACATGTTATGATGAAGACATACCTGGATCACCTTATATGCCTATAATTGTTCCTGATATTAAAGATATTCATCCTGATAAGGTATAAATGAAGTGAATTTTTAAACCATTGCCAAGTATTATGCATAGTTCCTACATGACAATCCTTAAACCTAAATAAGGACTAGTTTGTGAAGTGGTATTTTACGTTGTGGGAAAGGAATAATGGTATCTGAAATCAATGGCATGTTATCCTATTTAGACTGTCATAATCAATCCTTAGGTACACATTTGGGGAAGCCCATAAAAGTGTGTGAAGCAGTAATCAAATCCCTACAAACCGAAAACTTGAAAATTAACCTAGCGGTCACTTGTGACCTACCACAGGAAAAAGTTGATTGGAGTTCTAGTGAGTAATCGTGACTAGTGAGGTCCAGCAAGCTTGGTGTGAAGATAAATACTCACCGATGACTTTGACTAGCGATCGTGCTATATATTTTCGAAATGACAGAAGTAAGAGTTGATGTGCCATCATTTCTTTAAATATGAAACATAAATGTTAGAAGAAATTTCACAAAAATGATGTGTACTTTATTTTCTACAATACTGTCAAAAAATATCCCGTTTCTGTCGAAGTCATCAATGTAACAATTAACGTAAGCTTAGTAATGCATTGCATAGGGAATGTTACCTAACTTACAAAAGTAAATGGACCAATGTTAGTCTGAGACCAATAATCTTTACATAGAAATATGAATGAACTGGAGTTAAGGAGTGGGGGGGGAAGTAACTGACTGATTAGAATAGTTAACTCAGATATTATTGATTAAGGTTGTACAAATCCTACAATATTCCAGGTTTTAACAACAACGATCCCACATCATATTGTAACTACATATCTTGACGAATAAATATATGCTAAATGGCTTCTTAGAATTCACACCAACTATCGTTTCGGGCGAGTTCAATAGCTGACACTGTTAGGTCTTCGTCAAGATTTCTCTCTCCATTAGTATAGAATCGCTGTTAGTTTAATTTGTGGTTGGATTTAAAATCCATTTGTATAAAGTAATTTTCGATTTAATTAGTTTTATAAATTTTTATTATGTTTATTCTCTGTCTTATTCTCTCTACTTTACAATATGCTTTGTAGTTACGTATTTACGGTCCCGGTGTGGAAACAACAAATCTTACTGTTGGTCAACAAACAGAATTTTATGTGGATGGTCTACAAGATGCTGTACCTGTTCATATGTTACATTCAATGAATGAGTCTTTGTTACACGTGGATTGTCATGATTCTACGGGATATCCAGTTCCAGTTCAATCTCGCATGAAGTCTGATGGTACTGTAGTTTACACCTACAAACCTGTGTCTCCTGGAGTTCACACTATATATGCCGCTATTGCAAACACTTCTCTCAAAGGCGTTCCGTATAGAGTATGTGTTAATATATTTTTTTGCTTAAGTCTAAAGGCTTTATGAATTATCAGTTTTTTTCATTATCAACTAACTGACTGACTATTCTTTCATCACTTAGGTTAATGTTGCTCCTGAAATACAACCAGAAAAAGTGAAATTATGGGGTCCTGGTTTACAGAATGCTGTTAGAAAACAGCCAACTCACTTCTTCATTGATCCTCAAGAAGTATTCTCAGGTGAACATGAAGCTGAACTAATGGCCAATAATCCAATATCTGTAACTATTGTGGACGACCGTGCTCAGCCAATTCCTATAAAGTTAAACAAACAATCAGATAACACTGTTCGTGTAGAATACACTCCACCCTCCAAATGTTCAAATGTGCATATTACACCTCTGATAGGTGGAACACCATCGAAGACTGTTAATGTGCCTGTACATTGTGGTTTTGACGTTTCTCAGATTAAAATACAAAATTTAGATAACAGTAAGTTGAATCTATTTCCCAGTCAGTGATTTTAGTAGTTGCATTGAATTTGTTATTGGATAATGAAGCAATTTGGTTTAATCGTTTTTTATGCTCATGAATAAACGTACATCCTTCTGGTGAAATGGAATACGACGTTACAACAAGTACACTGCATTTTTAATACTGGAAGTCAGTGTCACAGTTGTTAGGATCTTGTTATAATCTACTTAAGGGTGAGCACAATGTGTTCCACTGGTTGGTCAAATCATTATTTTTCCATTGATATATTTGAACACCGAAGGTATACCATTCGTCAGTGGAATTTACTTTAAATCCTTACCATTTTTTATGCAGAGTTTTCACACAGTATGAGTGAATAACTGTAATTATGATGAAGAGACTTTTGCAGAAGATACATTGTATTCTCACTTAGCTTAATGACAACTTAATTTCTTATGAGTAATATCAAATGCGTTAGTATTTTGTTTTCTCCTTCACGTTCCCAGTGGAACATAGGGCTTCAAGCTAGTGGCTTGAAGTTTCTGTAGCAGTGTTTATTTTTACAGGATGGGGTTGCTAGCCTCATGCCCAACCTTTCCTCTTTACCAGCATTATTTCTGGCTTAGCGAGGTAAAGGAGTGCATCGGTGGCCGGGGATCGAACCCCGGACCATGTGCATGGTCGGCGAGCGTCCTAACCGCTGTGCCACCGACGCACCATGCGTTAGTATACTTGGAACTAATAGTGTTGCTTTTTATTTATTTATTTCATCAGCTATATACTGCCAAACATAGAGGATTTAAAGATGCTTGCATTATTTAAGTACAATTAACCTTCTCAGTATCTTGTGTATATGCTGCAGGCAGGCATTACAGGAGTATATAATTCTGATTAAAAGAGAAAATAATAATATGGGTTTTAAATTCTTATCTTCTGAGGTGACTGAGACAGTATGATTTGCATATTCTGATTTATTGCCTATCTCAATAGTAAATTTAGGCTGAACCCTGGTGATGTTGAAACTACAGTTAAGGATGACCAGACGAATGGATAGGATTAAATTTGTGGTTTATGAAGTTCTCAGGGTATTGATTTCCTCATTTTATGACTTTCTTTTGTACTTCTAAGTTTTTTTCTGAATTTGCTGTGTATTTCGATCTGGTGTGCAGTTATATTGGGTTTCTTTTTAAGAAATAATGTTTACTTGTGACTTATCTATGCGTTAAATTACACGATTTTCATCGTGTTCTTTCGTAATATATTTTTTTGAGATATACATTTGTTAAGAGGATGATTTTGCTTACTGATTTGTCTTCAAATCAGTTGTGATATCAAATCACAAAATCAATATAGAAAAATGTCAGTGTGAAACATCTAAGATTGTAATTTGCTTTATAACAAGTATACTTTATTCTGAGTACTCATCATGTGTCTTTATTTTTATGTAAATATGGGGATTTATTCAACTGAGTAATTCATCATAAGTCGTATTATTTGCTTATTAAGTGAACACTATTCAGTATCTTCATTTAATAACCTCATTTATTTTCCAGACTGTTGTATTTGTGATCTATTCATTGACCAGTAGAGTATTATTATATTATTATTATTCCCTTGGGTTCCGAGTGGAACATAGGGCTTCAACAACACATCCCCACTTTGTTCTATTTTCTGCCATCCCCTTCAACTGGTCCACGATTGCCCATAATCTCTCATCTCCCCCAACTCACACGATCTCCTCCATGTCACCCTCGCACTGACGACCCACTTGTCGCTTCCTATTGAGATTCCACTCGAGCAATGCTATTGCGCGTGGTGTCATTTGACGGTCTCCTCAATGTATACCCGATCCATCTCCATTTTCTCCTACATATTTGTTGAGCAATCGGCTCTTGTTTGGTTTGTTGGCAGCCAGAGTTTCTTGTTGCCAATTCTTTCTGGCTGATCTTGAGTATGTAGCCAGCCAGTGAAGGAGTCAGCTATTGATAAAAGTCTGCAACATGTAAGAAATGCTTTTCGTGACGCGTAGTGCAAGTTTTTGACCCGTAGAGAACAAGTAACTGACTACATATTTGTGTTGAAAATCCGAATCTTGTTGTTATGCTGATGATGAGAGATTTCCAACTGATTTCAGGTTGACGAAGGCGTATCTCACCTTTCCGATTCTGACTGGCTGGATTTGATATCTTCATGCGTCCCGACTGCCTGTAGCTGAAACGATGCTTCCTGGCCATATTTGGGTTTTAACTGTGGTTCAACGTATTTTCAAGAAGAGCATAATTGGTTGGAGGATTCATCATGAGCTGACATCAGTTAAAGAACCATTGGAAAAACTGGGACTGCTGGACAGCTGTTTCGTCCTAGTTTGGGACTCTGCGTCAGCACGCACCCAGCGGGGGTCGAACCCATGACCTTCTAGTTACATTTGTAAACAGAAATACAACATTTTCTACAAGAAAACACGCCTACATGTTGTCAGAAGAAATGACGGTGTTCACAGTTTTGTTTGATTGTGTAAAACGTATTTTCTTTCTTTAATTATGAGTATTATTATTACTATTTATACAGTCATATGACTGATATGTTTTTCTGATTACAGCCATCAATCTTCATTCAACTAGTCAATTTGTAATTTCTACAAAAGACGCTGTACACCTACTAGATCGTGTTACAGTAAATATTCAGTCAGTAGACATGCCAGAAATATGTTTACCAGTTAGCCTAAAAGCTGAAACAGACGATGAGATTTTATGCACATTTTCAACTATTGATTTACTAGGCTGTTACAGTGTGAAGATTATGTTGGATGATGATAATGTGTTAAGTGATCATCCTCCATTAACATTCACTGTGGTAACTAGTAACACAGAATTAAGTGTTGAATGTGTCGATGGCAGTAATTTACATTTATGTAATGGTGGTGATGAATTGTGTAAGAGTCAAAATGAAACCGACCAAAGGGGGGATATTCATGAAAATCAATCGGTTGATGAAATATTACCTACAGAATGTCAATTAGAAAATGGAATCTGTTTACCTCATAATGGATTTGTTGAACATAGAAATGATGATGATCAGCACTCGTGTACAACTGAAGCTAATTGTAATGTGTGCGACGAGTCAGCCGACGGCGGTGATGTGGATTTGGAAGCAAATAATAATGCTATTCATCCAATGAATAATGGAAATGGTTTTAAGAATAGTGAAGATAGCGTACAGTCCACGGCTGCTACTAAAATTGATATGTTCAAGATTTTTATCAGGAATGGTTATACAGAAAAATGTGAACAGGATAATAAAGAGGAAGAGGAGTTTCTACACACTGAATACAACAACATTTCCGAAATTTCATCACATGAAAAAGATGATGGGATAGTCAATGGACACAGCACTGACTGTACTTCACCACCAACAGCACAGAAGTATCCTCCAAGACTGTTTATTACAGAGAAGGAAAAAGTAAAATTTGCCTGCCTATTCACTTATCTTTCCCTTTCCCTTTTATTCTAAACACTAACTTTATTGTGGAATGATGGTGTGCATGAAATTAGTAACTACTAATACTTGTACTGCTTCCCTTCTTTTCATTCCTGTTTATTTTCAATCTGTATCTTTAAGCATGCTGCACATGGGGATAGTTTTACCAATGAGCATGTTAGAATAAACCTAAACAGTCTTTTGTTTCTATTGATTTCTTACACTTTATTCCTTATACTGTTTTTCTTTTATTAACAAATTAGACTGATATCATAGCTAAAAGTAAATGGCCTCAACCGACACCTGAACAACACGCCTACAGTATAACAGCTCAAGGTTCAGGACTTGATAAGGCCTTTACTAACCAGTCAGCTGAATTCATCATTAACAGTGAACTTGTCCCACCAGCTCCGTTGAGTGTAACAATTGCTGGACCAAGTGAAGCAAAAATTCAGTGTATAGATAATGGAAATGGAACGTGTGGTGTGAATTATACACCATTTGCACCAGGTTGTTATACAATTAATGTAGTGTATAACAATGAACTACATATATTTGGAAGTCCATTTTTTGTTCAAGTATACCCTGCTGATAAACCAAATTTAAATGTAGATGATGTACTGTGCTACGGTGTTGGAGTGGATTCGAATGGTGCGTTCATATTTGTGATTACTCTTCTCAGTATTGACAATAATAGATGTTCAGCATGTTGGCATGTATAAATTATTCCCTGATACAGAAATACTCCGCACTTTGTGTTTGAATAAAAACAACTAGAATGATCATATGTTCTTTTTGTTTTATGCATGCATAACTTTTGAAACAACTAATGCATTTTCTACCCCCACCCCATCCCGAATTTTCTATTGTTTAATAACTATCATTTAACCGTTTGCATTTATTTGGCTTTCATTATTTTTATTTTATTTTTTCTAGAAGTACACAAGGCTTCTTACGTCAAGTTTATTGTTGACGCATCAGCTATTGACCCACACGGTGAAGGAACAGTGTCAGCTATTCTTACCGGTCCAGATAATGAAACATCTGCCTGTCAAGTAGTGAATTCCAAAGATGGAAAGTATGTTTGTAATTATACCCCATTGGAGGAAGGTAAGTAATTGATTTATTTTATTTTTTCTAATCTCTTAAACCCTATGATCTAGAGCAGCATACTTTGTGTAATGTTAAAGTGCAATGTAATACTCATTGTTTGTGATATATTGTGATATGTAGGTGGACATGTTGTCTGGATAATGGACCAATCAGTTGTTTCACATAAATAGCTAGACAGAAACACAATAGATTATTCTCTCTCACGCCTACGCCATTGGACATGTTATACATTTTATTATGGATTATCTTTTCTCACTCCTACGTCATTCAGCCCATGTATACATTCTTATTTGTGTCTTTGATTACCCAATATTTCAATGTCCTTTTGTAAAGGTACTTTTCTGTCTCACCTTGTTGTGTGTTCTCGCTTAACTAGCAGCGGGCTAGGCAGTCAAGTAACCGTTGTTTAAGTTCCATTGTGGATATGACATGACTATGAGCAATAAATTAAAGTGAAAACGTCATCAGTAAATATAACGGTACGACACCGTGAGACTTTATCAAAATAAAATTTTATCCAAAATGCAATTGTGATCTACCGACAGCGCACAAGTTCTATTCTTATATGGTTGTCTAAGTTGTTGACGTGGACAAGTGATATTCGTGACCACCAACCACATCTGTGTCCAGCTTGGTGTCCCTATTCAACGCAGCATTTGTTGTTTTTTTTTTGCAATATAAAACATTAGTAAAAGTATGGTAAATAACTAGTCAATTTACTTGCTGTTTCCGTCTACAAGGTTTAGATTTATGCAACCATCCTTCACAGCTATCGTATCGATGTCAGAGGAGAAGGTGTATCAGTGCATCCTGTTACTTTTGGTCCTTTCACTTTAAATTAATTTTAGGGCGATACTAAGGAATATACACCAGTGTCGGATGACGTTGAACCAACCAATCAGATCGCTCAGCACTACAAATGGATTCTTTTCATAATTTTCGTTGCAAATTTCATCCTGATTCAGGATTACGGTTATGGTAGGTTGAGAGTAGGATTATGGTGAAGGTTAGAGTGGAAGATGCAACGATGATTATCAAAAGCGCATCCATTTGTAGTGCTGAGCAACCTGATTGGTTGGTTTAAGGGGTCATTTGACTTTGGTGTCTATTCTCTACTGTTGCCTAATTTTAAGCCTATGAACTGGTATTCATTGCTGACAAACAACTTTCAGAATACGCTGTTGATATGAAATCAAGGTAACTTCTTATGTGGTGAGAGCTGTCTACTAGCCAAATTGGTAGACAGTAATTTACGTCAATATTTACATTCCTAAGATTTGTCGTGAGAAAATGTGAACAAAGATTGACTTTGCGTAGGCGGATGCAGTTAACATATAGAGGATTTGACATTCAAGAAACAGTCACAAAGAGATGAAAGATTAACTTTACGTGAGAAACAACCAATCGGAAGACTGTGTTTGTTTGCTTAAATAACCATAGTAATGTACATGCAAATATATGAATATGCTTTGATTTCCTTAATAAATGATCTGTTGCCTGACTCTTGCCTTCTGTCGTTACACTTACATCAAGGATAGTAGTAGGTTAGTGGTGGCACTTTTATTAACACTAAATGATTTATTGGAGGTTAGTGACAAACTAGTAACAACAGAAGACAAGGGCCAGGCAACAGATCGTTTAATAAGGAAAATCAGCACATATAAATAGATTTCAATGTACATTATTGTTAGTAGGAAATACAGTCTTTTGATTGATTGTTTCTCACAGAAAGTTAACATTGCATCTCTTTGTGGCTGTGTCAGATCATCCATATGCTAACTGTATCCGCCTACGCAAAGCCTTTGTTCTTATTTTTAAATATTGGGACTAAACATTGACGTCAATCACTGTCTACCAACTTTGGCTATCAGCCAGCTCTCACCACATACTAAGTTCGGTGTAGTGTTACAGTCATAAGTTTGTCGGGTATCATATTCCAGGAGAGAGATTTTGAGAAGAATCTAATGTTAAGGTGTTCTATTTATTAGACAATCACTTATTAAATACACACTAATTGGTTATCAGAACTAAAAGCTCGTCTTTTCTAGTGCCATCCAGTCCCTATCATTTTGCAGCATCTACTGCGATGAAATTAAATGGGTGGTAGCTTTAATTAAGTATGTATCATTATCCTTGTACGATAATTTGTAGCGCATTACATTCTTATAATTTGATAGTTTTCATGCATTCATTCCCCCTTTTGTTGTGAACAGTTTCATACCCAACCCTTTGTTTGGTAACGTGACGCTAGAATGTTACTTTGCGTTGCAATATCTTCTCTAACCTGCCTTCAGTTTATGTAAGCAATCCTTAACTTTTCCTGTTTTATTCCATTAGGCCAACATCAAATAGACGTAACCTATGAAGGTCTTGCAATACCAGGTAGTCCTTATCGTGTTCAAGTTCTTCCTGGTTGTGATCCAAGTCGAGTTAAAGCTTACGGTCCAGGTCTTGAGAATGGAGCACATTTAAAACCTGGTGAACAAACCAGTTTCACTGTTGACTTGACAGGAGCTGGTCAAGGTGGTTTGGGTTTAGCAGTTGAAGGTCCAAGTGAAGCACCAATTGATTGTCAAGATAATCGTGATGGTACTTGCACAGTTTATTATACACCTTCTGAAGCTGGTGCTTATTCTGTGTATGTACGCTTCAATGATGTTAATGTTCCAGGTAAAAAAATACTTATTTCAACTTATAGAGTTTATTATCTATTTAAAATATTTGTGTCACTGGTCGATTCAATTCGATTAGGCGTGCTCAAGACTATACAGCGTCTTTGTTCTGATTAGGATTTTCATTACTGAAGTTGAACGCCGTTATTATTATTATTTTGTTACACTGTTAGTCGAAGAAGTTTAGGGAATCACTAGAAAAAAAGCTGTCTCAGTGAAGTCGAAGTTGAGTGAAGTGTACGTCTTCAGTGAGGCAATGGTAAATTGTCTACCAGTGGATAAACCGCTCGATGAAGCTACAACTGTGAAAATAACAAAATAAGCAACAGAGACAGGGAAGTAATCGTGACTGAAATAAAGTGGATAACGCATCATTTGGAATTTTCTTGAGGTTCATTATATTTTGTCCTGATCAAAATCACATCTGCTGTCTGCAGGGTTTTTCTTTTCAACATGACTTTAAGTTCATTACTTGATGTTGCTGGTGTTCAAGTGCAGTTTATCTGATTTACTAAAAGCAGTTGAGGGTTATTCAGTTAGCTTAAGATACACCTTTATAAACCTTTAATTTGGTCAGTGTTTTACTGATTCTACAGTTAAGAATACAAAAGTGTAAGATTTTCATACATCCATATGTAATCCAAAGTCAGCATAGCCTAGTATGTGCATTGAGTTGTCATCATTTTGTTTGCTTGTGTTTTATACGTGTACGTTTTCATGCTTATCATTTATTTATTTATTTTATTGTTACTTTATAGGAAGCCCATTTCATGTAAATGTTGAAGCTAAAGTTGATCCAAAACAAGTTAGATGTTATGGTTCTGGTCTTGAATCTGGTCTGTTGCGCGCTGGATTGCCAGCTTATTTCACTGTGGATACAAAAAATGCTGGAGATGCACGTCTACGGGTGCGTCAAGCTATTCGACTGTGTCACAGACAGTTTGCTTTCTGTGTTTATCTTTGTCATATTTTTCTATTATTATCATTATTGTTATTATTATTTTGATTGTACAGTCTCAACGTTGATTTTATCACAAACCGATACAGCCAACAGTGTATCCTGTGTTCACTAGTGGCTATAGAATATATATTCCAAAGTTCTAATGGGAAGTCGTGACCTGTAGTGTCAGGTGTTGAGTGGATATTCATCGATGCCATTGGTTGGTGGTAACGTAATATTGGGAATTGATAGTAGTTAGATTTTACAGGTTATCGAATTCCAGCGCCATAGTCGAATGGTCAGTAGAGTCTCATTGCAACCCTTGGGTTCTGGGTTAGATCCCTGGCGGATGCGTACCTCTGAAAAGTCCCAAATTAGGACGAAATAGATACCCAGTACTCACTGGTTTTCAATGCTTCTCTGACTGAAGTCAATTTGTGATCAGACTTTTATTCAGTTAGTCACTTTCACCCTACTTATCCGAAGTTCATTCGACCATATGTGTATGTGTTTTATTGGTAAATTTCTTATAATATGGCAAGTTTTATTACTGTCAACAAGTTCTATCAACTATATTAGTTTTAATTTGTACTTCTTGTTTTTTTTTCGGTGCTTCAGGTTATGTATACACCTAAACCTGGTGCTGAATTACAACCTGCAAATGTTCAACTTCTTAGTGGAGGAACAGATAAAGATCCAGCACATCAACACTACCACAAAGTTACATATACACCTGAAGAACATGGTCCTTGTCGCATAGAAGTTACCTATGATGATGTTCATATTCCTGGTTCACCGTTTTTAGTGAATATTCGAAAATCTTGTGAACCTGAACGTGTTCGTGTTTTAGGTGCTGGAGTTGAAGGTCCTGTTCTAGCCAGTCTTCCAGCAACATTTACTGTTGATGCTCGAGATGCTGGTATGGGAGATTTAACCCTTGGTCTTACGGTAAGCGTATTTAAAATTTACTGAACATTGTACTTCGAATGCATTTCGTGTTTGTTTTTTTTTTAAATTTTTCCATCTTTCGAATTTTCTTATTTCAAACTTCAAGAGTATAATCTTTGATCTCTGCACATATTTTTGATGCACCTTTCTAGTTTAAATAAACTTATAGGGAATAGGAAGATTCATGAAATACTGTTATTTCATTCTTATTCAGGCTTTTATTGCATATGTTAAAGATTAAGATATATGTATATTTAATAAATAACTGTTGAGATCACCATCATCGTCACCACATAATAAACATGTATGCTCCTAAAATCGAGTCAGGTCTGCTAGATCTCTGTTTTGTTCTTACTCTTAGGTTGTTTGATTGATTAGTCAGTAAGGTCCTGGTTGTGTTGTTAATCTGTGCTACATTACACCAACCTTCCTAGAACTCACCTGGCTAGTATGACTGAACTGAGAGAACTCTGAGGATGTATGTATTACCAGCATATAAAAGTGGAGCGCAAAACGGCGTCCTAGCTTGGTACGATGTATATTCGTTAAAACAAAGCTTCAAACCCCCTCCCAAAGCATCTGCATGCGGCTTAGGCGTTTATTTAGTTTATATTAAGTAGATTCATTTCGATCTATTCGTTTTAGCCCTAGGTTTATTTTGATGATTCGACGATTACAGGTAGATGACAGTAAATATTATTTTACTTCCAGTAGTCAAAAGAAACATGACAGTTTAGAATATTTATAATTTTAGAAGAAGCCACTTTCTTATCTATACACCATGGAATAACATATCGTGTTATTTGCTTAGGTGTTTTCTAAATTTTGAACTTAAATTATTGAGATGAAAAGTTCTATCGCTCAATATTCAGTCTGCATTGACACGTAGTTGGGACACTTGTTGTGTGCGATACTACGTGACTATCTAAACCCCAATAGGTGTAGTGTAGAGTTCGAAGCAGCAACGCCTAGACAAATGACCTACAGCTCCGTATGGAGTTGAAATACAGCAGAACAAAGCACCCCATAATCATTTAGAAGTGAAGCTTTTATGAAAACATTCCGTGTGTAGTTTATTAATCGTTGGTATGAAGTTTTGTCATGAACGTCCTGGTACAACCGAGCATGGTTAGAATTCGATCTTCCTGTTGAAATGCTCTCATCTAGACATACCTTCATAGCTTCGACCAGGTAAATTCTATTTACTGCCTTTACAGCATGGCAGGGGTGTCCCCACAAAAGTGAAAGAGCAAATGTAGACATCTGGAGCTTACAACCTGACAAGCAGGTCTATTTAGGGGGCTGTGAGGCCTTGACTCCAAACATATGCTGCACATGGGTTCCAGAAACCAAAAGGATCGAATAGCTTATGAACCTATTTTGGTGATTGGAAGAAGCCATAGAGACGTATCTCCTGACGCCCCTCTACTGCCTCCTGGATCAGATTCCAAGTCAAATACTTGGAAGGTGGCCCCTTGAGACAACCACCCACATTGATACGGGCGTCTGGACAGTATCTCAGCCCTCGCACTATTTATGAGATTTTGTGTGACTCATCTCTTGGTGCCCATAATGTACCATATTCGTGATTTATTAAATATAACAAATAATTAAGTCTATAGAATTGATTGTAGGTTAATATGATTTCAATTTAATCTTGGTAAATTTCTCAAAACCTAATATTTTGTATCCTTTTTTCCCCACTGTTATGTAATATACAGGATCCGAAAGGACAGTCAGTTCCAGTAAGAGTTCTTCCATTGTCTGTAGACAGCGAATCAGTTGTAACAAATGGAGTAGTGCCTTCTGTGACAAGTTTAGCCTCAGGTGATGTCAGTGACACAGGACTTTTATCATGCACCTATGAACCATATTTGATTGGACCGCATAATATTCATGTTATGTTTGCCGGTGTTGAAGTGGACAACAGTCCATTCACTGTTCGAAGTATTGCTACGGGTAGAGCAGATCTATGCGAAATTAAAAGTAAGTGGAAATTTTCTTCTCCTTTTTTTTTCTCCAAAAATTTCTATTATATATCCATCATTATCTTACTCTACTTTGAATATGTATATATTTACCATTGTAATAATTTTCAGATGGTGTAAAGAAATTTATACCAGTTGGAAAAGAAAACGTTATCACAGTTGATACATCATTGGGTGGTAAAGGTCGATTAACCTGTCAAGTTATCCAGCAACCAACTAAACAATCTTCAGCTACTGCTACACTTCTCCCAGTAGAAACAGAAGATAATGGTGACGGCAGTACCTGCGTATACTATACACCTACACAATTGGGTGAATTGAATGTAGAGCTACGATATGGTGGTCAGTTGATTCCTAATGGAGAATTCACCCAGAAGGTAAGCGATTTATCTCTGATCTTAATTTCAGCGTCTTTAAAAAAACTTTTATATAATTTCGTCAAGAGTACTGGATACTGTGAAAGTGATACTAGTGATATTAAATATTTTTAGTCTACAGCATATGCTCGAGATTGTAAAGGAGTTCCGGAACTCTTATAGCTCGTCAAATACTGTCAAGAATTAGTATTAATAAGATACATATCATTTTTATTCCTTTGGGTTCCGAGTGGAATGTGAGACTTCAATAGAACGTTCATATTTCACTGTGTTCCTTACAGTCTTTGTTAGCTAGCTGCACGATTGCACGCAAGCTTTCATCTCCTCATTGTACTATCTCTCCTCCATGTCACCTTCGGCCACTCAACTCGCCTTTTCTCAATCGGGTCCCAACCGAAGGGCTACCGTCTCCTCAGTCTCCATCTCTGTTTGTTAGGCGATAGGATGTTGGTTAGTTCATTGCCAAAGTTCCTTGTTTCTTATCCATTCTAGCCAGCCATCTGATCTTCAGTATTGAGCGAAGGCAGTTAAATGTTAATGAATATCTACATCCTGGTAATTACAACCATAACAGTAATTAACTCTATGGTTCTCTGTTTTGAAAGCTATGGTATGGTATTTGACTAAAAAGTTCGTTTGGATGGCGTATTACATTACACTTACTCCAGCTGGTGTTCTCCAAGGTGTTGTTCTTTCTCCTTTTCTGTTTTCTTTCCTTTCACACGACCCACCCCATTCTGACTGTTTCTATGCCCGTTACTTCTCAGTCAGCCTGTTCCAGAATGAATAACCTTTTATCAGAAATTGGTCAATGATCCTTGTCAAATGGTCTTAAGCTTAATCCCTCCAAATGTCGTGTGGTTAATTTCACTTTCAGATGCCAGCGCAACTTACGTGAACTGGTTAGTTCTCATGGCTCCACTATCATAGGTGGCACTGAAGTTGAAACCAAATCGAATGTTAAATACCTTGATTGTGTATTTCATTCCGTCTCTACTGTTACAGCTTGTTAATTCTTGTATTCTGTCTATATTTCTTTACTGCTCCTCCAGCTTAATCTTTCCTCAGCTACTTAAGAATGACTTTTTTATACTGCGTAGGGCACTAAAAGCCGTCAGTAGGGCGAGTGGATGTTGCTAAACCACCTCGTTAATATTATTGTAAACAAAAATGTGTAGTTCAGCGAAGAGTCTGTTTTCGGCGAATTCATTTTCTAAGCTCTACAATCGCAAATATATAAATGCGTTATTTTGTATATATATGTGTACGTTAAGTTTGTCAAACAAAAATACAATTCGTTATGGTTATTTTAACTAAAGAGGGGGGAGTGAGAATTAGTAAGTTCTGGTTGGAGTTACGTAGTACAAAAACGGTCAAGAAAATTGGGTGTTAATGAAACTAGGTGATGAGTTGTCACAAACAGTTGTTAAAAAGGAGTTACGTAATAATATGAATAGTTTGATGATTGAGTTGTACTCAGGATACACATAGGAACAAAGTAGAGAATACGAAATTACGTAAGAGTTCTAAATGACTACAAGAATTAAAAGCAATTAAACAAACAGGCAAACAAACAAAATGAAGTCATCAAAAATCAACATTTCATTAATGCCTGGATGGCGATTATCCATGAATACTATTGTAGATAGACACACTTGAATTCCTGCAAGAAACTGGCAAATATCATCCTGTCAGACTCTGAACATCCTCTCCATACACAACTCTCTCCTTGCTGCATCTCATCGGGTAGAACTAGAAGCAACTATAGAAGACTGTATGCTCAGACGACTAAGTACAAAAACTCTACAATACCCTATTTAGCACACATTTTATTTGATGAGAAAAGTGTGTGAGACAGGAAATTACCAACTTACTGCAGAATTCTATTTTTCATTGTTACATTGTTATTAATATTTTCACTTGATTTAATTTTTTCTGTTCATTTCTTTTTGAACAATAATATTGACGTAAATTATTATTAATGTAAATGCCCTATTTTAATTATTACCCCTGTAATGATAAAATTAGGTATAATATTGTATTACATGCTGAAAATTCCATTGTTGTACCAAAAGTACTGTCTGGAATAAAACTATTATTGTTATTATTTGGAAAAGTTACTTATTTTAAAAGAGTATACATTCCTTTTCTGGGGATGCTTAAGTTTATTCGGTACACTCTCATTGACTAGCCAGAATTTGTTGACTGACATACATTAGTTTGGCTATAGTGCTTTTCCAAGTAGCATCACCTACCCTCTTTTTTCCAATATATTTGAGACATTCTAGATTACTATTGTCTTTCACTATGTGATCGCTTTCTTCTACTTGTGGAAGTAATATACGAGCTGAGAAACCATGATCTGTCTCTCTTTAAACTAATTTCATATTTCCTCTTACTAATTATTTCATATCATTATTTTTGTTTGTTCATTTATATAGGTAGTATCCAGCGAGGATATCACAGATGAAACTGTAAGTTAATAATTATAATACTTTACTATCGAATTCACAATATTATTGTATTGTTATTGTTCCCTTGGGTTCCTAGTGGAACATAGGGCTTCAACTACACGTCTGCACTTGCCTCTGTCTTCTGCTGTACTTTTCACCTGCGTCCATGTTAATCCATACTGTTTCAGCTCCTCTTCACACGATCTCCTCCATGTCACCCTTGGACGTCCCACTCGCCGCTTCCCTTTCGGGTTCCACTCGTGGGCCTGACGTGCGATGTCACCCAGCGGCCTCCTCAGCGAGTGTCCAATCCACCTCCACTTTCTCCTGTATATTTGTTGAGCGATTGGTTCTTGTTTTGTTTGTTCCCATAGTTTCTTGTTGGTGATTCTTTCCGGCCATCTGATCTTGAGTATACAGCGAAGACAGTTGTTGATAAAGGTCTGCAACAGGCTGTTGGAAATATTCTTTGTGACCCGCCAAGTTTCTGATCCGTACGTATAGAAGAACTGACTGACTTGACGTTTGTATTGAAAATCCGAATTGTGTTGTTCATGCTGAGTGACGAAGATTTCCAGATTGGTTTCAGGTTGATGAATGCGTTTCTCGCACATAAATAAGATAACTGTAAACAGACGCGTAATTATATTGCTTTGTGGAACTCTTTTTCAGAAGAAACATGTTATAGCATTTATTTGAATAACAGCTTAAAACTAGTCAGTGACCACACATTATTTTTCTAAATCTCTACAAAATGTCCTGCCCTCAGGGAGGATCGAACTCCCGACCCCTGGTTTACAAAACCAGTGCTCTGACCACTGAGCTATGGCTGGCCCGACAAAGTGCTTTGCACTACTTCGCAAATAAAGTGAAATAAATTTCATTGAAGTACTTATTGTACTATATTTCGTTAGATAACCGTTTAAAAACCCTAGAAATGGATCAATTTTTTATTCGTTAAGTATTCTAATATTAGTAATTTAAGACTGATGAGACCATACCACCGGAGAAAATGTTTAATTTCGCTCATATAGGCAGGCGTTTTCTCAAATGACCACATGTATTTTCATGCAGCGTCTGTCTTCCTCTTCTTCTCCAAATTACCCCAGTTCCCATGACGGCTAACGTGTTGTTATTTCGATTGTAAAGGATAAATGTTACCTTAATTATCAGTTCGTTGAATCCATTTCAAATTAGACTAAGTTATGGTATGGTATGGATTACGGTATTTGTGATTAAGTATTGTTTGTCAGAAAATTTCACTCGATATTTTAGCATTTGAGAACATTTTTTGGAGAACAAAATCTATCCGTTCACATAAGTGTTCTGTTCTGTTTTGTTCTGCACAATCATTCATCAGGGAACAGAAAATTGAACAGGTCTTAAACGTTTTCTTCCTCAAGTAATTGATCTTCCCTCTTTTTGAAATTTTGTAGTCGTCAATAAACACTTGAATGCTGTTGAATTCCCAGATTTTACCATTGAAATGTCACTCATACAAATTAGATTTAGGAATAAATGTTAGAAGGTATCAGATCAAATAATTTTATCATTGTTTTCTTGTGTGTTGATGTTCTCTGAGAAAAGTAAACTGAATTTTTCACACAATAAAGTTAGGTAAAAAGCTAATACCTATAACTGTCACTCATTTAGACCGACTGATAAGCAATTCATCTTGTTGAAAGTGTGGTTACCAATTGTGTGTGTTACATGCATACATTTTGTGAACTGTTAGCAAAATTATGCCCATAGTATTCTATACTGACTAACTTGATTTTCATGCTTTTTCAATTTTTCTCTCTCTGTTTTTAGTCACGTCAAAGTGTGTATCGTCCTGTTGTATTTCGTCTTCCGGCTCCTCGGAATAAAGCGAAAATTGAAGGTACCCTTTTACTTTTGATTAGGGCATTATTTAAAAACATTGTTTTTCTTAACACTTCGGGTTACCATTTTGGTAATATTATTATTATTATTGTTCCCTTGAGTTCCGAGTGGAACACTGGGCTTCAATTTATTCTATTTTTTGCTGTCCTCTTTAGCTGGGCTCACGATTACCTATATATAACCTCTTATCTCCTCCCTACATGATCTTCTACATGTCACCCTTGGCTACATGCACAGTTCGTCACTTCCCATTCGGGTTCTAGTCGAGCGATGGCCTGGGACACGATGCCATTCGACAGTCTCCTCAGCTTGTGCCATATCCATCTCCATTTTCTCCTGGATATTTGTTAAACGATAGGTTCTTGACTAATTTGTTCTCATAGTTTCTTGTTACTCATTCTTTCTGGTTATTTGATCTACATTATGGAGTCAGTGAAGTTGCCAGCTGTTGGAAATACTTTTCACGAAGAGCAGTATAAGTTTCTGACCCATATGGTAGCACTAACTGACTTGACATTTGTGTTGAAAATCGGAATGTTGTTGTTTTTGCTGCCTGGCTGAGTCAGTGCAGAAGATTTGCAAACTGATTTCAGATTGATGAAGGTGTATCTTGCCTTTCCGATTCTGGCTGGCTTTAACATCTTCATCTGTGTTGTCGCCTGTGGTTGCAACGATGCTGCATAGCTAGATGAGTGAAGGAAGTGAGCTCTTTCAAGTTTCTGCCGTTGATAGTGATAGGTACTGTCTGTTGTTACTGTTGGTTAGTTGGTTGGTTACCTTCATCACACTCGTCTTGTGTATGTTCACCTGGAGTAGTTCTATCTTTGCTGCTTCTTCAGACAGTTTGTTAGTTTTCTCCTGTAAGTCTTTGAGTTTGTGTGACATCAAACATAAATCATCGACGCGCGAAATGCAGATCTTCCAGAGTCTCTTTGTCGGTCGATCATATTCCTGTCGTCTCACTCCCCACTTACAGTCTGACTCATAATCCAGTCCACCACAGTTAGGTATACTTTGAAGTTAATGCCATTTATCCTCGATAAATTTATGATAACATTATTTGTTCAGTTGAAACTTGAATTTGTTCTACTAGTTGACTTGTCTACATAGTTCCTTTCAACGTATTTCGGCATGTAATCTAGGTAAACATTCATTATTAATTCATCACACTTATTCATATATGAAAAAGGCACAAACAGCGAAGAAAATTTTCTTTTCGACGATTCATTTTCATGAGCTGTACAATCGTAATTATAATTAACAAAGAAATCTTTAGACCAATCAGATACTGGTAAATTTTGTCCTTGGAAAATTGTATTACATAATGTAAGGTGTAAGAAGGGATGACTGATTGTAAGTTAGAAAGGAGACAGAAGTTGGCATGACGTAATAAGTGTGAGATAGTGAGTAATCAATAATCTCGTGTAAAATGGACAGGAACTAATGGAAAGGCTATAAAGTGTTTTTGTATAAAATATGTATGAAAAACAATGTTATTAATAGACAGTAATCGAGTGGTAATAAAATGTGGATGATGGGGACAAAATGATAATAAAAGTATTAATAAAATAAAATAATAATGGTAATAATAGTGAACTTACATAATAAAGGAAAGAAGCAAATTTGTGATAAGAACTTTACTCTGGCCATGGTAAGGCAAGAGAATGTATGTATCTCTTTTGTATGCAGAGGTCCGGTTTCAGATCTCGAATAGCTAATGCTTCAGCTATGTACAGATGGCGAATCCGAAGTCCCTTTGTACGATATTGAGGGACTCTGTGTAGCACTGTGAAGCATTCATGTGGGGGTGCTCGATGTCCAGAGATGACAAGGTGTTCGAGGATCGAGCTGTTGCCATTCTTCTTTTCTCCTCTGGCCAACTAAGCGGGGCAGTGTTCCAGAATACGTTTTTGGACTTGACGTTGCGTACGGCCAATATACTTTGCTCCACACGAGCAAGTAAATTGATAAATACACATTGAGGTGGCCAAAAGCGGTATCTTGTCTTTAGCGTTAGACTGGATTAACTGTCTGCAGGAGAATGTGATACGTAGAGTGGCTGTTGGAAATGTCTTCTTCAGACATTTAGAAAGGCGGTTTCTGAGAATTTCCGCTGCGACTTCACCTTTGAATTCTAGGTTCATGAAGAGAGTCTTCTTAGGAACCGTTGCGATGTTTGACATCGGAGGCTTCTCCTTTATGTTTTTGTCAATAAATCTTGGTGGATATCCATTCTCTAGTAGGATTTTACGTAATAAATTTAATTCATTCTCCACCATGTCTTCCGAGCAGATTTTTCTAATCCTTGAGCACAACGTACGTACCAGGTTTCTCTTTCGGATTAGTGGGACGAAGCTCTGAAAGTTGATAAACTGTCCAGTCCATGTTGGCTTGCGGTATATTGATCTTTGGATCGTACGGTCGTGTCGTCTGGTGAGTAGTACATCAAGGAATGGAAATGCGTTGTTCGATTCTCTTTCTAAGGTGAAACTTATTGATGGATGCGCTGCGTTGAAGGTTTTGAGGAGAGAATCCAAATCACAATTTTCATCACAGATTATAAAAGTATCATCTATGTATCTCTTGTATAAGTGCAGTTGACTTATCAAGGGATTGAGGATGTTGTTTACAAGACTCGCCATGAAGCAGTCGGCTAGGAGGGGACCGAGAGGAGACCCCATGGCTACCCCATCTTTCTGTACATAGAACTTTTCATTGAATTTGAACTGGATATTGAACGTACATCTGAGAAGAAGTTCCTTCAGGTAGTTTATTGGGAGAGGAACTTCTAGGTTGTTGGTTTCGATGTAATCACAAATGAAGCATATTGTTTCAGTTAGGGGGATGCTTGTGAATAGAGAGACGACATCTAGTGAGATCATTTGTCTTTCGGAGACGTTGACATCCTTCACTGAGTCGATGAAGTCAGATGTATCTCTGAGGCTATATTTTGTCATATGTCTTTGAACTGGTTCGAGGATATCAGCTAGCCACTTCGCGATTTGATGATATGGTGAGTTAACCATGTCTATGACCGGTCGAAGTGGGACATTCTCCTTGTGCACTTTAGGCAGTCCATACAGTCTTGGAATAGTTGAACTGCAAGGTTTTATTTGCTCATAAACCTCCGGTGTTATGACTGAATCTTCTTTCATTCTCTTCAGCAATTTTGTAATTCATATATGAACTGAGGATGAATAAGCAGTACTCATTGCTTTGCTTTATAATCTTCTGTCCTTCACTTGTTTATCATATCAGTTAATATTGATTTTTTTATCAACTGTTCACAGTGATTTCACATTCGGGTTATAGAGTGTTTCACTTTAAGTAAAATACGATCTACTGTCAATTTACCTTGTATTAGTCAACCACAGATCACTATATGAAAAACCCTGATTCCAAACCTGAAGTACACATGGGATCCAGAATCCGAGAGGCTGGAATGACTATGAATCTGTTTGGGTCACTGGAAATCATAACAATATCTTTATTGTGCACAATAATTCTAAACAATATGCACAGTTTTCAGCGTAGTTTCTTGCATAATATTTACTCTCGGAGTTTCAAGTAAAACAACCATCTCCAGTACATCATGTGATTCAGTGATGTTAGATCTGAAGAGTAAAATAATCCTTTAACGGTATATTTCTTTGGTCCCATACAAATGCTCAACGATAGGGAATATAACTGAGTGATTATATAACAACAAGAACTAAAGAAAATAAGATGCATTGTCTCGGATGGAAATTCAGGTAGACCAGAGATTCAAGCAAGCCGCCAATATTCTCGGTCAAACTTATCTGCTAATTCCACTCCACTACTTTGTGGAACAGACTTCAAGTCAGCGGCCCAGGGGTAGCCTCTTAACACAACCATTTGCTTAGGTCTGAGCGTCCGGGCAGTATCCCAGCCCTCATACAAACTGTGCGATTTTGTGTAGCGTATCTTTTGGTGCTTATAATTCACCAAGTTTGTATTTTCGATGATAATATTCGCGGTTTTTGGGGCAACCGTGAGTGCATATCGTCTAAACCTCCTATTACTTAGTATGCCTTAAAATTTCTTTTTTCTGTCCCTATTACTTTTAGCTGTTGTACTGCGGCCTTCAGGTGCCCAACAACAAGTTCCTGTTATTGTGAATGATAATGAAACAATAACCGTAACATATGATCCTATAGAACATGGAATGCATGAATTACGTGTAAATATTCATTCACAGGCGAAATCTGATTCTCCTGGTAGTACATTTACTATGCCACTACAAGGTAGTCCATACAAGTTCTATGTGGATACTGCTAGTACTGGTCGAATTACAGCCTATGGTCCTGGATTAAGTCATGGTATTACTTCTCAATTAGCTGAATTCACCATTGTAACAAAAGAAGCTGGTGTTGGTAAGTTGGTGTTGTTGTTTTTTTCTGCATATAATGTGAATGAATGTTGTTTCTTCAACAGGTTGGCAGAAAGATTAATTTATCTACATTTTTTTTTTAAAATAATTAACTTTTTACATCAGGTACTAGTCACTAATGTGTTGTGTTTGAACAGCTGACTCTGTATTCATTTCGATTTTTCCTTTCTTAGGCTTTATATACTCCTGTGCATTATTTACTATTCCTTAGACTAAGTTGTTGATTTCTGCATGTCGATGAACGAAATGTATAAATGTACTGAACACGCTTTTTTGTATTTTAATATAATTTTTGTAAATTCCCTGTTTTCTATGTGATAAGTCGTCTGATTGCCGAATAAGATATTTATTTTCGGCAAACATATGTAAACGATTAAAATCCATGTTTTGAGACAAATTAGTAATATAATTATGGCAAATGGAAACAGGTTATTCGGCTGCTTTTGTTCATCCTATCCTACATAAAATGTTTGTCTCATGAATGCTTTTTTTTAGAAAAATAATTCGTATAAATGTGTAGTAGCATGCGCATTTGACTGTTAATCAAAATAAATTGGAAATAAAATAGTTGCACTATCCCACAGAATAGGATTCGTGAAGTCTTTTGAAAGGAATCCGCGTTGAGCGACTGATGCACTTTAATCAATGCATAGAGGTAGACGAATGCCAGACCTTGTCTTTTGGACGAGTCTAAAATAACGGGCGACTACAAACGCACTAAACCTCATTGTAGAGTTTGAGATTTTTGTATTTCTAATACCATCAGAGTGTGCGTGGCATAGCGTTCGGTGCAACCATCAGATGAATCGTATTTGCTGCAGATACATGGAATTGATTTCACTTTGAAGATTTCGTGTTGGTTTCTTATTCAGCAATCGAGGTGGATATCCACTCAGTTAAGCTTCTCTTAGAAGTCTTAGCACTTCTTCAGTTCTATCAGGATTACATGTAAGCTAAATGATATTGGTCACAGCAGAAAGGCATTCGGCTATGGAGACTTCATGGTTGACCATTTATATCAATTTTTCTCTCTCTATTTCTACGTCTATACCCGTTTTTGACTATTCACAGATGAATTCTATCTATGGATTGCAGTTGTTTAATACTTGTAATCTATGATTCATGTCTCAGATCATAAATATTTCCCTTTGTAGAATTTGAAACCCTCGTTTGAATTAACACTAGTGTTCACCAAAATATTCTTATTGTACTTTGGTTGTTTGTTTTTTTTGTATATTCTCGAAAGTAATGGATTGTTTTAAGCCAGTTTTGTAATTTTCTAATATTTCGAAACTAATTCTTATTCCTTTTTCAATGTTAGGTGGTCTTTCAGTCTCCGTTGAGGGTCCATCTAAAGCTAAAATTCAATGCGTTGAGAATTCTGATGGTACATGTAGTGTGAGTTACCTACCTCTTGCACCTGGCTTATATACAATCTCAATTAAATTTGCTGATGAGCATATCTCTGGTTCACCGTTTACTGCTAAAATAACAGGTAATTTGATTATAAGTGTGTGGGTTATTTTGCGTTAATTTATGTGTACTTGAGACTTTGCGCTTTTATTTTTCTGATACCCTAAGTTCTATTTTATCGCATTATATTCATCAACAATAAAATGTTTGATTCGTTTTATTATTTTGCGATGATGTTAGTGTATGAGTGGGTATATCATAATCACGATGATGATAATAAATAAGATGAAGTATGTTTAAGTTTGTCTGATGAATTCGTTTGTGCACAGACCCCTAGAAGCTCTAGACTATATATACATGTTGAAGCCTGCTGCTCAATTTAGCTGTACATGCTGGAAATGCATCGAGTTAATTACTGAGTATTATTGTTTACTTATGAAAACATTTCAATAATATATTGTATTATAGCGTCTTATATAAAAAGAGAATTTGGTCAGTGTGATAAAAGACAGTTTATGTATAATCCCCATCCAGGCATTAATGAAAACAAAACACGTAGATCAGCGAAGAGTCTCTTTTCGGCGAATTCATTTTTTCTTAGCTGTACAATCGCAAATATATATGTGTTATTTTGTATGTATGTGTACATTAAGTTTGTCAAACAAAAATACAATTGGTTATAGTTATTTTAACTAAACAGGTGAAGATTGGTAATTGGAGTTACGTAATACAAAATCAGTCAAGAAAATTAGGTGTTAATGAAATTAGGGTAGTAACAAAGGTGATGAGTTGTCACAAACAGTTGTTAAAAGGAGTTATGTAATAATGTGAATAGTTTGATGATTGAGTTGTACTCAGGATGCACATAGGAACAAAGTAGATAATACGAAATTACGTAAGAGTTCTAAATGAATACAAAAATTATAAGTAATTGAAGAACAGGCGAAGAAATAAAATTAAGTCATCAAAATCAAAACGAAAATCAAGTCAAATAAAAAAAGTTGTTACCAAGACAGTAGAAGTGGTTGAGTAATCCTCTTTTGTATGCACAGCTCCGGTTTTTCTGTGTGAATGGCCAGAGCTTCAGCGATACGAGGAAGACGAAACGGTATTGCTTTTGATAGGTTATTCTTGACTCTGTAGATTACTTGAAGGAGGCGTTTGTAGAAATGGAATGATCAGTGTTAACCAGGTGTTCAATTATCGCACTCCTTATTGCACCACTTTTGCCTTTTCTCAACCATGCTGGATAGTGTTCTTGAATCCTCTTGGACAGGGTGCGCGTCGAACGACCGCTAAGAAAATGAATTCGCCGAAAAGAGACTCTTCGCTGATCTACGTGTTTTGTTTTCATTAAAGGATAGTTCCACAAGCAAATCGAAAATACCTATTGAGTCATATAGAAGAAAAGACGTGCAGCGAAGCGTTACTCTCTTTTCGGCGATATTATTCTTAAGCTGTACAATCATATATATATGTATATAGTAAATTATCTTAGCAACAAAAAGAATAATTCCAGAGAATACATAAGAATCTTGTACAAAAAGTACGAATCAAACTTCTTCAAATCGTAGAAGCAATGGCTATGCACATGTGTTGCATCCTGAACTCTGCACATAGAAGAAGTTCGTTCAGTCATTAAGTCTACAATGAACCTGATCTGTCTTAACACCAAATACGTAATTTTTATTTTTCTTGTTTCTTAATTGTATTATTTTCTTCCCCCTCCCCTCCATCCTCTATTAAATTTCTACCTCTTATTACCACTATTGTTAACTGGACTGTCGTCAAATTTTAGTTGAATTCCATTCAATCCTGTCAATTATATTACGTCACTAAACTTACTTGTTTAATTTTATTTTAGTTTCTACCCGTTTGACCTTTTCTACATTGCGTAATTTACAATTCTAGTGGCACATCTTTGAAAATATTCCTTTTATTGCGATTGTACCGCTTGAGAATGATATCGCCAGAAAAAAGTAACTCTTCGTTAAACTCCTTTTCTTTCATTATGATTCCATAATACAAAAATTTTAATTAGTGAAAGCAGAATGATAGTCATAATAACTGGATGACGTGCCGACCACAATTTGATGTCTTTTGTAATAATAATAATAATGAATTTCATTACGTCACTGTGTTTATTTACGTTACAATATTCCATATTATTGTATTTAATTGGAATACTTTAATACACAGAGTAGTAGGTTGAATTCTACTCACAACTACACGTTTTAACTTTGTAGTTGCACGATCGCTACATATTTTTAATATTATTATTGTTATTCTATTCAAATTGGCACACATTTCACTTTCCAATCAATATCTCTTAGTCTGTAATGCATACACAACTATGATGTCTTAATTCTATTTATTTATTTATTTCTGCAAAGGTGATATCTTGAAACGATCACAATTAAGCATGGGTGCACCAAGTGACATTGCTTTGGAAGCAGTTGATGAAGATATTGCCACCCTGACAGCTAGTGTACACAGTGCATCTGGTCGTGAAGAACCATGTGTGCTTAAAAGTTTGCCAAATAATCGTTTGGGTATGTGTTCCTTCTTCCTTTCTCACCTTTTTATGTTTTCTACAAACATGTTGAGCTATTTACATTTTCAATCATTCAGTGTTCTCTTTCCAACTTTTATAATTGAGATAATCAATCTAAACAAGAGAAAGTTATTAAACAGATAGAGTGTGATCAGAGTCTACGCACGTGTTCCAGAAGCAGCGGCAGTCTTCTTCTGGTCCTCGCCAACGATACCCATCTCTGTGTGGTCCATTTGAGTCCAACTTTGATTTGGTGATGGAGGTCGCCAGGTCAGGCAATGCCTTTCTTGATATCTAAAGTTAGTGTTCACTAGGAGCACGATCACCGTTGTCCTTTCGTCGGCAGGGGACTCCGTAGGTACCATTTACATACTTCTCAGTATGACATAACTTCCCTACTTGGGTTTTGAGGTCCGAAGATTGGGTGTGTTATCTGCTTTGTATACAATTGGCAGCCATTTACGAATATGCTTTCTAATTTTATTTCCCCGTTCAGCATAGTCTGATTGTGTGTATAATCAAAGTGATAAAGACTATTTGTAATTTCGAAGAGTGGTGTTGATTGTGTTGAGACAAGTGATGTGATAAAATCATGACGTCATTTTGCTATTACAACTGTTTTACCTAATTTACAAGTAGTGATAGATTTATGTTTTATATATATGTAACTGTAACTCCCTTCGTGGTTAGCCACGTGGTAGTTTATATATTTAGCTCTCCTCTTCTCATTATTTGTATAATTTCATCAGTTATTATAAAGGCTGTAGTCACTGTGTGCTTGTCTGATGTAGTAGTTCATTTGTTTGAAGGAGAACATTGAATGTTGTTGGTTATTTTGTATTGATCATATTTCTTGTGACAAAATGTCTTTCTCTTTTGAACTATTTAGGCATTTCATTTACACCTAAAGAAGTTGGTGAACATTTGGTTAGTGTATTTCAAGCTGGAAAGCATATTGCTAATAGTCCATTTCGAATACGTGTCTCTGAGAAAGAAATCGGCGATCCTAGACGTGTACGTGTCAGTGGGCCAGGTTTAATATCAGGTTTATCTAATAAGCCTAATCAATTCACTGTGGATACACGAGATGCAGGTAAGAAGTATACACTTTATGTGGCGTCTGGATTGAAGTCATATCATCTGTTGTTATTTATTGTATTATCTTGTGTTGACCCATAATCTTTATTAAGGTGTGTATATAACAAATCCTTTATTCTGATCTAGTCACTCCTAACTGACATTTATTTCCATTAGAGTCTTACTGGAGGTCAATCGCGAGCCCTACTAGCTCAGTGGTAACGTCTCTGATGACAGCACTGGGTGGCCTGGGCTCAAATCTCACAAGGGACATGAGTTCCTTTAAGATTGTATATGCGCTTTGCTGACTGGTGAGTGCCAACTAGCACAAAACTTAGGTTCAAGGCTTCCAGCCCATCGCCTTTAACTGTCCAACAACAATTCAAAGTGCTCCGTAATGACAAATCACCTAGCATGGTGAGCATATTGCAAACTTGACTGATAGTATTCAGTCTGCATCATGACATTAGTTACTATCTAGTGTCCAATCGAAGTAGACATTTGTTTACATATTTATTCTAGGAATTGATTGTATTTAACTTTTATATATTTTGCGTGTATGAAATAGCCAATCATATCCCTACAAACCAACACTTGAATATCAATGAGATGCTCACTAGCGACTTGCCCTATTCAGGTAGGTAGTTACCTGGAGTTCCAGTGGGAAGTCGTGACCAGTGGAGTGCAGCAGGTCGGGTGTGAGGACAAATACTCGCCGAAGACATTGGCTAGGGGTTGCGCTATATCGCGAATTGGCAGAAGTTAGAATTCATGGGCCATTGGATCGGGTCCCAGTGGCTTAATGGTATACGAGCTGGCTCGCCTTGTAACCAGAAGGTCTTGGGTTCGAACCCCGGTGGGTGCGTACTGCTGAAGAGTCCCAAACTAGGACGAAAGAGCTGTCCAGTACTCCTTGCAGGTTTTCCAATGGTTCTCTAAATAATGTCAGCTCATGATGAAATCCTGTTATCAATTAACCAAATCCCTACAAACCAATATTTAAACTTCATTTTGTTTGTAAGTCTAAATTGGTCCTTATATTTTTGTCACTTCTTAATGATGATAGAAAACTCTTAAACGTTTCTGCATAAATGTGGTATGGTTATAGATAGTTTCATTATTAACTTTGATGAAGACACTGAAGTTGAATTTCACGAATTCTGACATTGTTGAAATGATATGATTATCATTTCGTGACTAATTGTGCACACACGACCACCTCACCAGTGGGAGAATTCCCTTGGATTCATATTCTGACCGGTTTTGACATCATGTATTCTCTTCTCTGACTATTGAGAAGGCAGTAGTTATTTACTGCGCTAAGCTGCTGAGTATCTAAATAAAAAAGGACAGCTCTTGGTTACCCGTAACTGTCTACTTATTCTTGGCTTAGGTTGCATTTTATGTGTCAAAGCAACTCACTAATAAAAAATGTTTTTTTCATTCATTGAAAAACTCACTAAGTTCTCTTTTTATTTTTAAGCAATGAAAATTTTAGTTGATTAACCAGAGTAATCCTGTTTTAGCACAACACATTGCCTCAATTAGTTGGTGTTTATTTTGGTTCAGAAATTATCTCCAGCCATAACCATTTCAATAATTTCTCTTCAGGTTCTTACAATTATAAAATATAATATTTGTTGTCGTTACAATAAAGGCCAGTTATGCGGCAGATACATTTTTAACGTAGAATAACAGATTAGTTATGGGGTGTCAAAATAAATAGTCGTATTTGTGTGACAAACGTGCTAGGCTGAATTCGATTACAAAATATTGTAAAACGGGAGACAATGGTGGTGATTAATCATAATAGATTTGTAGAGTGTGGGGTAGGAAAATTGACAAGTCAGTTCAAGGTTGTAAAAGGTGTCAGGTGAGTGGCTAGTACAAAGTGGTCTGTGTTAAAAAGGAGATAGTAAGACTCATGGGAGGTTCATAATGAGATAACGAATATGTGAAATGAAACAGGTGGAGGCATATATTGAGAAAAGAGATAATATCACTAATAATAAGTCCGGATAGTATAAACGAAAAATTCGATAGTATTGAGAGAATGTTTGCATGAAGGGCATAAATTATGCCCTTGACTTTTAATTCATAATATGGGAATTTTCCACACTATCAAATCTCATAACCATTTTGTTGGTGAATGAGTGGTATTTCTGTGGTGAGAGCTGGCTGCTAGCCAAAGTTGGTAGACAGTAATTGACGTCAATGTTTATGTCCCCAATATTGGTGGTGAGAAAATGAGAACAAAGGCTTTGCGTAGGCGGATACAGTTAGCATATGGATGATCTGACACAGCCACAAAGAGATGCAAGGTTAACTTTCTGTGAGAAACAATCAATCAAAAGACTGTATTTTCTACTAGCAATAATCTACAATAATGTACATTAAAATCTATAAATATGTGTTGATTTTCCTTAATGAACGATCTGTTGCCTGGTCCTTGTCTTCTGTTGTTACATTTCGAACATTAACCTTTTTTCATATTACTGTGCTTTGATCACCGGTCATACGAGAGTTTTCAGTTGATGTAGACCGCAACACTATGATTTACACTTGACAGTATATTTTGTTGAAAGTCCTGTTATTATTCCTACATGTTTGAGTGCATAAACACATACCTTTGTAAAGCTTTATTCCCTCTTTTTCCGATATTCTAAGATAAGCAGCCAGCAAGGCTCACTGAAGGAATGCAGGCGGGCTCATCAACTTTTTTTATACTTTTTTGCATGAATTATTTACTACACTCTGTTGTGTTTAATGAAGGAATTCACCATGCATACATAATAGTACATACTGAGACTCTAAATAAGGTGTGGCTACACGATATGAATATTTTAAACCATGTCCAGTATGCAGATATGAATAGGTTGGTGAAAGAGAGAGAGAGATGAGGGTAGTGAATTGTTGATAAAGTCTGAGAACAGGATGAATAGGTTGTGTCATTTTCAGCAGGACAGTTAGTAAATAGTCAACCAGTTTGACTGATACACAACCCATAAGTAAAAATCCGCTTACTTCACTTTCCTCTTCTTCTTCGGAGTATTTTTGTTGTATGGACCAGTTTCTTTATAATCACTTCAATCCACCACAACCTGATGTGCCCTGCTGATGTTTATGCATTGAATCATTTTTTTTTCGTTTACTTAAAACCTTTGCTGCATTCCTCAAATTTGTATTGAAAAACAAATGTTTTTAATTTTTAATATTCTCTATTTAGCCAGTAAGTTACTTTTGTAGGCGTTTTAATGCTCTCTATATATATTATATTTTCTCTGGATATGTCAGTTGTTGTGAATGTTTTGCTTATACACTCTCTCTTAATTTATTATGATAATTAGGTTATGCTGGTTTAAGTCTTTCAATTGAAGGACCAAGTAATGCAGACATTGAATGTCATGATAATCACGATGGTACTTGTACTGTCATATATACACCTACTGAACCTGGCCAGTATGTTATCAATGTGAAGTATGCTGATGTTCATGTGCCAAATAGTCCATTCCGTGTTGACATTGGTGGAGAACCTTCTGTGAAAATGATGGAAAGAATCACTAGACGACGTGAAGCTTCAAAAGTTACACATGTTGGAAGTCGGTGTGAATTGAGCTTACGTATTACAGGTTTGTTTTAGCCATTACATACATACTATTGTTTAAGCGTTGTTCTTTTTTTCGAGGTGGTATAGATACTCTCAATAAATTTTTGATTGTGTGCTATTCAGTTTATTCTGTTTGCTAATAGCAAAACGCTGTATGAATACAACTCAGTACTTAGATGCGTATTGAAGTATTTATGCGTGAATATATTATATTTGCTCAACCTCTGTGGATTTAAGTAGAGAGTATGACTATGGATGCAGAATGAAAAGTGCAAAATTTATTTAATCTGTTTCTAATTGAATGCAGCTAGTTGTAGGCTTCACTGATTTTACTGATTCTTGTAACGTATTAATTAAAGTAACTGAAGTTGTAAATTTATTGATATTTACCTAAAAAGTTAGTGACTTACAGTTCATGTTAAACAGAAGAGGACATACTTTCGGTCTAAGATGATGATCGTAATCTAAAGATAGTATAGTTTGCTTTCATACATTAGTGAATAGTAGTTACCTTAAAATGCAATAAGCTTTTCATTTTCCTCACCCACTGATTATAGCTCAGACGAAAGAGTTTCATCATCGACTGTGTAACTTTCTCATATAAGTGTGCTCAATAGATCCTACAGTCCTTAAATGTGGTTGGGGGTTAAACTCAGAGGAAAATCACTTAGGTAATTAGTGGTACAGGATGATCACATATCAAACCGTCTTTTGCAGCCCTGTATAGAACCCGTCTAATCACTGGCGTTCTTCTTCTATCACACTATGCTGCACTCATATAAATCACATTTACATCAGTTATAGTTGATACGGGTGTATGCAGGGCTCTCGCTCCTTCCGGATTAATTTTATGAACTCTGGTCGTTCTTTAGTGTGTACCAGGTTTCTCTGGTATTTCGGTGCTTATTATAAGTGTCACTCAGCACTGGTTGATTCAAGCGAATTGGTTGGAATTACTAATGGAGTCTAACTAGATACAGGAGTAAGTATTGATCCTGCACTTAGAAGATGGCAAGATAAGACATTGGAGACTTGGAAGAATGTTCTGATAATAAAGAATCGATTTTTCTAAAATTTTCAACTCTTTTTGATCCATTAGGATGATAGTGACTACAATGACCTGTTTAAGATCCTTAGGCGTACAATCGAATAACATTTACTCACATAACTGTGGGGTATTTTGCTCAGACCGTAAGCGTAAGATGAAAAAAAAGCAGAGGCTATATTCAGTAACAGCCTCATGCATTTAAGCACCTAGTATTGGTCTAGACAGGTCAACGCTAATTAGCAACGTTTGAAAGTCACTTGATAATACAGATTTGCTATCGAGTGAAGAACTATTCGACTTAAGTATTATGCAAGCGATATTGTCTTGCTGAATAATGAAATACAGGTTACTCAGTCAATTGATGGTCAGTTTTTAAGGGTGTAGTATACACTTCGTGTCATCCAACGTCTGAGTACCTATGCTTCCGAGAAAATCCTTACAGATGAGGCGTTAGAAACTGTCGAAAAGTTCTCATATCTATGTGGTTGTGTGATTGTTAGTGTAAAGGTGTGATGAGTGTAATTTTACAGCCACACATATCAAAAGTATCAACGGCATACCCTAATTTCGGTGAACTGACTGCTATTTCGGTTCCAGTCAAAACAGATGCCTGATTAGTACGTTTTTGTTTTTCACCAATTATAAAAGCATTACATTATTTCGTGTAGCACTTCACTTTGTTGTGATCATGTTGTGTTAATATTCGTTTCTTTTTTTCTAAATTCTATCAGATACAAATCCCTCTGATTTGTCTGCATCGGTAACCTCTCCTTCGGGTCATACTACTCGTTGCGAAGTTGTTCCTATTGATAGCGATCATTACAATATCAAGTTTATACCACAAGAAATGGGTGAACATTTAGTTACTGTTAAACACAAAGGAATTCAAATATCAGGTAAAATCAATAAAAATGATTACCACTTATTGATTATACATATTTTTTTTAAATACTCTCCTTATCATCTTGCATCATATTGATAAATTTAAAGTCCACTCACTCCAATTCTTAACTTGTTTGAATGTTATTATTATTTGCTTAAAATTCAACTTATATACTTTATTTACTACACAAGTGCAACACTTAAGTGTAATCCGTTTACTCTTCAGCACTTTTCATATCCTCCTTAGCTTATCTGTTCACACACAGTATACATTCGTAGTGATCGATTGGTTGCATTTTGTTTTAGATGGAATAAATGAATATTGTGCTAATTTTTATATGGTGTGTAACAACTCAAACTGCTGCACTTCTGTGCAAAGTTCTACGTTGAAACCAGTCGATCAGTCAGTCAGTCAGTGCTACCTGCCATAATAATGTATTCAGTCGACTAACGAATTTTTTTTTTCCAGAATACACAGAATACGTTGTAGAATATTATTCTTTTAACATTTGTTGTCTGTAGATTGGTGTCTATTAGTTGTTTTTTTTAAACGCATATCTTGCTATTGTGTTTATTCATACCATCTAGGTAGTCCATTCCACTTTACTGTCGGTCCGATAACAGATGGTGTAGCCAACAAGGTTAGAGCAGTAGGCTCTGGCCTACAAGAAGGTTGGACACATGTTACCAATGAATTTACTATATATACACGTGAAGCTGGTGCAGGCACACTATCGATTGCTATGGAAGGTCCTAGCAAAGCAGAAATTGATTGTGATGTATGTTGACCATTTTTACTGGTATTTGTTACCATATGTTACTTTCACACAGATTGAGGTGGCTTGATGACTATGTGTCAACTTCATTTCAATTGTTTCATAACTATTTGTTCTTCAGATTTAATTTCTGTATATACCATTGTATTATTAGACAAAAATAATACTATTTATTAATATTATTATTGAAACATTTTTAAATATTCGCGAGAGTAAATAATACGATTCAAGGTTAAATTTTGATAGGTTAATAGATTTAAACAAAGTGAACAAGAGAAATTAAGTGGCAATATGTGGTGATGAAGGATGTGTTTTAGTAGTCCACTGGTTTAAGCAGAAAGGTGATACCCATCAAGTAGTGATATAATTGGAGCTCCTGTTCAATTTCAATTCATCTAGTCGTTGTATTCATCTAAATGTATTACATAATTTGTTTGAACAGCTACTCACTCAGCTTGCGTTAGGTGAAACAGTATTTTTTTTAGTTTTTCGTGGAAAAGTTTGTTGTGAAAACTTTTATCGGTAAGCAAAAACGTGTATCATATTTGGGTGTGTTTTTGGAAGAACACTTTGTCCAATCTTCAATCACTGCTGCTCACGATTGAACTTTCATGGTGCTTGATGATTCCAATCCATATTTCTTATCTTGGTATCTTTAATGAATAAAGGTTGAACCTTTTTCCCATAGATTACTTCATAAAACCTAAGTGTTCAATAAGATTATTGTGGAATGTTGAGATATTTTTGCCGTCTTGTTACTAACTGAACATTCTCATTTAAAGTATCGTAGTATAAATTCGCCAATTTTTATTTAGAAATTTAACTTTCATTTTGGTTGTTTGAAATCTCATGGGATTAATTATTTCTGCTTCTTGCCAGTAAACCTGTGACTTCGTTTATTTATTTTTTTTGTTTAAATCTTAGGAAAGGCGAGATGGTTCTTCAGCTGTACTCTATCGTGTCACTGTACCGGGAATGTATATTTGTTCCCTTAAATTTAACGATGAACATATCCCTTGTTCACCATTCCGTATTCAGGTTTATGATTCAACACAAACTGGGCGTTTAGCTTCTTACACACTACCATCTCGTACTGTTGATATTCAGTCCACCCACAGTGTATCCAGTAAAGAAGAAACACTTCGAGTGAGTTTGTTTTTTTGCATTCTTATGTGTTTTGAGTGGAAAATAAGGCTTCAAGGTTTGAAGTTTCAGTAACAGTAGTGGTGGGGTTGCTAGTTTCACGTCCAAACTCCCCCCGCCCCGCTTTTCGTTACCAGGCTTATTGCCGGCTAGGTGAGGTTTAGGAGTGAGAGCAGGCTGGCAATCGAACGTGGAGCACATGTGTAGTTGGCGAGGATTCTAACAGTGAACCACCGATGTTGTTACTGTTAACTAGTACTATTTAATTATATTGAGGTAGTAACCAGAAACATATTTTCTTTCTCTAGATTGGACGTCCAATAGCATTCACTGTACATCATGTAGAAACACCTGGTTACATTTTGAAGGCAAAGGTGTCGACTCCATCTGGAACTCATGAAGATGCAATTGTTCAACCAATCGATCAAGATCAATTTGTAATCAGATTTGTCCCACGTGAAGGTGGTCCACACTTGGTTCATGTGCATTCTGTACCTATTAAAGAGTCAGATAAAGCTGACTGGAGTTTTGGTCCTAATTCAGTGCATAGATCAATTCAAGGTTCACCCTTCCGTCTAGTAGTCAGTCAGTATGCTGCAGATCCTGGTATGGTGTATGCTACTGGAGATGGATTACGTAGAGGGAAAGTTGGTAAGTGATCAGAAAACTTATTACCAAAATTATCACAAGTTTAGTAAAAAAAAAGAAGTACTTTCTATTAGACGTTAACACTAGAAGTGGAAATAAAAAGGTACAAAGTGAGAACTATAATTTTAATTGATTGGAGTAAAGGGAGAGTAAACAAATGGAAACCCATACAACAATCAAAGTTCTAAAGCTGGTTGAAGAGTGAATGGATATGCGCCACTGTCACCGACTTTAAACCCTTATACCAACAGCCCTCAACCACTGATTCCCAACATCCTGATGATTCCAACCTGCCTACAAGGTTCTGATAGTCAAGAATCCATTTCCAGGCCTACTACAAAACTTAACCGAAGCAGCACATACAAAGAGATCTACCCAAGTCAATCTGAGATGCACTGGTTTAGGCGCTCAGGTTCAAACCGCGCTCCACTGAGGTTTAGACAGCTTGATATTATCATTATTTCTGACACAATAAGTGTGTCTCATCACTGCCAACTACGCGAAAGGGTAAATGGTTATTAGGATATACCACTTCAAAAATGTGACTGAACAAGTTTTCCCCTTTATGTGAGTACGTCATTCGTAATGCAGTTTACTATACAAGATGACAGACTATTCAATTGATTGTTACTTCCTTTCCGTATACTTTGTACTGTGGTATTGTCTTAAATAACACAATGTGAAAAACGCCGAGTTGAAGATGTAAACTGATATTAGTTAGAAGAGTTCTAGCTCAAAAAGTACATAATTGTAGTGACCAGTCGATCACCTTATGGAAGAAGAATTAGTTGGTTTTGTCCGTCCTGTTGTTCAACGTTTCGTTGTTTTTTTTTCGTGTGTTAAATATGAAGGAAGTAGTAACTGTTAAGTTATGAAAATTTCTATACTTCCTTTTTTTGTCATCTTATTCTAGACATGAAGAACTCCTTTTTCGTCAATACTACCAACGCTGGTTGTGGTGTTTTAAATGTAACTGTAGACGGTCCGAGTAAGGCAACTGTTACAAGTCAAGAACATGATGAAGGCTATGCATTTTTCTATACACCAACTGTTCCAGGAATCTATGAGATCACTATTAAGTATGGTGGCAATTTTCATATCACTGGTTCACCATTCCGTGTAAGTGATAATGATTCAGTTTTTCTTTCCACATTATCTTTATTTTGTTTTTTTGTGATTTAATGCACGTCTTATTCAACACTATGGATCTGTAATCCAGATACCTGTGTTCTTGATTGTTGTGTCGTATATACTACTTATATTTACCTATTTGTTTATAAAAAAAATAATGTGGTATTCTTTAAAAGTGCTCTTATTTGCTCTTATATCAGAGGCGCTGGTTAATTGCATACACAGTTTTCATATTCTTCATAAAGCTACAATTTGGTATTACTTGATTGTTTAGTTTGTGTCGAGTCGGTAGCTCAGCGGTAGAATGTTTCCCAAGCATGCACATGGTCCGGGGTTCGATCCTCGGCCGACGCACTCATTTACCTCGCTAAGCAGGTAGTAAGGCTAGTAACCCACCCCACCCATGCCATTAAAATAAAGTCACTGCTACCGAAACTTCAAAGCCCTTGCTTGAAGCTCTATGTTCCACTCGGAACTTAAAGGCATAAAATAAAATAATTAGTTTATCTCGTTCGAAAATAAGTTTAATACGTTTTTAAAGTATCAATTTTAATGGTTATTTTTTTTAATGTTTAATTATTTCTTTATCATATTCTCTTACAACAAGGTTGAAGTTACTGGAACACCTAGATCGGAAATTTCGGATACGCGATCTGAGGATCATCAGTCGAATGTTATTTTAGAAACTGTTGGTAAAACAATGACTGGAATGTCGGCTAAAGTGGAACTAGAACATGGAAGTACAGGTACTCATCCTGAGCTTGTCACCTGTCAGGGGCTTGGATTGAAACGAGCTGAAATCGATCGTGTGAATTACTTCAATGTTGATGCTAGTCAAGCGGGTAAGCCTTTTTATTTTTACAACACTTGGACACTGAAAAAACTATTCTTCTTCTTCTTACAAAATGTGTTATGTTCTACTTAAGAAAGTTTCACTTACAAAAGTGATGCTGCGGTTCACTTGTCTAGGTGTTCGAATCCCAACCAGTGGGTCAAGAGCTCGAACTCCACTATAGTTATCGAGTTTTTGGGCAGCCAGGTGGTATCACTAGTCTTCACAATACTTGTGGCTCCTAGCTAACTGCATGGAATTGTAATTGGCTGTTGAGTAACATTTTGTATTTTCTTCTCTTTTTACTATGCACAATTCAGATTCATTATTTACAAATTATGCATTTCATGGTTAGGACTCAGCACAGTTTCCTTTGGAAACCAAAACAAAACAAACATTCAAACCACAATATATGATCTGCTTGTTGCCATTATGCCTCTCTGATCACACTCGATCCCAAACAGACGAAACAACCGACTGATCACTAGATCACTTCAATCCACCTAGCAAGCACTACTACTTGATAGTAATAATGCCCAACTATTCATATTCACGCAAAATTCATTGCTGTGTGGTTGAATGTGCACTCAAGTTAAGAGAGAGAGAGGTTTATAAATAGTTTTATTTCCACATCTGACCAAGTAATAGGATAGTCAAAAGATTTAAGTGCCTTTACCATCCAGTTAAATTCATTAGAAAGCTGGTTCTTCAGAAGGTGTAGAGTCCTCAAATCTCCTCCCATTCTCTTTCCTGCTCTTATTTATTCCAATTGTGACCTTACATTGTGAATTATTTGATAAATTTTTTCTAATATTTTCTGGTTATTTATACACATATTTTATTATCCCCTCAAGGTAATGATGTTCTACTCATTGGTATCTGTGGTCCAAAACAAGCCTCAGAAGAAGTGATTATCAAACATTTGAGCAATAATCAATATACAGTCTCCTATCGTGTCTCTGAAAGTGGTAAACACTTCTTAGTAGTTAAATGGGGTGATCAACATGTTCCAGGCAGTCCATTCCTTATCAATGTCCCATAATTCTGAATATTATTCAATATTAAAATCTACCCACATAAACAGTATAAAACTTTCAACTGAATGTTTCTTGAAAAAAAGACAATTTGTAATCTCTTTTGTTGTTGTTATTATTACTGGAAGGTGGATGTGTCAGCTATTGACACCTTTGTTTTAGATAGACAGATAGATAGATGTTTACAGGTATTGATTTCCCTCCCCTACCCATTTAGTCTTATCTAGATACTACAACATACATCGAAATGAGGGAATTTTTTAGACAGTGCCTTCTTTTTTCTGTGTTCTTTTAATACTGCTACTACTACTACTACTACTGAATACTATTCAAGTGCCTTACTACTCTCTGTAACAACTGAACTTTTGCTTTAATCGTTTCAAAATGAGATGCCAAGTTTGTGTAAACAATCTTAGTTTACCAACAATAACAAATGAATTGTATTCATATTCTTGTTGTCATTTTTGCGTGTATTCATTCCTTTCTGGCTAATCTGTCGCTTTGGAATTATTATTATTATTATTATATTATTATTGTTACTATTACTACCATGATTGACACGTCGTATACCACATTCTGATTACACTTATTGCTACACACTAATTATTACCACATATGCTCAATACATCTAGGGGAATTAATGATCACTACTGCTATAAGTCGTTTGCTACTAAACTCTTGTCGTCATCATACTCTCTGATAGTGTTTTCCATACGAAATTATTCGGGTTTTTTTTCTATCGTCTTTTTTGGTTGTTTTTTTTTCGATAATTGTTGTACGAGAATCACCTTTTTAAAAGAATAAAATAAAAATCAATTGTTACTACTATTCATTCTTTTGTTATGTCATAAAACACTTGGAATTTTATGTACCGTGACGTGCATTTACTATTATGATGATTGAATATTCACTCGCTACTAGTTAACTATAATGAATGTACGACAATTTCCTAGGTCCTTCTCAGATTTGTTTTTAAACATCTCGTGTGCATCGTAGTTGTGGGAGTATGATTTTTTAAGGACTGTAGGCACTCTAGGCTTCTCATTTGCTAAATTCATTAGGTTATTCAAAAATTTCATGAGATATCTGTATCTCTACTTAGTACATTACGAATGTTTCCGTATTCTTCGTTGACTGTTTGATCAGAACAAATAACTCTATAGCCTAACACGGTGAATAATCATACATCGGACCAGATTTCGTGTGTATTGTATAGGGATGATGAAACTCAGAAAGTGAGTACAACATTGCCCAGTTGATGTAGGTTTCCGATATAAGCTTCTACATGTTGTTCTGTCTGCTCGTCTCGTCATTGAAACATTGAGAAACGAGATAGAGTCATTGTGTTCATCTTCTTTAGTAGAGCTTATGACTGCTTGCATTTTGTTAAATATTTCTTTAATGAAAACAAAACACGTAGATCAGCGAAGAGTCTCTTTTCGGTGAATTCATTTTCTTAGCTGTACAATCGCAAATATATATGTGTTATTTTGTATGTATGTGCGCATTTGTTTTGATTTTTTGATTTTGATGACTTAATTTTGTTTCTTTGCCTGTTCTTTAATTGCTTATAATTCTTGTATTCATTTAGAACTCTTACGTAATTTCGTATTCGCTACTTTGTTCCTATGTGCATCCTGAGTAAAACTCACTCATCAAACTATTCATATTATTACATAACTTCTTTTAACAACTGTTTGTGACAACTCATCACCTTTGTTACTACCCTAATTTCATTAACACCCAATTTTCTTGACTAATTTTGTATTACGTAACTCCAATTACCAATCTTCACCTGTTTAGTTAAAATAACCATAACCAATTGTATTTTTGTTTGACAAACTTAATGTACACATGCATACAAAATAACACATACATATTTGCGATTGTACAGCTAAGAAAATGAATTCACCGAAAAGAGACTCTTCGCTGATCTACGTGTTTTGTTTTCATTAAAGAAATATTTAACAAAATGCAAGCAGTCATAAGCTCTACTAAAGAAGATGAACACAATGACTCTATCTCGTTTCTCAATGTTCCAATGACGAGACGAGCAGACAGAACAACATGTAGAAGCTTATATCGGAAACCTACATCAACTGGGCAATGTTGTACTCACTTTCTGAGTTTCATCATCCCTATACAATACACACGAAATCTGGTCCGATGTATGATTATTCACCGTGTTAGGCTATAGAGTTATTTGTTCTGATCAAACAGTCAACGAAGAATACGAAAACATTCGTAATGTACTAAGTAGAGATACAGATATCTCATGAAATTTTAGAATTTCCGAGGAGATTTAACGTGCTCCAAGTAATAAATTATAAGGACCATATAATGATATGATAAGGTGTATTCCAATAGAAAAATGGGAGATAATAATATAATTAAAATAATAATAGTGAAAATATTATCATTGAAACTAATCATGCGACGACACATTCTTGGTAGTAGGCATCAGTAGAAAATAATGGATTCAGATTGGTCGTTTATCTGACTAACAAATGGTTACTATTTGTACGGTTTGAATTGTAATTCACCGACTATCATGGTGGACTGTTGAAGACCAATGGTCAGTGCAGTGCTATTCTTGCTCGACCTTGGAACTGTAACATTCACTAACTTCATCGTTCGCACCATCTCTGTATAAGAAGTCTTGCTTCAGTTCTCTGAGAGGCTACTGACTCTGTGCATTGTTGTGATTTGTCTTCTATTTTTCCTAACTTATTCAGGTGCAGACGAAATGTATCCAGTAGTATGTTCAAAGGGGAAGTCAGCTTTGATTTGACAGTGATGTTTGAGTGCCGTCGTCGGGCTGAGATGAGACCTTCGTTCCAAGCTTCATAACTTTGTCCATAATCACGGGCATATAATGGAGAATAATTTTGGCTCAGGTGGATGATGTTAGTGTAGTTGTGTTCTCTGGGCTGGACAGTTTAGTCGCGAAGCTCATACTTCAAACTGTTCAGCTCAGAAAACACAACTACCTCGAATCACGTGCAGAGACAACAGTATCAATCCCAGATCATCCTTTTATCCTAGGTGATGCGTAGGTTCTTTCACTTAGTCCTTAGTTTGGGTTCGCAAAGTACTTCGGCTACCGTTTGTTCGTTTAGCGTTGACTTATTTGGAGTTTTGAGATATACAAGTCGTCAAATATAAGTAGTGATATCCTCAAAATGTCGACAAATCTTTCAATTTGGTCGCTTGATTGTAGGTGATATGTTGGCGAGAACATATGCATAATAGGATGTCGACAGCAATACACCTGAAACTTCTGTGCAGTGAACTTCGAGTCATTATGCATAAATACATTTTAAGACAGAACATGATGGACGAATATTCGGCCAGGGTCTATGTTGTTGGTCGGACAAATTTCTCGGACGATTTCGTAATAGCATCTACCACTCTAAAGTTGGAAATACCACTTGTGGGACTGCAAAAATCTATATGAATTTGAGACCATACTCTATTTGCTGCTGGGCATGGTGTAAGAGGACGTAGAGATGTTTTGAAAGGTTATTTGTCATATTGCCGAAAGATCTATGTGGAAGAGCAGCCAAGTAGAGGCGGTCAAATCCCAAAAGATGTAAGTCGCCTCGGGTGACGCTACAAATTGGTGTGAGTCTCATATTATCTGAGAGTGGTATCCAGCATCAACAGAGACCAGATGGTGTAAACTACCATATGATGATGATTTCATCAGTCGTGCATTACGTCTATTTCTTTGAATATTGATTTATTCGCTTTTGCCTGGTTGTTAGTAGATTCATAGATTTTCCAACTGGTTTGAGACTGGCCCCAGTTAAAGATTTCACGCCGAATTTCAATAAACTTTTGAGTATCTGTCAGTCTTCGTCATTATGACCTTCAGCAATGGCGTTTGTGCGATTGGTATTTTCTGAAATGTCGTACTTGAAAGTGCTCCAGCATGGTGTAAGAGGAGTCTTCTTTGAGTCATTCTACGGTAGGGGACTAGAATTCTTCAAATCAGTATCTGTATGAGAACCAATAGGATCAGGGATATTTTTTAGTCTACTGTCAGAGCCCTTCAGAACTGCCGATTGAACTAGACTTGTTTACTGTTCTACGCCAGCCACCAACAATGTAATTTGAGGATAACTTTGGATCTTGTTCTAGGTGTTTGAGCAGTCGTATTATGATATCTGCAGTGTTATACTGTTGAAGGCTACATAAAAGGGCTTTAAATTTATCGTCTAAGAGAGACTTGGTTGGAAATCGCTCACATTCACTATTGACAGTGCCCACCTTGGGTGTATCGTCACGTAACTGTTTAATAAATTGAGCGAATTGAAAAGTATTTAGGAAGGTAGATGGGTATGTATGTATGTATGCGTCTTCAATAGAGAAGAAAACATATGACTGTTGCCACTACGTCTTAACGAAGTAATCTAAATCTATACTGACATGTTTTTTTAAAGTGACCTATAGAATCCTCAAACTTTTAAAGACTGAGTCGCCATTTTGACGATATAAGCGAATTTAATAAATTCACTACGTTTATACAGCTTATTTGTTTAAGGAAGACTGTTGAGTTAGCACATTCAAACATCAGATACCTCACTTACGAAAGCTTTTTAAAAAGATGTACATGATGAACTTACATCAAGCAGTATGTGATACAGGCATGGAAAACTCTAAACACTTGTTGGAATATTCAGATAGTAACTATATATATAATCCGGGATCAGTTTTGATGGCAAAGTAGCTCAATAGTACTGATTAGTGATAGTAAGCAGCTTTGAATACTGTTATCCGGCCTGAAAGTTTTGTTTGCAATTGTAGCGTTCTAACAAATTATTTTTTATAGTTAAAGTCTTCTGTCATGGTGGAATACGAATACGTTTGTTCAATGATTCACAGGAATTCTCTATTCTCAAATGATTTTTCGGTGATAATTAGTACTTTAGATTCTACTTCAGTCGAATATAGTAATAATAATGAGTGACTGGCAGGATAATTATATTCTGCTAAGCGTCTCACTAATTCTTAAGAGTGAGCCTTGACGTCGTGGTTTTTCGAAGTGGCTTCGTAGAAATAGACTTTCAACCTGGTAACATGCCTGGTGGTTCAAATTACTCTGGGTCTACAATCTTCCTAGTAAACTTCCCTTATTGTAAGTGCTGATTAGATGATCTACTGGTGTTTACCAATGAATTTAGTTTGATACATAATATTCCAGTTAATGACTCTCCTTTATGTCTAAATCTGATGCAAGCTTGGTGTCTGTTATGCAAGCCCAGATGCAGATAGTGATAGTCATTTCAGCTGATTGTGTTATTATTCCAAAAGTACCACCATCAGTCTACTCTAGACCTACTATCCACAAATCTAAATCACTGGGTGTAATAACTATATCTGGATATTTATGTTTCTAGATGTTCTAATGGTTTTCATTCTAAATCATCCTCTTGTCTGCAGACAGGGAATGTACAGATTGAAGTCACACAACATACTAGAATAAGTACCTATGCTTCTTAGTCTTTACTTCGTCATTCCGTTAGAGATGCTGCTAACCGATGTCCAGTTTGTAGTTGTGCCTTCTGATCAAAGATGTAATATATTCCTGTTCCTTCGGGGTTATGAAGACTACGTGACAGATACTTAGAAAACCTGAATCGTAATGTAGACAAATTCATCTGTGAATCAAAGTAAGATTATTCTTAACGACTACTTGTCTAGAAGGAACATCGAACACATGTGGTTTAAATTTTTACAGTTTTAGTTAATAAGTATGGTTTTCTATATTCACGTCAATTCTGAATATTCAAAGATCTTATCTGCGATCTTGAATACAGTTATTTCTTTCGTAAACTGAAATTGAAGACGTTTACTTGTTATACACCAGACAATGTGTAGTTGTACTCTTGTAACGACAGAAGGCAAGAGTCTGGCAACAGATCGTTTATTAAGGAAAATCAACACATATTTATAGATTTTAATGTACATTATTGTAGATTATTGTTAGTAGAAAGAAAATACAGTCTTTTGATTGGTTGTTTCTCACAGAAAGTTAACCTTGCATCTCTTTGTGGCTGTGTCAGATCATCTATATGCTAACTGTATCCGCCTACGCAAAGTCTGATGTCCATCTTTGACCTCGTTTTCACATGACTAATATTTGAGACATAAACATTGACGTCAATTACTGTCTACCAATTTGGCTAGCAACCATCTCTCACCACACTCTTTGTGCTTGATCTGACTATTTATTAACTCCTTTCCGAACACCATTGAGTAAGATAAGAGTATGGGTGTAGCTTATAGGGTTGACGATTTCTATTTCCTATTCGTATTTAATTAAAATATTTATACGTACTACCGGTTTACGTCCATCTTCATGATATCCTTACTACCGAACAAATTTTGCATACATTACCTCGTTTAATATTTGTATGTTGTTTTCTTTTTCCTTCACGTTCCCCAGTGGGAAATAGGGCTTCAAGCTGGTGGCTTGAAGATTCTGTAGCGGTGTTTATTTTACAGGATGGGGTTGCTAGCCTCATGCCCAACCTTTCCTCTTTACCAGCATTATTTCTGGTCCGGGGTTCGATCCCCGGACCATGTGCATGGTCGGCAAGCGTCCTAACCGCTATGCCACCGACGCACTGTATGTTGTTTACATAAGCTAATATCATATCTGCGTTTCTTTATGATTCAGAAACTCAGCTCACGTGTCACAACTGGCTACTGTAGACTTTCATCAATCAGACTGAGAGGATCGGATCGGAGGTCCTTTAGAAACGATTAGCAACAAGGAACTCTAGCTATGAATCAACCAACAAAAAATGCCGAAGAAAATGGAGGTCGATTGGACGTACGTTGAGGAGACCGGTGAGTGACATAGCCAGGGCGTCGAGTGGAACCCGAATGGGAAACGACGAGTTGGGTGAAGCGGCGGACAGTGTGTGGGAGGAAGTGAAGGCTTATCAGCTATCATGAAATTAGTCAAGAAAGACTACAGAATACAGAGTGAAATGAAGATGTACTGCTGAAGTCCTATGTTTCACTGGGAACTCAAGGGAATAACAACAAATAATACAATAATTTACACTAAAGTCAGAAAAAGAGGAATTTCATGATATCTAATAGAAGCATAAATAATTTACACAAATTTACAAAGCAATAGTAATAATAATAATGTACATATCTGTAAAAGAAGTCTGTAATGGTGTAAACAACACAATGAAGGTGCTGACATGTTTATTACATAAAAGCTGCGAGTTTTTTTTGGAATTGGTTTTGATAAAAATCGCAAAGCTTTAAGCCGAGATCTATTTGTATACTGTTTTACAGTTGATAAATTTGATGTAGTGAATGATGGTAAGTTATCCATATAATAAGGAGTGAATTTAGCCTTTTTATATAATCACTTTTGTCACGTTCATTGCCTGAAATATTCAAATCAAATCAAAATAAGGTCTTACATTAGGTTGATTAATATTGGTTACTAAACACTGTGCTTCTTAACAATATAGACTATACGTTATTAATTGATATAAGAATAAAACTTGTGCACTGTGGTAGAGTATAATTCCATTATGGGTAAAATTTATTTTGATAAAGTCTCACAGTGTTATACAGTAATATTTACTGATGACGTTTCGAGCACAATTTATTCCTCATAATCAAATCAAGGTACTCACACAACTGACCTCACAGTCATTGCAAGGTATTTTGTAAATTATATTATTTTGTTTAATTGGGTTAACCGACAGGGTCCTTTAACCTACAGAGCTTGTCCTGCCTGAGTGAGTTTGCAGGTTTAAATGCCACCACTCTAATTCCTGCTTTATTAGGAATCCTACGTAGGGTCTCAGATGTACCCTCCTTATATGGTAGAACCGTAGATGCCTTATAATCCCTCTTATTTATGTTATCATTACTAGTTTCTCCATTATTTTTATTGTGCTTTTGGCCTTTTCTGATCTTGCTAATGAATTTTATAGGATAGTTATTTGATACCAACGCTTCTTCTATCTGTTTAACTTCATCATTTAGGTCTTTTCTTGTACTACTTAGTGCTACTGCTCGGTTTGTTAGACACTTAACTAATCCTGCCTTAACAGTTAACGGATGAGATGAATTAAAGTCTAAATATCTATTAGAATGCGTTGGCTGTTTATAAACGCTAGTGTGCAGTTCACCTTCATCTATTCGTTTTATTTTACAATCTAACATAGCTAATTCTCCTTGTTCATTTTCTGATTCAAATGTGAATTTTATTCCCTCTACTAGTGAGTTTATATGTGTCAAGAAGCTGCACATTTGTGTCTATCCTTCAGCTATAGATATGACCTGTTCTTAATCTCTCACTCCCTTGGTAAATGAACTTTGATTTTGATTACATCAATTAGTCATCTAATTCAGTGATCTCAACTCACTGAACAAATCTCAATCTTATAAACTGTAACCGTTCTTTTTTTTGAGTTGCTACGTGAACTTACAAGCTAACACTGTTGTTTTTTTCTGTTTTCTCTCTCACCCTCCCCCTCTTTTCTACTTTGAAAGCGTATAAATTGATGATGAAAAATTGAACTAAAAATTATAATGCTAACATTTTGGATGCGTCAGTTTTATAGTATTTCTTCTCTACTACCACTTAAACATTAAAGTGTGTTATTATCATCTATAAGCAATGTAATTTCAGGTAGTCAATGGCAGTTGATGAGAACCTGTGAAATAGAATGATATCATTTTATACTGCAAATTTCGTCTGACTTTCTAAATGGAAATTTACCAAGGGAACCAAATGTATGAAAAATTACTGAAGTTGTGGTGTAGTCAAAGTCCTTTTTTATATGTCAAATTGTCGGCAGCTTTCGACCGCTTTCTATTTAAATTATCTCACCCTTTTTGTCTTCATTTTGATTTTAAACACTATTATCCGTCCAATACAAAATCTCATTGCACTGTTAATCGTTGCACTGAACTGTAGGTTAAAAATGATAACCAGTTACTAGTTGGGAAGATTAGCTGGGTGGGACAAGCCCAGATTAACAGACTGATTACTAATGTAATAGGTGGTGAATGAAGGTAAGAGGAATACCTGGGTTGTGGGAGAATTCAAAATATACGCTTCTAGGTCGGTAGCACAGTGAGCTACAATCAATTGTCTTAGCCTCACCGGTAGATTTTTTAAAATATTTTTTATTCTCAGTGCATCATAGAGCTTCAAGCTAGAGCTTTGAAGTTTCGGTAGTAGTGGTGTTTATTTTAATGGGATGGGGTTGCTAGCCTCATGCCCAACCTTCCCTCTTTACCAATCTTATTACTGGCTTATCGAGGTAAAGGAGTGCGTCCGTGGCTGGGGGTCTAACTCCGAACCACATGAGGCGTGGTTGGCAAGCATTCTACCTCTGTGCCACCGACGCGTACCGGTACAGTGACTTAGGATTTTGTCTCATATTCAGTCCTTACCAACTGCATTAACTAATTACACTTATGTATATAATAAACTCACTTGGTTTTAATAAAAGTTTTGCAAAAGCTTTTGTTTCATCCGGTTTGATATTTTCAAATGGTGTAGTTTCATATTGACATTGAGGTGAATGATACATAAATATGGTATAAGTTTTCAGTTGATCTTTTGTAGTAGATTGGATAATCTAGTGATTATTTAAATTAAAAACATTAATACTGAGTGATCTATTAAACTGTTGTATATTTAACATTAATTTCATATAAAATATACTTTTAGTACAGACTGCAATAAACTTAAGTGAACCGTAAGTATTTGAAGAATTAAGCCTTACAGTGAAGTCTACAATGATTTCCTTCTAGGTTGAAAGAGATTAGTAGAACATGGAGACTATAGAATATTGGTTATTAAATTATTATGTTGTAGTAAATAACGAAAAATGGCAGCCTGATTAAATTACTGTGCTACCTAAATTTTCTATCCATTAAAAATCAAGCATCGTATTTATTCTGTTTCAAATTTTGTGTGATCTTTTGATTACCAACACAATAGGTACAAATCTATACTCACCCACAGTTTCAAATACGTTTCTATCTACCTCTAGGAATTTTTAGAAGGAAGTGGAAGAAGAATATCATGGACTAGCATTGAAGCACACTTCGAACGGAACAATATTTCTTCAGATGATATATCATCGATTATTATATTTCAGGTTAGACTACGGATTCATATCAGTTAGAGAACCATTGAAAACCAGTAGGGAGTACTGAACAGCCAGCTGTTTCATCAGACTAGTTTGGGATTCATCGGCAGTACGCACCCACTGGGTTTCGAACCCAGGACCTTCCAGTTACAAGGCAATCTCGTATACCATTCAGCCACTGGGACCCTATCCAATGGCCATTCCATGAATTCTAACTTCTACCAACTCGTGAAAATTGATCTGATGCTCGCTAGTGACTGGCTACAGAACGAAGTTTCCTTGAGTTCTAGTGCGAAGTTGTTGGGAGTGAGGATGAATTTTACGCCGATGACATCGATTGGCGGTCAAGCTAAAATCAGAAATTGGTAGGAGTCAGAATTCATGGACTGACCATTGAATCTGGTCCAGTGGATGAATGGTATACGAGATTGCCTTGTAACTGGAAGATCCTGGGTTCGAACCCAGTGGGTATGTACTGCCGATGAACCTCAAACTAGTCTGATGAAACAGCTGGCTGTCCAGTACTCCCTGCTGGTTTTCAATGGTCCTCTTGCTGATATCAATCCATGGGCCAACCTGAAACAAACACAATCCCTACAATCTAATTCTTGAAAATTATTGTATTATTTGAAGATTCTACACAAGGGGTAAATACCTTGCAATGGAACTAGCTGAAAATTCTGTATTGTGTATAAACGCATTTTTCAGAATCAAGTTATTATTAATATTACTATTAGAACTCTTATGGAATCCCAATGGTAAATCTATATCACTGACATCTTAACAATAACCTTAGCATATGTATCACGTATATAACATTACTTACCATGCAATAGTACTGATGCGTAATTTTAAGGTATGTTATAATCAACAGATAAGACACGGAAGTGGTTGAAATTCCATTTAAACTGAAAGAAGCAATGCACTGATGATCTAGAATCACCAGAAAGTAAAAGAAAAAAGAAAATAACATAATACTTAAATACTTAAGAATCCAAAAATAATATCAATAATCAAATGTACTCAGAAGAGTTATTTACGATGTAAGAACTGATACATTTAAAGTAACGGCCGGGAATATTTAATTCTTGATTCCTCGTACTCACTTTACCAGTACGTCTGTTTTTAATGCCACAGGAAGTTATTAAAACCTACTTATAATATTCTACAAAAAGGGTTTGGTAACGTGGTTAGCGCTACGTCCAGATATACGTGGTGTAAATCAACCGTCTTACCGAACCACATTTCTTCTACATCACGAACATATTCAAAAGAGCTAGGGATTCAGAGGTTGTTAATTGATTGGTCGGTTTAATTTATTCTTATTTGAAAATAAAACGTTTTTTGTAACGGCAGAAGACAAGGGCCAGGCAAAAAATCGTTTATTGAGAAAATCAACAGATATTTATAGATTTTTATGTACATTATTATTCGTTATTGTTAGCAGAGAAGCAGCGTTTTCTGATTGGTTGTTTTCCTGCTGAAGGTTATTCTGTCATCTCTTTGTTGCCGTTTCTTAGACAGTCCGGTGATATATCTGTGAATCGTATCTGCCCACGCTAAGTCTGCTGTGATTGGTTGTTGAGTCCCTGAAGATTAGTCTTTGTTATTGTTTTTTCTCATGACCAAGATTTGGGACGTAAACATTGACATAAATTGCTGTCTACCAGTTTTGGCTAGCAGATGGCTCTCACCACATTATGAGACTGATGCAGTTCTCCTTTTTGTTCCATATCAGTATGACTTAGTTATTAAATAATATTAAAGCAACTGATGAGATAAAAGACACGTATACTTTTGTCTGCAGTCAATTTATTATTGGTTGTTATTATTCCTTTTAATTCCGAGTGAAACAAATGGCTTCATCTCAGTTTCACTCTGTTGTCTACAGTTACTTTTAGCTGGCTCCACGACCGCTCATAAGCTTTCATTTCCTCCTCACACTGTCTCCTCCATGTTATCCTCGAGTGCCTAACTCGTCGTTTCCCGTGCAGGCTCCATTCAAGTGGTTGTCGCATGATGCTACTCCCCAGAGCATTTCCAGTCAATCTCCATTTCTTCCTGCATATTTGTTGGGTGATAAGTTATTGATTTATTTGTTGTCAGAGTAACTTGTTGCTCATCGTTTCTGGCTGACCATCTAATCTCCAGTATCGAGTAAAGACAGTCTGTAGGAGCCTGTTGTAAATGTTTTCGGTGACGCATACACCATTTCTGTGAACCATACATAAGAACTGATCCGACATTAATACTGAATATCTAGATCGTCTGTTTTGCGCTGACCGTAGCAAACTTCCACACTGATTTCAGAGTAATGATGTTTTGTCTTGTTTTCACTAACCCGATCCTGCCTGGCTTTGACTTCCTCATCCGTGTCGCCTGTAGTTGAAACGAAGCTCCCTAAGCAATTAGCTATTAGCTATTTTTGTGGAAATATTAGGTCAAATCTTGACCAGAGTTCATTTATTTAATTAAAAACTAACAATTTCTTATGTAACATTGAAAAACAAATCATACAGATATGTAATTAAAGAAAGCGAAGAATTTTTTTCAGCCCTCCCAAGAAGACGATTATTGAATATATTTTTTTAAAATGAATAAAAATATTGATATAACAAAGAAGATTTGTATCTCAGGTATATCATTTTTGATGTTGTATTCTATGGACTGTGTGACTTAACTAAGAAGCTTTCGTTATCCTTCAGAGAACACAAAAGAACAAAGATAAAAAGTGTATTTGAAACATGCCGTCTTTATGGAACAGACTTAAATGTCCTACTAAATAGTGTAAATTCCAAGTGAGGTTGAATTCTACTGAATTCAAGAAAAGTCTTTAAACGCAGTATTTGATTTGTAATAATCTTCTGAACACATTGAGCAGCAATCTTCGTATGTTTGGCAAACGATTCGCCCCTGTAAAATGTAAGATGCGGCTACAGGGCTGGACTACGTCAACTCCTAGCTTAGTGATAGGGAGTGAAGTGATAGAACATGTTGACCACTCCACATATTTGGGAAGTTGTATCAGCACCAACGGATTGATTGGTGAGGAAATCTCAGCACGGATCCAAAGAGCTCGAGCTGCTTCCGCTAACGTACGCCATCTCTGGCGTAGGCGTGACATCCAGCTATCAAGCAAGGGACGTGTATACTGCTCAGCAGTTCGCTCCGTCCTTCTCTATGGCTCTGAAACATGGCCAATACGAGTTGAAGACATGAAAATGGTCACTGTCTTTGATTATAGATGTCTACGATCTCTTTCTCACGTTAGGTGGTATAATAAGGTAAGTAATGTTGACGTTAGGCATAGAGTGTTGGGCAAAGAGGGAAAATCAATCGACGAGGCTATAAAGTTACATAGATTGAGATGGCTAGGTCACGTGCTTCGCATGACTAGCCATCGCCTCCCCCGACGGGCATTACTAGCTGATATAGATGCAGGTTGGAAAGGAGTAAGTGGTGGTCAAACAAAAACATGGCATCAATCCATGAAATCCTTGACAGTTAAACTGAGTCAGGTAGGGAGATGCAGACTTCCGGGTTGGGGCCCTCGGGACCCTAAGAATCAATGGCTGGAGACAATAGGTGACATGGCTCAAAATCGTTGTCAATGGCGCAGATGTATTCAATCCTTGTAATCTTTCATATTCCTTTCTCCGATTACTCATTCTGTTTCACTCTTATACTTGTCAAAACTCTATTGATTCTCTTCACTGATTTTCTTGTCTACCTTTGTGTGGTATTTGGAACGTGGCAACTGGAACTGCTGCATTTCGGTGCCAAGTTCTATGTTGAATCCAGACAGAGACAGATTTGATTTGTAATACTCCCTGAGTTGTATTCATAAGTATCCACAAGTATTTAATTTGATTATCGTTAGATATCTCGTGTGGTAGTTTCTGATTGTGCTTACAGGCAGTACGAAGAATTAATCTGCTACCTCACTTAGTATTCATAAGTAATACTATTTTCTGATACTCTTGTTGAGGAACTTGTACCGGATATCAACAGAAACTCAACAGTGCTACCTCTTTATTTACAGCAACTTAGCATCAAAAGTTCATTGAAGTGGTAAGGAAGGAATTTACTTTGCCTTATGTATAATTAACTGTTTTATACTTGTTTCAACTTTTATGACAGTAATGTCAACAAAATCGAAATTTTAACAATAGACATGACTTGTTGTTATATAGTCTTTAGAAAACGTAAAGTAAAATTAATCACCTGCAATTGTTATTGCAATCAGAAAACTCGAAATTCTAGAAGGGTCTAATCAACTCACTAACTAAGTAACTTCAACGATGATTTGGTCATTCACCAACATCAGTTAAATGGTGGAAAGTACCTATCTGGACATTAGAGCAAAGATATCTATTCGGTGATTTCATTCTCAAAAGCTCTAAAATAGCATTTACATACATAAGTTTACATGGACACAATTATTATTTAATTCTATATAATAACGAAGGAGATCAAAGATGATTTTCAACTTGATATGAAAGTTCGAAGGTATGAATATAGATTACATGGGGTTTCAGAAACAAATCGTCTCACTGGACCACCATATCGGAAGAATTTTCAGCAGTGACTGCTTAGAAGAGGAGGTTTTACTTCTCAAAAACATCCTGGTTCAAGATCGATACGCAGAATGTTTCGTGGAGAAGAACATGAAACCAAAGCCAAAAAGAGAAGAATGAACTTCAGTATCAAATAAAACGATATACTTGAATTTAGACTTAGGAGAGACTTATCTGCAGATGTCCTCAAGAGGAGAATTTCTAGTTTTCTAAAGAAAACCTTTCCTACAACAACTCTACGAAAGTTATTCTCTAGCCGCCCACTACTTCTAAGCAGTGTGAGGGAAAAACTCCTGTATATGACCACTCCAATGTGTATATATCAATTCACCTGTTCTTAATGAGCTAGGTACATAGATTGTTCCATGCGGGTCCTATCATAGTGTGTTAGAAAACATTACACGGCATGGCTGCAAAGCGGAGGTACTGGTTCAATCAGAAGTGCCATAATTGAACACCTTCTCAATACTTGTCACAGCATCTCAACTGACTCATTATTCAGAGTCATTTACAAAGTAAACAAAAATCTACCAAAGTTAGTGTGTTTCCAAGATAACTATTTAAGATATAAGGCAACTATTTTTTTAATCCTGTATAATTTTGTTTCTAAGCCCCTTATAATCTATATTCACACGTTCAAACTTTCTTATCAAGTTGAAAATCACCTTTAATCTCCTTCGTTATTATGCAGAATTAAATAATAATTGTATCCATATAAACTTATGTATATAAAAGGTATTGTATAGCTTTTGAGAATGAAATCGCCGAATAGTAGTAATCTTTGCTGAACTTCTTGTTCTTTTCTCTCAGTTGAATAATAATTAGAAACTAGGGGGCATTGGTCGGGTGTTTCGTCCTAGTTTTGGACGCCTCAGTAGTGCTTATCTATGTCCCTACCAGGAATCGAACCCAGCAGCTTCAGACTACGAGCCCAGCTCACTTACTATTCAGCCAATGAGCTGTGAATTCTAACTTCTATTAATCTGCTAGTTAGCATTGCCACGCTATAACTAACTTACTCAGTATCTAAAGTAGAAAAAAATAAAAATTCTATTGTAGTCAATAACTAACAAAGAAGTACGAAAATACATCTAAAATTATCTCACAATCTTCTTTGATTTCTCATTGAAACACAAGGCAATGACTTCCCAGCAGGGAGCAAAAGATTAATACAAAGGTGATATGTATACTGTGTGTTATCTGATTACTCTAAGTACTGATCAGTATCTAATTTGGATGCTTTATGTGACCTTTATATATAAACTGTAAATATTACATTGAAGTTTTTAGTCTTCTCTGTCTCACCGAATATTTATGAATAAGGTGTGATTTTTATTCACTTAAGTACTGAACAAGTGACAAAGAATACAAGACACTATCGATTTTGTTTACCTGATTTAAAAACTGTAGAATATTTATTAATTGCACAATAATTTCTTATTCTCAAGATGTTATCAAATTCTCCAGTCACTCCATAGTGTGAATTAAAATCGCTAATCTCTGTTGGACATGGTCCTTCAAAGTTGGCATTGTATTCAGCCTCATTTGCATTCCATATTCTTGCAGTGATATTTGTTGGTGTATTTGAGTAAATCTGATCTGTTACACGATTACTGACAATTGATTTGTCTACTGAAATAAACGATTGTGTCTGAACGTTGTAGCGTTCTGGCTTTGAACTCATAATGTATAATAAACCAGTGAGTTTTATCTGATATAGACCACATTTTGTAGAAATATTAGTAGGTATATGAGGGTTACCTAAAAGTATTCAAAATAATTATTTAGAGTAGCGTAAATTCAATAACAATAAAAACTGATCACCAGAAATTACTTTTATGTGAATTTAACACATCTCAATTAAAAATTGATTTAGTAATAAGTTGAATGTCTATGTAGGAAATTTGCAGAAAATGGCACTTATAAAAACGTGTAGCTGAACACTATCCAGTCTGGTCAATGGAAGGCGAACGTAGAACTGTGAAGTCGTCTATTTGTGATCACCTGTTAGAGTCAGGTCATTTAGCCCCACGTGATTCATCTTTCAAAGTTATCTACATGGCAAAATTGAACTGATCCAAAAGTTTACGTTTTCTTCACTTATGCATAGCCGAAGCTTTAGCTATACATGAACAGAAACCTAAATTATGTGTTCAAAAACGTTTTGTCAAACCCCTTTCTTTACCTTGGTCATAGTAATGTTCTTTCTAGTTTTTACTTTATTTTATTTTACCACTTGAATTCTTTCCACTTCACTTCACATCTTCATTCTTATAGTAATCGTACTCCTAATTTTTTAAAATTTTTAGACAACACTTGACATTTTTAAAACATTTTTGATTTCAATTCACTTATAAAACAATCTTTAATAATTTTGTAATTTATCCACTTCAACTCTACCCCTTATAACATTTTAATTATCGTTATTCTTATCACATATATGTATATTGACTGAGCAACTATTTAGTGCCACTTAATGACCTTTTCTGTAATATAAATACGACTGTACAGCTTGAAAATGAAGTCGTTGAAAAGAAATTTCTTCGCTGAACAAAAACTGTGTTTTTACTTATGAATAAATGGGTATTTCTCGTGAATGTTACATTAACCAACACCTATAACCGAATGATCTGCTATGATGTAATCTCCTCTTTTTGCAGAAATCTCATTGAGTAACTGTTATAACTACCTTATTCAGTCAAGAAGGCTTATGACGACTATTTAAAGGGAATAATCAATAGCTTATTTTATAACAGCAGTGTTCAGTAGCACTAAAATAATAAAAAGATTTAAGCAATTTGAATATCCCCATAATTTATTGGGAACAGACGTTTTCAATAAATTCCTCTTAAGACTCTTTATAGGCCTCATTCACAGGGTTTTATACATGCACGTACATGACTGAGTAAAAGGGAAACCAAACGCGTAAGTCGTACGGTTTTAACCCACTTGGTAGATACTGGATATTCACTAAAATTGGAGCAGGAGTTGTAATTTATCTAGCGTGTCCCTAGTAGTGTGGTAAGAGCTGGCTGCTAGCCAAAGTTGGTAGACAGTAATTGACGTCAATGTTTATGTCCCCAATATTGGTGGTGAGAAAATGAGAACAAAGGCTTTGTGTAGGCGGACACAGTTACCATATGGATGATCTGACACAGCCACAAGCGATGCAAGGTTAACTTTCCGTGAGAAACAATCAATCAAAAGACTGTATTTTCTACTAACAATAATCTACAATAATGTACATTAAAATCTATAAATATGTGTTGATTTTCCTTAATAAACGATCTGTTACCTGGCCCTTGTCTTCTGTTGTTACAGTAGTAGCTCTACTACGTCTTCTACCAGTAGCTTAAGCAGTCTCTACACATAGAAGAAGTGTGTCCCACCGGTTTCTTTACTGTGGCCTAAAATAAAGTCAACAAATCCTCCACCAATATTGCTAATTAATGCCTTAAATCCCTGCTGAAGTTTTCTTTCCCTTTGTTTCATTGACAAACGTTTATTTCACACTTTTTACTCCTGCATGACCTTTGATATTATGTCTATTACCACAGGTTCACGTAAGCTTGTTATTGCATTTACACAATCCTTTTCTTTTTACGAGTTGATCACGGATTGATATCAGTTAGAGAACCATTGAAAACCAGAGAGTACTGGACAGCTGTTTCATCCTAGCTCTCCAGTTCTCCCTGGTTTTCAATGGTTCTCTAACTGATATCAATCCGTGATCAACTCGTAAAAAGAAAACTAATCCTTACAAACCAACTATAGAAAAATACAATCCTTTTCATTCCATATTATTAAATTCGTTCACTAATAGTACTTCTGATTTTACGTCATAGCATCATTATCGCCGTTTGTCGCCCTTGAACTTACGTCTAGTCTATCCTATTTGTTGGTTTATTTATTATTATTATTACTTCCTTTAGTTCCTAGAGGAACATAGGGCTTCAGCCATGCATCTCCATTGCGTTCGGTTCTCTGCTAGAGTTTTCACCTGGCTCCAAGTCTGCCCATACGCTTTCAATTCTTCTTCACATGATCTCCTCCAGGTCACCCTTGGACGACCAACTCGTCGCTTCCCTTTCGGGTTCCACTCGAGGGCTTGTCTAGTGATGTTGTTGGTTTATTTCTCCGTAGTGATTGTACTGTCTCTCATACTGCTGACTACGCTCACCACTGAAACGTGTACTTTTGTTGACTCTTCTACATATACAGACACACATCACTGAATTATGTTATCTCATGTTCTTATTGACCATACATATTTTAAATAATAATTTAAAACTGATTGTTATTCCATCATGTACTTGGTCTACAATACACTTTCTTATATGATTCTAATTTACTTCAGGTTAGACCACGGATTGATGTCAGTTAGAGAACCCAATGGGTTTCGAGTCCAGGACGTTCCTGTTACAAGGCAAGCTCGAAGACCATTCAGCCACTGGGACCTGACTCAATGGCCCATTAATTCTAACTTCTACTAGTTTGTGATTTTAGCGTGACCACCAACCAATGTCATCAGCGGGAACTCCATCCTCACTCCCAATCGGATGAACCTTACTGGTCACGACTTCTCACTACAACTCCAGGTTGTCGCATCGCAAGTCTACCTTGAAACACAAAGTTCCAACTTTTCATATTATGGTGTCATTCAAAGAATCAAACTTATTTTGTGATTATAAATAAATCTGGGTTAGATGCCGTTTTCACACAAATTAGTACATTCTAGAACACTGTAGAATAACTGATAGATGAGTGTTTCCTCTGTGAAACGTTTTCCAGAAAAGTGATTATCATTGGACAATGTAGGAATCAGAATTTATTTGGTTCAGATTGTGTATACGACTGAAAAGTGGTGTTCATACGGGGGGGGTGGGAAGGCGGTGATAAATTTCGATTAGACATCTTGTACAGCTGACTGACGACTACAAGCTTTGTGTGGTTATACTTTCTCATCGAAAAATAGATTTGAGTGTGCAGTACTCATTCTCCTTCAGCACAAATAATAAATAGTAAATGCATATTCATCAGTCCTACTGACTACCTTAAACATCCTTCTCAGGATGTTGAAGGTAAATAGTGGTGTAAAACTCAGTCAGCTCGTCACTACTTTAGTTGATAGGCATCTGAATACATGCGAAAAATGGTCAAAAACCATACTCTCCTACCCCCAACACCCCCTCTATTCCCAACTCTCTCCTTGTATCTCATCAAGTAAAACCAGAAATCAGTATAAAATAATCTATGCTCGTACAACCAAGTACAGGAACTCAACGATACCATACTTGGCCCGTGTTCTAAGCGACAGAGACAATGTTAAGCGTGAAACCTATGACTTGCTTTGTTATTAACAACATAATTTTAGGCTCTTTTATTTCTCTCTTATTTTGTATTCTATAGTGAACTCCTTCTCAAACATACTTAGCTACCTAAAATATTAACATTGGCTTCCTTTTTTGTACTTTACTATATTCCTTCTATCGTGTATCCACTGGTTCCGACTCTACTAGCACTACGAGTATTACAAAATTGTCCTGTCATTAACCATCATGTAATTATTAGTTTTGTGGTTGTTTTTTCTTATTTTCTATACTTTTCGGCAATATTAAACTGACAATCATTGGTTGTGAACGCCATAGTCACCACCTTAAAAAATTTTGTATTATTCAGGATTACTCACACTACCACTACAAACACTGCATTAGACCTGACAATAAAAAACAAAACAACAACCCTGAAATGTTATTTTAAGATTGTTTAGAGTTGTTTCAATCAAATTAACTGACCATCTTGGCGATAAACATTCTTAAATATCATTTCATAACTTCTTGTATGACTATAGCTTTACTGTCACCATGCAAAATCATATCATAGCTTCCACTACCCAATACTGAGTTATTATTATATGATGTTTATTTTCCTTTCTACTTCTTGGTACTTTATCGCATTTATAATTATTTTGTGTTTATCCTGTCTTTTTGTTTTTTTTTGCTGTTGGTGTCTTTAGATTTATTATTTTGTTTGTTTGTTTAATACTCCTTTTAAATGTTTGTAAAATTAGATGCAAATATTGTAGATATGTGCTGAAAATTCCACACTGTACCACTAGTACTGTTTCTGGAATAAAGCATATTATTATTATTATGAATAAGTTCTTTGGAAAGCCAAACATGCTAGTTGCTAACCGAATATTGTTTGTTATTGTGTTATTAACCTCAACATTGACAGCATTCGGGTTGCTCATTTTGATTTTTATTGTAGACAAATATGCTTTGCAATCAACTGCTTATTGTTGTAGGCTTTGTGGCAATCGAGGGAAGTCTTTCACGGTAATAATATTGAAAGATCAAGCAACAGATGAAATCAGATTAACCAGTGCTGAACAATGTGGAATTTCTTTGTGACATTATATATTGACTAGTGAAACTTAATGCTGTGATTAACTTAGTATAGCATCCTGCTGAATTGTATTTTTTTAGTTTTGACAACGAAGTGACTTCATTTAAAGAACCACTGAAAATCAGAGAGTACTGGACAGTTGTTTCGTCCTTCTTTGGGACTCTTCATCAGTACGCCCTCAGGATCTTTATGTCACAGGGCAAACTGGCTGACCATTTAGCCACTAGTCAGGAATCCTATGTCTCATTTGGAACTTATGTTTCCCTAACATCTGTTAGAGTGTCTACTGTTGGTTTTTGCTGTTTCAGCATTGTTGTTTGGTGAACCGATAACCTCAATAAACAGCTCAACTGGAATAGACCCTTTTTGGAGAAGTAAATTAAGCCTTACTATATATATGGGAATGTTAAGCATAAAATTATTAGTATGTTAATAGATCAAAGGAAAGACTTACTTTCTTGATTCATATTGCGTATTAAAATATTTGCATTGAGTGGTTGAATTGTACTACTACTACTGTATTTCATTTTCTGTTTATCAAATTGACATGTGTCTGATATCAAATGCTTTTCACCGACTGCTTTAAAAAGAAGTGGAAACACACAGGAGTGATTGAAAATCACTGAATAGACAAATATAAAGCTTAATGCTAATCATAATTTAACAAATTATAATCGAGAAGGCAATATCTTTTTACATGGAAACTGTACGAATATGGTGAATTGACTACCCTGAGCTTTTGAGATGAACAGTGTTGTTCAGAAAAATTAAATTACCCAACTGATTAGCGATTACGAAATATGCTGAAGACTTACAAATGCAGTTTTTACTATAAAACTGTATGCATACCCAAGTTCATCAGTTTGCTAAATCTTACGGTGGAATAGCTATTCATTTCGACGGAAAATAAATCTGAGTTTAATGAAAATGAAGAAGTTCTGTATCACTTTCATATACATGCACTCAATAAGGCTAAATCTTTCATTCCCTGTTATCAGCTTCTTCTAAATATTCGTTATAGTAAAATAGATTCTTCAGTAGGTTTTAGGAAATAACCATGAATATAAACGCAAAAAACACTTTCATGATGCATTTTTGAAAATCCTCATATCCTGATTATTATTATTTTTATTATTCTCTTGAGTTCCGAGTGGAACATAAGGCTTCAACAACACATCTCTACTTTATCCTATCTTCTGCTGTTCTCTTTAGCTGGGTCCACGATTGTCAATAATTTCTCCTCGCACGACCTCCTCCATGTCACCCTCACACCGACAACCCACTCGTCGCTTCCCATAGGGATTCCATTTGAGCGATGGCATGTACTACGCGTGATTTCATTCGACAGCCCCTTCATAGCATCCACGATCCATCTCCATTTTCTCCTACATATTGGTGAGCAACAGGCTCTTGGTTTGTTTGTTCGTAGTCAGTTTCTTTTTGCTAATTCTTTCTGAATGGCTGGCCATTCGATCTTCACTATGGAGCCAGCGAAATGGGCAGCTATTGATAAAAGTTTGCAACTTGTTGGAAATGCTTTTCTTGACGCGTAGTGCAAATTTCTGACCCGTTAGAAGGACCGACTTGACATTGGTGTTGAAAGTCTGAATCTTTCTCCATATGTTGAGTGCAGAAGATTTCTAAACTGGTTTCATGTTGATGAAGGTGGATCTCGCCTTTCCAATTCTGGCTTTGGCGTCTTCATCTGTGTTGTCGCCTGTAGTTGATACGATGCTCCCGAGACAAGTGAAGGAGGCAACATATGTTAAATCTCCTTTTGAGTTCAATCTTGCTGTCGTGATCCCGGATGATATTGGTTTCCACTGCATTAGGGCTTTGGCTGCTACTGGTGACATCATTATAGCCGCTCACTGCCTCAGTTTGCTTGTGGTTGTCGTCTGGGTGGCCGGAGTAGATTACCGACTCTTCAGTTGGCAATTTTTATAATCCATTCCATCTGCTCTCGCAGATTCCCAGCACTTCTATGCCATATCTTCGCATTTCTTTGGCTACCTGGACAGCTTTCACAGTCTCGTACATTGTACATAGATCCCACGTCCCCATTCTTATTCTTGCTTTCATCGAGAAAAGACACATTGGCCGGCTGGCTGACCTCCTGAAGGCTTTCACCAGCCCACTGTGTCATTTTGCTTCTCCGATTCCAGCGAAGAACTTGTATTTTTAATATATTTTTTATACGTTGAAGTTTCTCTAGCAGTTTGATAGATTTTGTGGTGTTGGGTTGCTAGCCTCACGCCCAACCCTCCCTCTTTACCCGGGCTTGGGACCGGCTAGAAAACTAGCAAGCTAGTTAACTAGGAGAGGTTCCCTATATCCTAAGATTTATTCTAATTCATTTCGCTTTAAAAAGAAAAGCAAATATAATTACTCTAAGTAGTCTTGTTTAATATTTTCGTATGGTACTTATAGGGGTCAATTTTCAGAGTTACTAATTATGCTGTATTTAGAATAAGATGTTAACTGTTAGTCAGCAGTGCGTTTAAGTCATTCTGTCCACTTCAATATACTGTGGTTAGAGCTGTCTACTAGCCAAATTGGTAGACAGTAATTTACGTCAATGTTTACGTCCTCAATATTGGTCGTGAGAAAATATGAACAAAGACTGATTCAAAACCGACCACAGCAGACTTTGCGTAGGCGGATACAGTTAACATATAGATGATCTGACATTCAAGAAACTGTCACAAAGAGATGAAAGATTAACTTTAAGTGAGAAACAACCAATCAGAAGACTGTGTTTGTTTGCTTAACTAAACTATATTAATGTACATGAAAATATATGAATATGTGTTGATTTCCTAAATAGAGGATCTGTTGCCTGAACCTTGTATTCTGTTGTTACAATACTATGCAAATTCAATAGATCAAAATTGCAAAATTTTACGATGAACGTTCATCTTATGTTTAAATAGTTTTGTATGCAAATATACAGTGTTATAATGGGTCCCCTTACGATCCTTATTAACTGAAATTTTCTTGACAAACATGGAAAAGGGTTCTCTTGGACAGATGCCTAATATTATTGCACTTATGTAGACGGTACATTTATCATTTGTGATAAGAATTTCTAAAATGAATAAGTCAGCAAAGAATATCGTTTTTTGTAACTTCTCATCAAACCTGTGTAGTTCAGTAGTGTTTCTAAAATGTTATAAAAAATGCTCACGGAGGTCAGTTATTAGTTTGATTCGCTAACAAAATACACTACATAATATATATGGAGGAAGAAATGAATAAATTGTGAACCTTGTTTAAGTGTTCCAATGTATTCTAAAAACAATGAGTGATAAATATCGTTCAGAAACGATTATCACTAAAATTACGAGCTAGTTGAAACATGAATATTGTTCATGAGAATAGGAGATTCACAAATATGTATTAAGTATATTTTAAAGTTAGGGGTTTGTATAAACTAAGTAATTACGGATTACGTACCAAATTATAGTACAAGTGGATACGACTGTAGTATAAGGGACTGAACAAACCACTTATACACAATTCAAGGCTTTCCTTGTATACAGCAATAGCTTCCTCTATGGATAGAATATGTCGCCAGAAACCTTTCGAACAATCTGGCTTGAACTTATATATCATTTTTAAAGATTTCTGTATTGATGCAAGATGATGTGTCTTAACATACGTAAGGTGAATATATATCGCTTAATCATCTCTTGTATTCATGTCTTATCATGTCCTTCTACACTTCAACAGTCTTCTCATTCCTTCTTACTGCTTTTTATCTAGCTAGCAGTACACAATTATTACTACTACTTATTATCCTTCGAATTTACTATAAGCTTATCCTACACGTATGTTTATTGTATTCTCACTATCTCTCATCCCACCGATTATAATTCAACCGTGGAGATCTAAATTCTAAGGTTTGACGAAGACATCACCCAGTCATTTCATCGTGTCACCATCCCCTCCTTGCACAGCGACTGTACATTTTATTTGCAATTAAGTCATTTTCAAAATGAACTGTCTAACATCCCATATTCTATATTGGTTGATGGCGACTAGTAGGATGTGCGATCCATCCTATTTGGGAAGTATCAGTTGGTTAGGACAAGTTAAACTTTAGGCATCAGTAGGTACCAGGGGAGTGCGACCGCACTAGTGACCTTGAAACACTGAGGGAGCAGGTTAGTGAAACAAGGTAAACAATATTGTAATCATTAATCGAATATACTGATGAAGTGTTTCGTCATTAAATAGGATATCTGGCAAGTTCCAGGTGAGGTTTGGGGAGGATTAAATTAAGGTTTAAGCTAACGACAGGTTAGGGTTAGGCTAACCTAGTGAGGGCAACATAAGGATTGGTTCGAGGTAGATCAGGGAAATTTTCGCGTTAGTGTTAGGGTAAGGAATGATTAACATAAAAATAAATAATTCCATATTCTACTTCAATCGCTTTTGATTTTATCCATCAAATTATCGTTTCTGATATAATTATAATCTCGCTTTTACTAATTATTGTTTGATCATGTTCACTTCCCGAACGAATAAATGAAGTCACAAGAATAAATTTGTATGGATTAGACCACGGATTGATATGAGTTAGAGAACCAATGAAAACCAGTAGGGAGTAGTCAACAGCCGTTCCGTCCTAGCTTGGGACTCATCGGCACTACGCACCCACTGGGTTTCGAGCCCAGGACCTTCCGGTTGCAAGGCGAGCTACTATACGATTCAGCCCCTGGGACCGGATTCAATGGCCAGCCCATGAATTCTAACTTCTAGGAATTGGTAGAAGTTAGAATTCATGGGCAAATGAAGTTACATTTCAATACAGTGGGGTAAGAATAATACGATATACTGCAACTAACACTTTATGTTCAATCTGAACACAAATCACCTTTTAATTGTATGTGTATATCAGAGCTGATTGACTGATTCAAGAGTAAAAATCTGGTGATTTCATTTATTTTTTTCAAATCAATATATTTCAAATGAATCTGATGAAATTTAGCTCAAAAATAAATAAATAAATCACTTACACATTCTATAAAGTATTGAGTTGATGCTTGATGAGTCTTCAAATTCGCTTTTACTACCACGATAGATTTCCAAGCATAAACTTCTTGAATGACTAAGACGAAGAGTGAAAGTTACATACATAAAGACAAGTTTAAATAGATAATTTCAGTAAGAAGGCTTAATGCATAAAACAAGTCGGTTTGAATACCAATTTCCCCTTCTCTATTTGTTGTGGGTTTAATTTTTTGAACAATGTGGAAAAAGATCTAACAGTATCCGAAGTGTATTGAATTTTCGTTTGACATAACAAAACCATTCGTTTACTGAAGAAATGAAAATCTCTTTTACTGTACAGGATAGTTTTCTAACTAATACCACTGACTAAATGAATTGGAAATTTAATTTAAGGATTCAATTTACAGAAAACGTTTTGAAAATTCTAGTTAGGAATTTAATTAGTAGGTAAATTAGTAATTCCAAGCAATAAGGAGCTTAGACTTAGTGATAATACACACTACGTTATGGTATATAATAGCCACTAAATGTTTGACGGATAATCGGTTGGTTTTATGAACTTCAAAAGCTTTCTATCTTAGTAGTGTTGACCTCAATTAAGATGTCTTAAATAGTTATTTTAAAATTATATTGTGATATTTAGTTATACGTCAGATTAAATTTGTGGATGATAAAAGAAATCCTTGGATTTAATTGAGTTTCAAACACTTGAACTTTACCGATCAATATGTTTATCTCTATTGCTTGGGATCAAAGGAGACCGATCATAAGAAGGACTGGTGATCGGCGATCGCATTTGGCTTTTATTTGTAAATTCTTATAATTTATTACTGTCCAGTTAGATACATCTCTAGGGTGGGGTAAATATCAAATTCCATTGTCATTAGCTGGATAGTATTAGAGGCTTTCTTGCCAGCCAGTTAGGATGGGCCAGGCTTGGCAGTCAATTATTGGTATGGCCAAGGTACAGGAATGGAAGGATAGATGGATAGACAAAAACACGAAATGTAATTCTAGTTAAGGCCGGCATGAAAACGACCTCATAGTCGTTCAGGTAATTAAAGCAACTGGTCTCCTATGATTCCCTTGATTTGTTGTCGTCTAAGTGAATCTCAGTAACTCATATATGGAACCTATGTCTATATATCTGCTGGTCACCACTCCACCGATGTAATGCTTTCATGAGAAATTAAAAGTGTATCTCATTTTATGAAGTAAACAGTGGTAAATTCATCTGGGATCATGATGAAATACTCACTATCAGATACACGACTCAACTTATAAAGTTGTGATCTATGGCTGTTTCAATTACGATATCATCAGATTGTTTATTTTATAAGCAAATTTAATCGTGAATCGATATTAATTAAAGAACCCTTGAAAACCATGCGACACTGAACAGCTGTTTCATCCTGATTTGGGAATCTTCATTAGCCTTCACCAACCACTTCATGATTCCTGGATGGTTTTCAGCAGTTTATGATGAAAAACTCTACTTTGAAATCACTTACTTCCTCATGAAGCCATTTATTGCAATCTCATCCTACAAATGAGTTGTCTGATTACAGTTTTTGGCTTCAATCTGCATGGCACAGTAGTTTAATTACTTAGAATTCTCTTATTACCTATTTTAATACAAATAACTACAATAAATAAATAATTATACTCTTTTCAAGTATTGGTTTTGTAGGGATTTTGTTTGATTGGTTGGAGGATTTCATCATGAACGGACATCAGTTAGAGACCCATTGGAAATCCTAGGAGTACTGGACAGCCAGTTGTTTCGTCCAAGTTTGGGACTCTGCATCGGTGCTCACTCACTGGGGCTTGAACCCAGGACCTTCTGGTTACAAGGCGAGCTCCTCCAAATCCTCCAACCAGTCAGATGAGATCCCTACAAAAACCAATACTTGAAAATCTATCTGACGACCACTAACGACTGGCCCTATTAAAGCAGGAAGCCGTGACTAGTAAGGTGCACCAGGTTGAAGGCGAGGCAATAACTCATCGAAGAAGACATTGCGAAATGGTCGCGCTATTTCATGAATTGGTAGAAGTTAGAATTCATGGGATGGCCATTGGATCGGGTCCCACTGTCTGAATGGTCTACGAGCTCCCCTTGTAACCAGAAGTTCCCGGGTCCGCACACTGGCGGTGGGTGCGTACTGCTGAAGATTCCCGAACTAGTCTGACGAAACAGCTGTCCAGTACTCCCTGATGGTTTTCCAATGGTTGTCTAACTGATGTCAGCTCATGATGAAATCCTCCAACCAGTTATGCTCTTCTTGGAAATACGTTGAACCATAGTTAAAACTCAAATATATTTTTCATTTATATAATGTTATATAATTTGAATGTGTACAGTGTGCGCTAATCATTTTAGAAGGAAACTTACCATCCATTGGATTGATGATCACTTCGTAGAACATACCGGTCAATAAGTGATTCTTGTATCTCCCGAATACAATAAAAATGCATACTGTGTTGTACATCATTGACTGAATTTATAATCAGTTTATTATTGTTGATATGGAAACGTGCTGTTAAACGGCTACTTGAATTACTATGAATTGTTGATGTTTGTGTAGTGACTGGTTCAATTAACTCCCAAATCCCATGATAATTAGAATGAAATTTACATGAATCATGCAAGAGATACTCTATAATTTAAATTAAAAAATGGTTTGGTCATTATATTTATACAATTATAAATAATTAGGGAGCATTGAAAAAAAATGTTTCTTTGGGTAAAACTTGTGTATATTTATGCGTTGAGATTACAATGAAGAGTCACTCCTATTCTGACTGAAATTATAAGCAAATATAACCACTAATTAGAGGAATTCTTTTCTCCTTTTGGTAGTAACAGTCACTAGGTGCAAAGGGCGCTCCCTATACTACTTAAAATAGCCATGATTTGTATTGGACTTAGAGTCCTGTCCACTATTTTTCATCTTCAGGTGGAAGCTAACAAGTCGGAGGAGAGAAAGTGAAGACAGGATTTCAGGAGAATATGGAAAAGACAGAGATGTTGAAGATACCTAATCACCACCACCACCAACAAGCACAAATCACCACCAGCAGGAGAAATCTAAAGGTGGTCACCCTTTTCACCTATCTAGAAAGCATAGTCTCAGCTACGGGCAGCGTAGAAGATAATGTCAAAGGCAGGATCTGGAAAGCAAGACAGACGTGTTTTACTCTGAAATCAGTGTGCAAATCTGCTGCACTCAGCTTAAAGAACAGGATCCTCTAATTGACATCATACGCCGGATCGTCTAGTGAAATCGTAATGGGAAGCGAGGAGTTGTGAGTCCAAAGGTGATATGGAAAAGATTGTGTGAGAAGAATCTTGAAGCCAGCTGAAAAGGACTGCAGAGAACAGAATGAAATGGCAATGTGCTGTTGAAGCACTATGTTCCAATTGGAACCCAGGTGAATAATAATAACAATAATTATTAGTAGTAGTGGTAAACTTTTCATCTGATTTCCAGCATTCTAAAGCTGTTGTGTGCTGCTTGATTCTAAAGTCTTAGAAGTTTTGTAACTTTGGTCCGTTTACAGACTGTGCAAAGTGTAGTTACTGATTACTTATAGCTGTCCCTCGATGGGCCTAAACTGATATCTTACACTTAATTAAAGTGTCAATAAATTCAACAAATAATAAAGGTTTTTGTATTTCCCAATGAATGAAAAACAAAACGATATTGTTTTTACTGACGTTTCGCTATTTAATGCTAATAGCTTTTTCAAAGAAGTCAACAAATCTTGTTTGCCAGACATAGGTGTTCTTAAACTAGTTTCTGTTAAACTCATAACTTAAACCTTTAGACACAATACAATACGAAAATAGGCTCCACGTAACTTTAAAATCTTCAAAGCAGTCATTTATTTTAAAGTTATCTTCACTCTAAAAAATCATTTAAGATGAGTAACATCCAGGTGCTTTAAAAAGTTTCTTACCACATGTCTGTCTTGGTACTGAACAACTTCGGTGACAGAATAATTGATTTCTAGCACTGTATTCGCATCCATACTTGCAACTAATACGTTCATCATCACAATTCCCAACTGGGAAATGAAAAACAAAGGTAGAAACATAGGAAAACTGCATAACTAGACATAATTAAATGGTAGGAAAATATTAATGAATAAGTTTCCAGCTGTTTACCATGTGACTTATTGGCTTATTTTAGGTTCAGAAAGGGGAATTTAGGTTTTGTCATAATAGTGAAGCAGTGGCGGACAAATTACATCACATTTAAATGAGATCACCAATCTAATCTTTTAGTCTTAAAGAAACCTGACTAGAAGAGCTTTATCTCCTCTTTTGCATTCTTTCATCTGAATGTATTTGTACTGTCTAGAAGTATGAGTTCTAATTCTTCATACAAATAAACAGATAGGGTAAGTTTTTGCCTTGTGTCCCTCAATACCAGAAAATTACTGGCAAACATCGCCTTCTGTGGGAATATAGACATGCATAAAAGAAGTGTGTAGAGTGACTGTAACCAAGTAGTCAATATTAAACAGAGGATCTCGCCAGCGAATGCCACTGTAAATGATAATAAAAGATTGTACTATTTTCAGATATGTGCTGGATTGTTCAGAGATATCTTGTCAAGTAAAATGTATCAGTCTAAATTTTAACAGAGCAATAATGAGGCGTGGTGCAGTTTAATCATGGTGATCAGTTATGTTTCCATCGCTAATATTAAAATATCTGTGCGAAAAATATTGTTTTCAATTAGATTTTCCTCAGGCTTTACTCCAATGCACAAACCTTTATATATATATATATATATATATATATATATATATACGTATGCAGTAGTGATATTAGCAACAATATTGATGATAACGAAGATATAAGTAGTTGACGCAGGTGGCGATAAGACGAATACAGATGGTATGATAATTTAAACGTTTCTGTAATAAAATTAGGTCAAGATATTATGAAATTAGAAGTTATGAAATTTTGCAGATGAAGCGGATAGATAATCAAAGTTTAAATAAATATGATGAAGATTTGGAAGCGGTGGAGAATAAGAACTTCTTACCCATTCTTAGTTTTCAGTCCTGTCATATATTTATCGTACTTACTTAAACTTTAAGTCAATTGGTTGACTCAGCTGGATGTACCTGCATTCGCCAGTAAGTGATGGTGTTCCCACCGAGGCTCGAACCCAGTGCCCATAGTCTCAAACGCCAACGCTTATCCACCAGACCACTTGGGCCACGACAGCCACCTCTTTTGCAAAGGGGTCATATTAATTACTTAATTCAGTTTAGATTTCCCGTCGATTGAATGAAATTACTTAAACTTTGATTATCTATCCACTTTATCTTCTATATTGAGTCTAATTTAATTCAACATTGTACCTGTAACCCGTTGGTCGGAATCTTTATTCACATTTTACAAAGCCTTTCTGATGCTAAGTGTGTTGTGCTTGAATATATCATTGACATAAGAATAAAACTTGTGCACTGTGGTAGAGTATAATTCCATTATGGGTAAAATTTATTTTGATAAAGTCTCAGTGTTACACAGTAATATTTACTGATGACGTTTCAAGCACAATTTATTGCTCATATCATATCAAGGTATTCACACAACTTTCTTACTTCGTTTATATAATTCCATTATTTCCCATCACTTGATTTGATTGGTAGTAGTATTTTCCATATCTCTGGTATGAGTGATGAGTCATTCCTATTGCATGTGTTGGATGTAGATTCGATGAACAATGACTCAGTAATCAACCTCTCTCTCCACCTACCTAGATTACTTTTTAGAATTTTAACCCTCTCTCACCCTATTGTGTGGTTGTGTGTTAATGCATGCAGTGCGATCGCTGTGTTTTTTTCTAAATTACTTATCTTGGGATTAATCATGCTTACCTTAGCTAAATTCTTATGTTCTGACAGTCTGACTACCCCCGATCTACTAGTTTGACCTATGTAGTTCACCTCACTCACAGTCATTGCAAGGTATTTTGTAAATTATATTATTTTGTCTAATTCGGTCGACTGGGTTCATACCATACCATACCAGATAGAAGAAGCGTTGGTATCAAATATATCTTATAAATTGATTAGGAAGATCAGAAAAGGCCAGAAGCAAAATAAAAATAATTGTGAAACTGGTAATGAAATAAGAGAGAATATAATGCATCTACAGTCCTACCATATAAAGAGGGGACATCTGAGACCCTACGTAGGATTCTTAATAAAACAGGAATTAGAGTGGCGTTTAAATCTACAAACTCACTCAGGGACAACCTCTGTATTCTAAAGGACCCAGTCGATCCAATTAGAGAAAATTATATATTTTACAAAATACCTTGCAATCACTGTGAGGTTGTGTGAGTACCTTGATATGATTATGAACAATAAATTGTGCTCGAAACGTCATCAGTAAATATTACTGTATAACACTGTGAGACTTTATCAAAATAATTTTTAACCATGATAGAATTAAAGCAGTTATAGTCATATGCAATGTTTAACAGTACATTTTCTTGAAAAAATATTTTATATGGCATTTACATTGTAGTAACAAGCCGTACTTACATGCTCTTCGAATTCCCATTTCATAAATATTTACACTGGAATTGTGTAGTGTGGTTCTTCTTGACTTCAAATTATACCATTCTAATGAATTCCATAGATAAATGCGATTAATTATTATCTCTTCAATAGTTTTATCTGATTGTAACCCATGGATAATCCATATTGGTGAAAATTGTCCATAAGTTGCTGATTCTGCTGACAGTTCTGCCGGCAATTGCATATAAACCTTTAATTCAGATATAAATACTTATATCTTGTGAAGCGCAATATTAAAAATAATTTTACACATGTCTGTGGAATTTGATGGTTCCAAAAATCTAATAAAACTTTCTCAATTTCAAAATTTTCACTTACTGTCTATGACTCATGTTTTCTATGAGATACCCAAATACTCGGTCTCTTACTGCTGATAACCTATTTATACAAAACTTCATATCTTTCAATTCTTTGTTTATCTGGTATATTTCTCGGGACAGATACCACTTATTAATTAGTATATTCTACAGGTGACTAATAGTTCTCTTCAACTGCATTTTTTAAACTTTTTTATTATAGCTTGATTCCACACCGTATTTTTGGTACAAGTATGGAATTTTCAGCATGTGATATTGGTAGCCCAAATTTTTGCAGGCCGACCATTGATATCAGGTGTGGGTCGGCAGGAGATCAAACCACGGACCATGTGTGTGGTCGGCGAGCGTCCAAACCACTCTGCCACCGACGCTGCAGAAGATAACCGCTATCGAAGCTATGGTTTTATCGTCTTAAGTGAATATTAAAATGATAGCTGTTGTTTGATAAAGTTACAAGGCTTTTGACTTTATATATTATTATTTTAAGGATTTCAGTTAAACGATAATGACACTGAATGCAATTAATGTACAAATTAATGCGTTTTGAGGATGAATATCTATTGCTATCAATTTATAGTTGCCAGTAGTGTTAAGAGTATTTTTCCATAAAATCGAGCAGTTCTCTGTATGGTTGTGATTTTTTTTTACTGGAAATAAGGGGCCGAATATATATGTGGGTATCAGAAGAGAGTACAGAGAGGTTATTACCATTGAGACTTGGTTTTGACTTTACAGGAGTTAAATTTTATTCAAAAACTCCCGAAAAGGGCAAATATAACAGACTGTTTATTGAGCTCTGATATGCTACTCTCAGGCTGATATGACAACCCTTATTTTAATCTACTTTCGTCATAATGTAGAAGTCATGTTGTCTGGTGTATGCGGTCCAGAAGAACTAATAGCTGGCACAATTATATCATTTCGTGTGTTGTTAGCAACATTCTTTCAAATATTTTTATTTTTTATGGGGTAATAATTTTGCAAAAATAATTCTGGTAAAGAGGAAAGGTTGGGCATGAGGCTAGCAACCCCATCCTGTAAAATAAACACTGCTACAGAAACTTCAAGCCAACTAGCTTGAAGCCCTATGTTCCACTGGGGAACGTGAAGGAAAAAAAAATAATTTTGCAAGTATTAGTTTTGTAGAAATTTTATTGGATTGGATGGAGGATTTCATCATGAGCTGACATCAGTTAGAGAACCGTTGGAAAGCCAGCGGTTTCGTCCTATTTTGGGACTCTTCATCAGTATGAACCCACCAGGGTTCGAACCAAGGACCTTCTGGTTATAAGGCGAGCTCGTAGACCATTCAGACACTGGAACCCGATCTAATGGCCAGCCCATGAATTCTAACTTCTGCTAATTCATGGAATAGCGCGACCACTTCGCAATGTCTTCTTCGATGAGTTACTGCCTCACCTTCAATCTGCTGTACCTTATTTGGGAAACTGAATGCAAATTATCGTATATGGCTTGAAATAGACTTTAATATTATATGAAGCAAATAATCTTTGAAGTTGTTCAGCTGTGTTCTTTCGATATGGAATGGCTAGAGAAAGCTTTGGTGAATGTCAAAGGTATGGTTCCCAAAATTTCAGAAAGTAATTGTGTCTATACAGTAAAGTGTTCAGAATGTGAAGCTTGCTATATAGGGGAGAGCAGTACACGGATGAAGGTCAGAGTGAATGAACATAGACTATGCACGAAACGTCCACCTGGAAATGAAGTAGAATTAAAAAATCTAGAGAAAAGATTGGCTATAGCAATGCATGCGATAGACAGCGGACATTAGATTGATTTCGACAATGTCGGAATTCTTGGGATAGGATTTCATTCACATAAAGAAGGGTTGACCTCTGAAGCCTTGCATATTTTAACCACATCGAATGCATTAAATAGGAAGGAAGGGATAGACTTATCACCTATACGGCAAACTCTAATGAAGCAAGAAAGATGAAAAAACAAAAAAACCTCTATGAACCTCCATGACCTTTAAAAAATGTATTATCATGTTTATCACATGTGAGTTGACGTGTTTTCCATATAACAAATAACATACACACACGCACTCATACGGAAACAAATATACACAATAACAATTTGACATTAGTCATTACATATTGATGACTGCTTACATACTTCTATTGGTACAAATGTCTATCGACGAGTGACCTTCAAATAAACTGACTTCAATTTATGTAAAATGATTTTGACCATATATTTTGATGATTAATTAAATCCGTATAATTCTGCTGAGGAAGCTGTGGCTTATCATATCTAAAGCTGTGGCTTACACAGCGAAACGTTCAGAAAAATCTTGTTTTGATTTTTTCTTAAACACGCTGGGATTAATTTAAATAATTTATAATGGATCAATCTGACTCGGTGCTCAAATTATTCCAAGAAGTTCGTAACATCTACGGTCTGGAAACTTATGACATTCAATAGGAACCTAATTCATCCTTAATATATGTTTCGCTTTCTAAGATATCCCAGTCACTAGTTTTATTATCTCTCAATAAAGGAAAAGGTTGTCTTTGCAGTAAAACTTAAAAGGAGTTAGCTAGGTCAGCGAAGTGATTGTAAGCCTAGAGTTCATAAATATTCAACTTCTAACTCGAAATTAGCGACAGTAAATCATAGATTTTCAAGTATTGGTTTTGTAGGGATTTTGTTTGATTGCATGGAGGATTTCATCATGAGCTGACATCAGTTAGAGAACCACTGGAAAACCTGGGAGTACTGGACAGCTGTTTCGTCCTAGTTTGGGACTCTTCATCAGTACGCCCCCCGGGTTTCGAACCCAGGACCTTCTGGTTACAAGGCGAGCTCGAACTGATGTCAGCTCATGATGAAATCCTCCATGCAAAGTAAATCATAGAGCTGAAGCTTTTTAAAAACCAGTACTTGGGCATATTTAGAACAGTTACTGCTGTATCTATCACACATAATATAAGTACGACTGTACTGCTGAAAATTTACAGCTATACTACTGAAAATGAAGTCGTCGGAAAGAAATATTTCTTCTCCGAACAAAAAGTGTTTATCCTTAGGAATTGAAGTATAAGTTAGTTCCTTCCTAGATATCATGGTGGCGGCAGAAATTAGACGGCTAAAATGTAACTTTTACATCCAGAAAGAAACTGTTGTCAGTCTTGCTCTATCATTAGTAAAAAGAGTTTATTTTATTTCAATTTTGACACTCTGACCTAAGTTCTAGCAATTTTTTTTATATCCTAAACTCATTTTTCAGGTGTGACCACGGATTGATATCAGTTAGGGAACCAGTGAAAACCAGGAAGTACTTGCCAGCTGTTTCGCCATCCTAGTTTGGAACCCATCGGCAGTACGCACCCACCGAGGTTCAAACACAGGACCTTCCGATTACAAGGTAAGCTCGTATACCATTCAGCCACTGGGAACTGACTCAATGACCAGTCTATGAATTCTAACTTCTACCAATTCGTGATTGTAGTGCGACCACCAGCCAATCTCATTGACGATTTTCGTCGAAAAGAGAGTTTTCTTCGCTGAATCTTTGTTAATATGTCTCAATGGGGATTATTAATTTAATTAAAAAGAGCAAGGACCCCAAGTAGTTAAAGACATGAATGCGTTTTTACATCACGCGGTCAAACTTGCATTGTCAAGAAATGAAATTCAGTTTTTAGACAAATGCATCGTAAATCATGAATATCCAAAAGCATATTGGAAAGTTCTGTGGCGTCATCGTGTTTATCCAAATCACAAAACTCTTAAACGTCATACACTCAACAATATTGATGCCATCCGTTCTCGGATTTATGATTTAGAGAGGAACATTTCATGGAGAGCACATATGTTAAGCGAACTGTTACCAGAGATTCGTGTACATTTTGAAGACTGAAGAATACGTCTTTAACTACTCGTCGAATTACTTAAGTCGTATTCAGATGGAAATATTATCATATGGCTCAAAATTCTGTATCTCTCAATCGAATGAAAGGACACTGAATGATCAGATGCAGTTTGAAAATTTGATCAGTCAGACAAAGGACCTGAACAATTACTAGAAGTCCTAAATCACTTCAAGTCATCAGTGCTAAATTGTGCTCATCAGTTCATGAAATCAAAACCAGAATTGCCCCCAGAATCCCAAGAAGGAACATTTCATTCAGTTGAAAGAGTTGAAGAAAAATGAGAATATCCCACTAAAACGATCAGATAAAGACACAGGGATTGTAATAATTGATCAGAAAGATTATATTGACAAAATGCAAAGCATTATGTCAGATGAGTCAAAATTGCAGAAACGTGAGAAGAACAAGACAGAAATGATAGAGGAACGAATCACACAGGCTCTGAAACGAATGGAGAATGATTCATTATTGACAACCGAGCTATATGAATGGTTAAGACCTACCGAAAATCCATAAATCTGGATTACCTATGCATGGCAGGTTCACTGTATCACTATGTCACATAATGGATAGTGGAACTCTTAGAGCCACTAAGAAGGCAAGTCTGTACCTATTCTTTGTATGACACTTTTGAAATTATTAATTGCGTTAATGATATTAATGTTACTGAGAAAACAGTGTCATTACTTGATGTATGCTCACTTTTTACCAATGTTCCATTAAAATGAAACTGTATGGTTCATTTGTAATTACATAGATTTATATAATATAAACATAGGAATGCCTACATTATACCTAAAAGAGCTCATACTTCGGTGTACTCTAAATGTCCAACTTCTTTTCAACAACGAAATCTATAGACAGAGAGATGGGGTAGTCATGGGTTTGCCACTTGGTTGTTTGCTAGCAGACTTCTTTTGGCTAGTATGGACAGCAGTACTCTCACACCTGCTATAAAGAGGTTTAACCCCTGC